GTGTTGAGGATTGATATAGCAGGTTGTGACTGATTCGACGAGCACAACAGACGTGAAGAAGAGAATCGAGAAGATCGATAAGGTAAGAAAAGCTCATGTGATGACTATGATGATGATGATGATGATGACGATGATGACGATGATGACGATGATGACGATGATGATGATGATGATGATGATGATGATGACGATGATGACGATGACGATGATGATGATGATGATGATGATGATGATGATGATAACGATGATGACGATGATGACGATGATGACGATGATGATGATGATGATGATGATGATGATGATGATGACGATGATGACGATGATGATGATGATGATGATGATGATGATGATGATGATGATGATGATGATGATGATGATGATGATGATGATGATGATGATGGCGATGATGGTGATAATGATGGTGACGATGGCGATGATGGTGATGATGGCGACAATGATGATGCTGACAATGATGATGCTTGCTTTGCAGCACGTTGTTATGGCAGATCAGGTCCCACACGGACCTCGGATATACTGGTCTTCGACCCTCTCTGACTTTCAGAAAGAGCGATTTCTTGCAAACGAGAAGTTTCTCCCTGAACTTCAGCAGGTGAGGCTTGCAGTTTGCTGCATGGTTGTTATCTGAACTATTCTCATCTGCCATCTGCGATTTCTCTTCATTTCATCGGATGTTTGGTCTGATACTACTCTATACTTTGATTACCATTATTTTGTTTGTCTTTGTCTTCTTGCCCCTTCTCGTTTTGGCACCACAAGATCTGTTACCTTCGTGGAAACTTTATCACTCTCGTTGATGTTCGAGTCGCTTTCCAAGACGATGATCCGTCCGTCGGCAAGGTTGAAAGACTCCATCTTCTCCTATCCTCGCTTCGCCTCTTCTATCTTCCATCTTCTGCTATCCTCTTACCTTCTCCTATCCTCCCTCTTCTCCTACTCACTCACCTTCTCCTGTTTTTTGCCCTTCTTCTCTTCTCTCCTTCCTTCCCTTCTTTACACTCTCTTCTCCTTGATTTATCCTTATTTCATGTATTTCACTTAGCATATCATCATCATCATCATCATCATCATCATCATCATCATCATCATCATCATCATCATCATCATCATCATTTAATCGCCATATCTATCATCATTCAATTGCCACATCTATCATCATCACAACCACCTCACTTTGCCTGACAGATTATCTCGCTGCTTCTCGAAGAGATTGATCACTGCGACTATTTCACATGCTTCATCGGGCAGCAGTACGGGGTCTTACCATGGGACTACGTGATGGAAGACGACGAAAATAAGAAAACAAACAAAGAGGCGAGCAAAACGTTCTTCACCCATGATTGCTCTTTGACGCTGCTCGGCAGACATTCTTGCAACTCGAACAGTCAGCAACAGCAACAGAGGTCTATCACGTGCTGAGAGACAGCGAGAAGTGGGGCAGGAGAGCGTTCTTCTACATCCGAGATGAGAGGTGTCAGGATGAGCTAGAGGCTTCTCAGTCTATCAACTTTGTCCCCCTCGACGCGGAGATGTCGGAGAAAAGGTGAGGATGAACATGATGCAACAAGATGACTTGTTGAGCATCTTGACGACAAGGAAAGTTGTTGACTTGTGATCTTGTCAGGTCTGCCATGATAGAAGATTTGAGTCACTCGGGGCTGAAGATAACGATGAACTACGGCTCAGCGGAGGAAGGAGTCAAAGTGAAGCAAACGACATGTTGTCACTTTCTTGTGATGTGAGATGAGCAGGCCTGGTGCAATGACATCAGACTTGCTATCGAGCAAGACTTTCCCCTGCCAGCAGATCATGGGTGAGTTTTTGCTGATGAGGCCAGTTTGATCTTGCAGCTGACATCGCTGCTGCCGTCACAACTAGAAACTTGTCGTCTACCATCGATGGCTGGAGATCGAGATCGTTCTGGGAGAACGTGGTGGACGGCATGCATGACGCGGCTTTTGAGACAAGAGAGGCAAGATGTGTTCCAACCAAATCGTTGAGATGTAAGTGAAACGAGACGAGGAGGGAAGGGAGGGAGAGAGGGGAGGAGAGAGATAGGGAGAGGTGGACAAGAGGGGGAGGGGGAGAGGAAGAAGAACGAGGGAGAGGGAAAGGATGTAGCAAGTGAAGGCAGAGGAAAGATTCAGGATGTCATTTCTCAAAGGGTGTCAAGTGCAACAAATGAAAAAATCAACAAACACCATCAGCAATATGATCGCATATGATGATGGTAGCAGAACTTTGCTGACGATCGAAACCGACACGCAGGGACTGTGGATGAGATATGGAAGCACGTGGAGCAAGGAGACTCGAAGCCTCTCCTCCTCACCGGACGCCCGGGGTGCGGGAAGGTGAGCGAGTGAGGTGAGCTGCTGCGAGGTTATCTCACAGACGATGACAACTAGACAACTGCGATGGCGATGTTCTTGAGAGAGTTCAAAGAGAAGAAAGTGAGATGTTGTTGGTGACTGTCCTTGTTCTGATATCTTCTCTGAAGATGGGCGAAATCGACAACTTGCTGGTAAGAGGATTCAGCATGCGGGCAATGCAGACGACCCCCTTCGAGCTATTGCGACATCTTATGAAGACAATCAAATTTCATTTCAAGGTTCGAGACGGCAAGGATCACTTGTCTTCCTTATTCCATGATGAAAGCATGCAGTTCACATTGGTTGCCATCCTCTTTCTTTATTGTAACGTTCTCATGTCATGTCTTTTTCTTGTTTCTTTCTGTTTGTTTGTCTTTTATTCTTCGTTATTCTCTCACCATCGCAATCATGTTCACCCCATTTCTCATCATAACCTCTCCTTTGCACTGCTTCTCTCACTCTCATTAGATCGACACTCCTGCCCTCCCCGAGACCGTCAACGAAGTTGTCTCCCACGGAACCGTCTTCACATGGTTGGAGAACGGCACACAGGACTCGCAGGCAAGCAAAGTCAGCTTCAGCGAACGCATCTCTAAACGTTGCCCTCAGATCCTGTTCTGTCTCGATCTTGACAGCGTTGCCAACCTCAACAGCGACGAGCTGAGTGAAGAAGAGAGAGAGATCGCGAGCATCCGATGGATTACTGCAGTTCAACCTCCTGGCTGCAACCTTATCGTCTCCTCTTCCCATCCTCTCGCCCTCCAGACTGCCAATGGTCAGTCCCTTCCCTTGCTTTCTTATGCTCCCACTCCCACTCCCCCTTCGCCCCCCCCCCTCTCCTCGCTTCCCTCCCTCCTCTTCCTCCCCTTCCTCCCTTCAGCTTGTTTTCTCCTTTTCCTCTCTTCCAATCCTTTCGGCAACTTCCTCCTTCCTCTTCTCTTCTCAAACCCCTCATGTTCAATCTTATTTCTGACTCCCGTTGATCTCTTTCTTTCTGCCTTCCTCTCTCAATCTCCTCCTCAACTTCCATCTTTCTCCTCCTCCTCCTCCGCTACCATCCCCTCTCTTTCCCCTCCTCTACTGCGACTCCCCTCGCCTGCTTCGTCTTCAGAGCTCTACTTCTGGCCCATCCTCGAAATGCCCGACCTCGAGCAACAAGACACGATCACCATAATAGAGAATTACTTCGGTATGAAAGGTCTCCCGTCAAACGATTTTCTCAACAACCAGGTCAATCTCTCCGACTTTCTTTTTCCCTGCTTGTTTCTTCCACTGACATTTCCCACAAGATCTTCAAGCTCAAAGTCGAAGACCGCTCCTCCCCCGCGTTTGTTGCGACGTTCATGTATGAGTGGAGGAAGCTAGATGCGTTTCAACTCGGCCTTGACAAGTACTTTGCCAAGATTGCAATGGTTGTTGTGTTTGACTTCTATGGTGATCATGACGATTTATCAACAGATTGCCAACCTTCCGGCTGACCGATCCATCTCCCACTTTGTGAATATCATGCTCGATAGATGGGAAGACGACTATGAGACTGGTGCACGAAGTGTGAGTTTTGAGCTACTCCTCCTCTTCCTCCTCTCGTCCTCTTCGTCCTCTTCGTCCTCCTTCTCGTCCTCCTCGTCCTTCTCGTCCTGCTGCTGCATTTCCTCACTCTCGTTCTTCTTCGTGTCAAAATAGCAACAGCAACATCAGCATCTGCACTCCTTCACCCTGCTTTTCCTACCTCCACCCCTCTTCTTCTCTGTCGTCCCCTTCATCTCCTCCATCATATATTTCTTCTTTTCAACCATACAGACCGTCAGTCAGTCAGTCAGTCAGTCAGTCAGTCAGTCACTCAGTCAGTCAGTCAGTCAGTCAGTCAGTCAGTCAGTCAGTCAGTCAGTCAGGCAGGCAGGCAGAACCTCTACAAGAACAACACTCTCACTCACTCACAATCTGACATCAACCTCTGCAGGTCTTCGGCGAGCTCCTCTCCCTTATCATCGTCTCGCGCGCTGGCTTCGGCGAGCAGGAGCTTCAGGACATGGCGCGGGTTGACCGAACGGTTGTTTGCAAGTTCCTCTGGGCTGCAAGGGAGATGCTGAGCTACAAGACGGGGAGGTATGTCATACTCCATCATGTAATCAAGCAAGCCATCATCTCAAAGTACATCCCAACCTCCGCTGAGGTTTGCGAATGCTTCTCCTCCTCCTCCTCCGCCTCCTCCTCCTCCTCCGCCTCCTCCTCCTCCTCCGCCTCCTCCTCCTCCTCCTCCTTTTTTGCCCTCCTCCTTCTTTTCCTCCTTTCCCTTTCTTCCATCTCCTCCTCCTCCTCCTTCTCGTGACTTCGTCCCCCTCCTCTGTCACTCGCTCTCATGTGATGGGTTGGCAGGCGGGGGCGACCCGAGCTGTGATCATCGACTATTTCAGCAAGAAGGGCCCCAACGACCCGCGAACTTGCATCGAGCTGCCCTTCCAGCTGGAGAAGTCTGCCAGGATCGAGGAGCTCGAGTTGTCCATCAAGTCGCTCGCCGTTTTCAGCTTCCTCTTCTCCAACGGGATGGAGCCTGAGCTGGTCGGCTACTGGAGGGCGGTGGTGGAGGAGGACAGGAGGAGAAAGGGAGAGGCGCAGAAGGAGAGTCTGGCCATGTCAGAGCTCAACCGACTGATCTCGGACGTGTACCAGCGGCAACTGACGGTCTCTGGACCCTCTCCCTTCTCTGCAGCCACTTGCTCCTTGTCTTTTCTGACTTTCTCTTCCTCCTCTGCCTTCCATTCCCTTCTCTTTTCTCCTCTCTCCACGTGCTTCTGTCCCTTCTTCCCCTCCTTCCCTCCTCCTCCTCCCCTTCCTCCACCCCTCCATCCCTCCCTTTCCCCCTCCTTCTGCTATTTGTCTGATTTGCAACGGCAGGAGCTGGACAAGGCGGAGCAGGCGGGCATGAAGGCGGAGGAGCAGGAGGCAAAGTTTGGTCTCTCCTCCGACGATCTTGTGGCGATGGGAACGTTTCTCACTCAGTTTGGGAAATTCTTGTCAAAGACGGGACAGAACCTTGCATGTAAGGGATGAAGCGAGAGAAGTTGGGAGAAGCAGGAAACGAGGAGCGCAGAAAGAGACAACGAGAGAAAGAGAGGGGAGAGCTGTATTCCTATTGCTGTATTCCTATTGCTGTATTCCTATTGCTGTATTCCTATAGCTGTATTCCTATCTGATTCGTATTCACGTTTCAGGCATCAAGGTCCTCAAGCAGCTTGTAGGTGTGCAGGTAAATATTGAAATGCCTCCTCCCCCTCCCCTCCCTTCCCCTCCCTCCCCTTTCTCTTCCCTCCCTTCCCTCCCTTCCCTCTCTTCCCTCTCTTCCCTCTCTTCCCTCTCTTCCCTTCGTGTTCTTTCTCCTTCTATCTCGCCCTTGAACCCCTCTCCCAGGAGAAATTCCCCAAGAAGTCGCTGGAGTTATCAAGTGCAGCCTACAAGGTTGGCAGCCTCTACAATGAGACTTGAAGGCTAAAATGTTTCCAAAGGTCGCCAATCAGTGTTGGAAGATAGGATATCATCAGGAGGCCCTTGAGTTTGCGAAGCGATCGATGCAAGTCTCCCAAGAGCTGCTGGGACATGACTCGGTTCAAGTAAGTCGGAATGTTGAGCAGAGGGAGGAGCAGCGGAGATGGAGGAGCAGCGGAGATGGAGGAGCAGCGGAGATGGAGGAAGGAGGACAAGGAAGGGAAGGAGGAGAGGAAGGGAGGAAGGGTGAAGAGGAGGAGGGAAGAAGAGAGGAGGGGGAGAGTCAGGGCGAAGGGCAGAAGAGCGGGGAAGAGGAAAGCTGGGGTGTAAAGAATAGGGACAGGGGAGATATCTCTATTCTCTTCCTCCCCTTGCCGCGCAGCTTGCCGCTGTCTCCTCTTGATGCTGTCTCCTCAAGGTTGCAGACGCCTTTCAGCTCCTCTCGCTCGTTCACTTCGGACTCAACGATCTGCCCGAAGCTGAGAAGTACATGCTGGTGATACCTCTACCCCTCTGCCACTTCCTTGTTCCCCTCCTCCTGTTCTCATTCGTCTCGTCGTCAGCTACCTCTGGCCTCCTCCTCTCCAATCCTTCTCCTTCCTCGTCCCTTTCCTCCTCCTCCGTTCTCATCTCCTCCCCCTTCCTTTGCTCGGACTCTTCTCTTTCCACCTCTCAAAACTTCTGTCTAGATGGCGTTAAAGCTCCGCGAGCAGCTGCAGGGACGCGAGCACGCGCAGGTTGCTGAAGTTCTGCTGCACCTTGGAGCCATTGCTCTCAGGAAGGGAAACGCAGGTACAGGGGGAGAGGAGAAGGAGAAAGTCGGAGGGAGAGAGGAGGGGGGAGGAGCGGAGTTGGGAGGAGGAGGAAAGGGACGAGGAAGGAGAAGGATTGGAGAGGAGGAGGCCAGAGGTAGCTGACGACGAGACGAATGAGAACAGGAGGCGGGGAGGAAGCAGGAGGAGCAGGAGCAGGAGCAGGAGCAGGAGCAGGAGCAGGAGCAGGAGCAGGAGCAGGAGCAGGAGTGGGAGCAGGAGTGAGTGTGGGAGTGGTGCCGGTGAGGGACCGCACATGTACTGACGAAGAGAGCAGATGATGCACGAGAGTATCAGCTGAGAGCGAACCGCCTGATGGGTGCGAGATCGAGAAGGATGACCAAGTCGAAGCACGAGGATGACAAGACAGGTTAAGGAGAACGCTGATGGAGGTGGAAGTTTTCTCCATAGAAGATGCGGGATAAGAGAGGGAGAGAAAACTTGAAAGACAGACAGAGAGACAGAAACACTTTGGGGCTGATGATACAAGAGAGGTTCCGAGCTAGCTGGAACCTTCAGGGAGGCTGATGAACAAGATGGAAATCTCGTGGTTCTGCCGAGCAATCTAAGCAGGAGGAGCAGGAGGAGCAGGACGCCAAAGGGGGACGTGACAAGGGGACAGGGAAGAGACGGGGAGCAGGGAGCGTCAGCTGCAGTTACCTCAGTCTCCAGCTCCTTGTTCAGCTCAGCCTTTGAGATCTTCACCAGTCTCTGCTCCCTCCTCACCTGCTCGTGTCACTTCAGACTTGCCCAGCACGGCGCAGGGGTGTCAACATGCAGCCCGAGGTTTCTCAGCTCGAGGATGAAGGAATCGAAGGATGACCTCTGGGGGTCTGTGAAGACAGCTTGAGAGCCTGTAGTGCCGATCAGATTCCTCCTCCTCCTTCCCCCCCTCCCCTCCCGCTTCTCCTCCTCCCTTCCATGCTCTTCCTCTCACCTTTATTCTGACGCAGCAGCATTGCGATCACTCTGGCCACGGGCTCTATGAACCGTTTCTGCGCCTTCTTATCAGCTCGCATCGCTGGGCAGTCAGCTGGACAACCTCATACATGACGTCGGCGAAGAGGAACCAGTCCCACTCGTCAACGTCGAGCATTATGTCACTCCCCCTCGGCCTGCGTCCTCCATTATCCCCCAGCTCGAGAGCCAGTGCAGCACCTGAACCAGTCGAACTCGGTCGTCTCCACCTCAAGAGAGTTTTCTGTGCTCAGGTGAGGCCGAGCTAGAGTACAGGTGGGGGGGGGGCGGGCGGGCAGGGGAGGATGGCGAAGGATGGGTCGACGACTCACCTCTTGCGTTGTCCTCGATGACTCTGAGGGCCTTCTTGTCGTACTCCGTCAGGCAGACCTTCACAGCTGGGGGTGAGCTGGGGACTAGGTGGGCGCTACCCCACCCTCTCAGCCCCTCTCTTGGCGGCCATGAGACCCGGTAGTCCAAGGCCTGCGCTGATCTCGAGGATCCTGCAGCAGCTTGACCCACAGCTGGGGTTGACCTGCCTCCTTCACCTCTTCCTCCTCGTGGAGATGCGGCCGGTGGCGACCTCGTTGGCTAGCACGAAGGCAGACGGCCAGAGCTGAGAAAGGAGGGTGAGACTGCGCGGGAGTGGAGTGGAGAGACGAATGCCTGGACCCAGTAGGGGATGTACTCGTCAGAGTTGCCTCCTGCTGTTGGTCAGCAACCAAGTTTGCGGTCTCGTGATAAGACCGAGGAGCTCGAGCTCATCAAGGGCATCGTCCAGCAGCTGGTTCTCAAGTGAGTAGAGCAGGACCAGGAGCAAGCGCAGACCGGAGCACCCAGGGGCACAACTCATGGGCTCAACAGCAAGTGGAGAAGGACGAAGGAAAGGAGCTCATCACAGCAACGAGGCAGCATGAAAGTAGGAGGAGGGGAGGAGGAGGAGCAAGTGGCGACGAGGACGACGGGGTTTGCAATACCTTGGAAGGATCTTCGGGCATGGAGATCGATAACGAGACGCTGCCGTCATCGAAGAAAAGATCGGCTTGCTTCATCCCCCTAGATACGCTGCAGGAGTTGATGTGAGAGGAGGAGCAAGAGGAGGAGAGGGAGATAGCGATGGAGATAGCGATGGAGATGGAGATGGAGATGGAGATGGAGATGGAGATGGAGATGGAGATGGAGATGGAGATGGAGAGAGAGGAAGACGAGGAGGGGGGTGGAGAGGGGAGCAAGAGCAAGAGTGTGGATGAAGGAGAGAGGGAGTAAATCAAGAACCTCTGTGGTGTCAAGCTCTTCTTCAGCTTTTGAATGTATATCTTGTCACTGCCATCCCCAGCCACGTTGACTGCAAAATCCAACAGACTTTCAACCTCCCTGCTGGACAACAGTTGGCCGATGGCAGTCCCGGACTCCCCGCCCTCCTGTAGGCACCAGGCATGTCAGAGGAGAGCGACGGGAATCGCTCAAGGAGGAGGAGGGCAGCCAGGCAGACAGAAGAGGGTAGCAACATGAAGAGGAAGTGATCGACTAGCGAGAGCTCGCGCTCCTTACTTGCAGGATGGTCGAGAAATCTCGACGAGAAACGGTGCCCTGCTGTGTTGCTACTCCCATCATGTCTGTCTCGACGTCTTCAAGGTTGTCTTTCAGCAGCATCTCGACCTTGCTCGTCAACCTCTTTCCTCCCATCTCTTCGTGTCTCAGTCAGCGATCACCTCAGCAGGCAGGACAACCGACAGATCTCACCGTCCCCATGGTCGCCCCCTCCACCAGCAAAACCGATCAGCTCCCCGACCTCACTCTTGAGCTCCAGGCTCTCCACCTCCACTTCTGTAAGTCTCCTCCCTCGTTCTACCTGCAGAATTTGCGAAGGTTTGAAATGTTTCTGGATGCTGTCGATCTCGTTGCTCTGCAGCGTCTCCTCTGCCGACTTCTTGGAAAGGGTCGTTGCCGTCCCCGATTGAATCACAAACTTCCCAGCAAACTTGGTCTTCCATTTCTCCCACTCTTCGTCTTTCCCGCGCAGCGCACTCTTGAGTGATGTCCTGCTTGGCTTGGATGACTGGAAGTGATGGAGAGACCGCGACGGCAACCGCGCGATGCCGTGGGAGAAAGGAACCCTCCTCGTCAGCATCGACGGGCGAGCTTGGAAACACAGGATTTGCTCGAGAACGACAGAGGCAATGATAAGTTTGAAGCGTATCATCAAACCCTGCAGTCTTGTTACAGTTCTTCACAAAAGACTTCAACGCTTGAAACAGTCTCGCTGGCCTTTTCATCTCTACGATATCTGCTCTACGTTTGAACTTTGTTTAGGCAAGGAGCACTTTATCTTCGTTTGACCTTTCTCTGTCATCGACTTCCCCTCCTCTTCTCTCCGCCAACCCTCCCTCCTCCTTCCCCTCTCCCTTCCCTTCCTGCAAGCATTTCCACGCATGCATGAGATATAAAAGCAGGAAAGGGGGCCAAATCCTTACCCTCATCCCCACCGTGACTCGTTGGGTCCCGGCGCCGCGGCCGCCGGCCCGGGCCGCGCAGCTGCAGTAAGCCTGCCAACGCCGGGAGTCCCCGGGATACACTGGACTCGCCGGATTCGATGATGCGCAGGCGCTCAGGCTCCGACTCTCGGAAGTCCGTACTATGTTTACAAGCACCCAGTGGCCGCATGTCCGATACGGACGGATTTATCATTGACAGCTATCTGCCACCCAGGCGCTCCACAGGCCGCCATCATCGGCCAGCCCAGCCTAAGGCTCCATCATCGGACGCAACCGTTGAACCGTAGTACGGTGACTCTAGTGCCATGGGCCGGGTATGAAATGAAGCATTTATTTCACACAACTATCGATCCAGCTAAAACAGGTTGTTTCACACAACTATCGATCTAGCGTCAGAGCCTCGGAGCAAGTCCTCCAGTTGCTGCCATGCGTCCACAATAGAAGTAGATAAGGTTGGCCCGGCGATTCAGACAGTACATGGCCTAAAAATTCGGAGTAACGCAGGCATTGCCACAGCTAAGCGTAAGACATTGAACATGACATCACAATTGCTCCCATCGTTTGATAGCTTCGGGGATCGATCTACACACTATCCTCACTCGAAGCCCTTTGACCGGGTTTTCTCCGCGATCCTTTTCGCACATAGGGCCATTTCTCAATGCCGAGCCTCCTGCAGACAACCTTCATGGTTGATTTTCCTATTCCAATGCTTGCAGCTGCCGACTCAAGGCTTTCATGAAAGTGTTGAGACAACAAATCCGGAGTGATCTCTATTTGGCGTGAAGCTTCATTGGCGAACTGTCTTGACTGTACTTTCACAGCCTTACACTCGTGAGCCGCATTTTGTCCAGGAGCTTGTGATGCCAAAATATTGCCAGCATTACCTACATCATTTGATGACTTTGATTTCATGTTAGCATCATCGTTTGATGCCCTCGAGAGTAGTTGTCCGGCTTCGTGAAGCATAGGACACACCAAGTTTTGACTTTGAAGCCTGTCAGATGCTGTTGAGGCTCCATGCAACCAATCGAGTCTGTCATCAGGTGAACTTGGGTCAATCTCGATGCTGAATTGGTCCTCAATGTCTTGATCATGGCTTGGAATCGGAATCCGACTTGGGTGATACAAAGGAAAGTCAAGGTAGCGGTCCGAATCCATGATCGTTACAAAATTCTCTCGCTACAAACTATGACTATGTGCTCCTACTTGTCAGTCGTTCCCAAGAGCGTATCTTGTTGGTTTTCCAAGCAAGCGTTGCAGGTGTTTCAGGAGGGGTAAGACGTTCCGCTCGATGTAGCACAAGGAGGAAGCTGCCGACGAGGGGTGGACTAATAGTCGCATTGATACAACGGGTTCTTATTAAGCACATTTGCTGGGTAGGGTATAGTCAGCATGATCGGTGCTTGCGTGCAAGAGACGTATTTTCAATGCCGAAGATAGCCATCCTGACAACTTTACAACATAGCCCTTGGAAGCGTTGTGTCTTGGTAGCATACATGAGCCATCCGAGACTGCGACCCTTTTTGTAGAGCCGAAACCAACTCTTTTCAATGTGTGTAGCCCACCGTCCGACCGTCAGTAGTGTCATCAGTTACTAAAAAAAATCATGAATAAACTTGAAAATAGCGTCCTCCGATTTGAAGTTCGGACGCCGGGCCCGCGGGCGGTGGCACACTGACCGGGGGGCCCGGGCCCGGGCTACTCGGAGTCCTGCCATGATTGCCAAGTTGTGACCTCGTTCTGATTTTTAGTGACTTTAAGATGACTGAGTCACCCGGTGGCCGGAGCCGCCCCACCGGTGGCCGGGGCTGCCGGGGGGTGGCTGGTGATCAGTAGTAGTGGCAGAGGATCGGATGGGCCGCTAAAGGCTTTCAAGTTTTACTCCCCCCGGGCCGGCCCGGCGGAGATCGGCCCCCGAGCCTGGACCAACTTTTAATTGACTCGCTGACCTCCTAACTAAACCCTGCTTTTATCTAAAACGTTTTACATTTGAAAATTCAAATCGATGGGGTAGCTCAAGCGTGTTGCGTGCCACCCACCAGCCTTGAAGCATGACCCCACCACATGATGACCTTTAATTGTACGATCAAGTGGGGGTTCAGAGACTACCCCCACCACCTGTTCGTACATATCGATTCAAACTTTCAATCGATAGCACCCTACCCGTGACCAACCGACGGCATAGATGCATCCTACCCTACCAGCATTATTAGGGTCCTAAGGTACCCCCACCCCTCTTTTTCCCATTTATTTCTTTCTCAGCACCCCAGTTATAAGAGGTGTACCTGTCCACATTTCAGCAATCGGATCACCCCACCCCCTGACCTTCCTACACGTGCTCATCCGTTGCCACTTTTTTTCGACAAGGGCGAAATGGAATTGTAGGTGGGTCCTTTACAAAAAACAAAATGTTTGTAAACTGATTAATTTTGATACAATATTTTAGGCAAGTATAAAAACAAGTGAAAAACTGATAACTTCTTATTACCGCTTTTTTTGACAGATTTTGTGACTGTACTGAAATGTCTTGGGATGTGGGTGGGCGATTTCAAAGGCCCCTGCAGATGGAAATCCCCCACTGTGAAGCTTTCCCTTGCTGGACGCGTGTCGCATGCAGTGATAAACTATAGCTGCAGTGCTAGTTGCAACCACTCACCCTCCTCCTTCCTCCTCCTCCCCCCCCCCCTTCTTTCTTCCCTCCCTCTTTCCCTCAACCCCAATCCCTTTCCCTCCTCCTCTGCCTCTGATCGCTTTTCCGCTGCCATAGCAGCTCAACCGACCTCCTCTTCGTCATTTGCGTTGGACCGAGCAGTCACTATTTCGTGACCCTATCTAGCTTGCCTCCTTGCCGACAAGGCTCTCCACAACTTTTCCCACTTTTTCTGAACGCTTCAGAGCCCTTGAAGACTCACCAACTTTGATTCGCTCTATGGGTGTAGGAGGTGCCACAGTAGAGAGGTTTCCCATATCTTGCATTGAACATGCGGGCGCGAGTACGTTGCAAGTAGAGAAGGACGATGACAGGGCCGAGCCAATAGCGTCAACTGCAGGGACGGGAAGCGAAGTGCGAGCATGCATCAAGAGGAGCAGCTACCAGAGCTGGAAGATGCAGCAGGGTATTCCCTACAAGAAGCGCAAGTTGTTTGAGCGCAAGTCTGTCAAGTTCAGTAATTCTTCTCACCTCCGCATCGTCCCCTCCTTTAAATGCTCAGAAGCAGAAGATTTGCCACCCCTTGACCTTGCAGGAAGCCACTGCACGCTGCAAGTCGATGAGGATAAGCAGCCCCAGGGAGATGCGACCAAGTGGGATGGGACTGGTTACTTCCTGGAGGAGGACGCGGTTCTTACTAAGGATGCCGATGGTCCCAACGTGGTCGGGCTGATCACCAACTCGCTGATCATGGGTCTTGTGGACAAGTCTGTCAGGGATGTTGACTCGGTCATCTGCAAGATCCAAAACGTCATGAGACAGCAGCGTGCAGAGAGGGGAAAGGATGCGGAGGAAAAGTGTGATGGTCTGAGTGATGAGTCCTTGCACGGATCTCCTTCCAGGCGTCCCATCCAGTCGAACATCCTCAAGATGGTTGTGAACAGGCTCGAGGGCCTTATCCATCACCTCAACGTGCATGAACGGGTCGGGCTCCTTCCGAGCACAGCTCGGCTGAGCAAGCCATTCGTGCCAGCGTTGAAGTGTTTACAGGGGTGAGTTTAGTGTCATTTGCTTCTTGTCCGACATCTGAAGGTTGACTTGCAGATCCATCCGCTCAGCCGTCAAGCAGGAGAGAGAAGACATCGTCAGAGATGAATGCTTGGAGGACTGGTTGTAACAATCATCAACTGTTCGACAGGAAATTGTACAGATTGTTTTGAACTTAAGATAAATCAATCAAAGCCCGTCAATTCTTCCAGATTCCCTTTCGGTCAGCTCAAAAGAAAGTTCTATCGTTCAAACGAGATATTTTGTTGCATCTCAGCGAAGCGTGTATCATCTCCTTGCGAAGGCACCAGCCGTGGCTTTGTCGGTTGCAAGCTCTTGTGCTGTTAGCCCCTGCACAGCAGCGTGAGAAGTCAAACATGCCAGGTTGATACTGGTCTTACCTGAGCGTCTCGTAGTCCAGCATCTGCTCCAGCTGCAATCAGTCCACGAACAACCCCGGGCTTCGACTTTTGGGCTGCCAGGTGGAGGGGGGTGAGGGACCCAGCGTTGCGCTTGTCTAGCCTGTTGGCCGGGTGTCAAGCATGGGGGAGGAGACTTGCATCGCTACCTGCACCCTCCGGCTATGAGAATTTCAACAGCCTTGACGTGCCCACCCGCTGTTGAGGATTGAGTGAACGAACCAGAGGACCGAGAGAGGTGCAAGGGAGGAAAGGAGGAGGTGGGATGAAGGGAGGAAAGGGGAGGGGAGGTGGAAGCAACGAAGGGAGGAGACAAGGAACCAGAGGCAAGATGTAGCGGAGTGTCCTGTGAGTTGTTGACAACATCGGGTGAGATTCCCTTGTCCAGTAGCACCTGAAACAGCACCAGTGACCTGTGGCTACAACCCCCTGCCTTGTCTAGCAGCCGAGCTCACCTTGACAACCTCCGCAAAGCCACCCTCCGCTGCGAGGTGAATGGCTTGATTGCCGTCGACGTTGGCCACCTTGCCAGCAATTAAACGAAGATTGAGGGCAGAAACAAAGATGTTGTGGAAGGAGGATGGGGGCAAGCAGGTCGTGGAGGAGGGGGAGGGGGCGGAGGAGAGGTGGGAGGACGGAGAAAGAAATCACCTTGAGGTCAACGCCGAGCGCGGCAAGGATCTTGACCATGATGTGATCTCCCTTAGCCGCCTGCAGCTCACCATCACAAGGACTCTAGGTAGCCTCCAGCACGGACCGCAAAGTGCAACGGCGTCTCCCCCTTCTTCGTCTTGGCGTGAGGATTCCCTCCGTTGAGCAGCAGCTCCTTCATGACCTGACACCCACTGAGCTCCCAACTCCCCGCGCTTCCGCCTCCACCTCCTGCCGGCCGCTTGCGCACGCCCAGTGGACGGCGCTCCAGTGATCCTTGTTGTACATCTTTGACATCCCATCAGTCAGTCCTCAATCCCATCCTGGACAACAGCTGGACCTGCACGTTGGCTCCCGACGCCAGCAACACCTTGACAACCTGTTCATGCAGTCAACCCCCCCGAGCCAGCAGGGCACGAGCAAGTAACCGCCGTATGCCCCTCGGCGCACGCGACCAGGAGAGGGGTGTTGAGGTCCTTGTTGCAGGCGTTGACATCTGCCTTCTCAGCCAGCAAAATCTTGACGACCTGCCACAAAGTCACATCTCTCTCCATGAAACGTCACCATCGCATGCTCGACCTCCACGTGTCCTTCCGAGGCCACCCAGTGCAGAGGTGTGTCCTTGTCCATGTTGGCTGCGTTCACCGCCTGCCCTGCGTCAGCTGAGCCAGCCCGGCATCGCTCGTCACCTCCTGCTTGCGGTAGTTCATCGAAGAGAGGAGAAGCTTCACCGCCTCCCCATGCCCATCAGCAGCAGCGAAGTGAAGAGGAGTAGTGTAATCGGAGTTGCGAGCAACCCTAAGACGCAGCAGTCAAGAGTGAACACTTGCTTCCCCAAACTGTTCCTTCCCACCTCTATACCTCCTCCTCCTCCTCCTTCTCCTCCTCCTCCTCCTCCTTTTCTTCTTCCTCCTCCTCCTCCTCCTCCTCCTCCTCCTCCTCCTCACCCGTCTGCTCCCGCTTCGACCAGTAGCCGAACGACTTCCACATTCCCGCCCGAGCATGCCCAGTGCATTGGCGTGTCCTGAGAAGGCCGATCAGGAAGCAAGTCGCCTGTCTCTCAGGAACAAACTTTGTCTTTGTTCTTGGCATTCACATCAGCTTCACACTGAACGAGGTTTCAATCCAACAGCATTCAGATGTCCTCAGCATCACCTTCAACAAGTAGTCTGTGCACTTGGCATGCCCGCGGACAGCCGCCCAGTGTAATGGGGTGTTGTCATCGGCTGTGAAAAGTCAGCCCACCTTGACAAGGGGAAGGGAGCGCCGCACCGTCTTTCTCCGAGACATGAAGCTTCCTGCCGGGCCCTTGATGCGCAAGAGACTGCAGGGCAAGGCTGATCACTCCCTCCCTCCCTCAGCTGACTTTCCCACCTGCAACTCGGACAGCTCCCCCTTGTAAGCTGCGTTGCACACGGGTAGCTCCCCTTTCTTGTTCAGCAGCACGCTAGCTCGAGCCGGCGCTCTTGTGCTGCATTATCGAGTTCGTCACCAACTGCAACTGACAGGAGAAGCAAGAATCACCTGCAGCAAGCTGCCAATGGCGCAGTGACTGCGTTAAGAACCTGCAAGTCAGAGTCAACTCGACCCAGACACGGGCACGGGGAGCTACTACCTTCTCCCCTACGGTCTCTTGATTGCTCTGTGCCTGATGGTTCAAGTTCAGGAAGCTTCTGGTGCTGCCGCGCAGCACTCACCTGCCCCATGCTGATCTAAACCACGATGAACAGTGTTTCTCGCTTCACTAACTCTGTGCCTCTCCCAGCGGCGGCTGGGATCGCCTGGTTCCCTGCAAAAGGTCCTTCAAACCCAAGGAAAACTGTTTGGAAGCTCGTATATATATCCCAATTTGCTCGACATGGCTACTTTCGTGCAAAGACAAAGCTCATCATGTTCAGCTGCAATTTCACCGCCAATTTCTCGATGCTGCGGTCTTCTTCAGCAAGACATCCTTTCATCGACTAGCTTCATGCTCAGTCTTGTCTCCTGCTCTATTTGCTCTGGATTGGGGAACATTGCAATATTCAGTTAAAAAAAGTATCACGGCTTCGGTGATTACTTACAACCTTGCAAATCAAACCATTCTTCTCTGAAGCACTATCCTCTCCATCGATCCCTTCTGTTCGTTCTCCTGCTCCTCCCTCGTCCTCCTCCTCCTCCTCGTCCTCCTCCTCCTCCTCCTCGTCCTCCTCGTCCTCCCTCCCTCCCTTGCTCCAGCTCCTCTTCCCCTTCCAGCGCTGGGAGACTTCCACATCCCGTCACCCGAATAACAGGACCTACCCCTCTATTTCCCAAGAACACCCAGAGCAAAGGTGGGGTAGTCAGGTGGGTCCTGTAGCAGTACAGTGCCGAGCATTGAAAAGAATAGAAAAGGGTGGGGTAGGCTGACTATGGGTAGGGTGGTACTGGAAGCGGATTTTGATGTTTCTGGGGGAAAGGGTGGGGTAGTAGGAAAGGGAGGGGTGGGGTGATAGTAAGTTATGGTGGGGGTCCTTTGGATGAAGACAAAGGAAATGCGGTGAAGAGCGAAAAGAGGACAGGGGAAGGTGGAAAAGGAAGGAGAAGATGAGAAGATGAGAAGAGAAGAAAGTGTGAGATCAGGAAAGAGAAAGAGAAACGAATAGGAGAGTTGGATAGACGACCAACAGACGACAAGTTGAAGTGGAGGTGGGGAAGGTAGAAGAGCGAAAGAGCGGAGAAGATGAATGAATTATGTTGAATGCAATGAAGGTGTGAGTGCGACACGAGGATCTTTGAGAGGAGGAGACAAGCCGATGGGAATCAGGACGACGTCCATTCAAAAGAAGATGGAAAGCGCTGATGCATTAGGGACGATTAGACGTGGGTCGACAGGGTTTGCTGTTGAATCATGTAAGATTAGAGCCGTTGCATGATCAACCGCGATGGAGAAAGTGAAGCTCGGGTGACGGCATCTCGATCTCTCCTCTTCCTGCTGGTACTCTGGGCGTCGATGGCGTCGACGATTGAGTTCGAAGTGGTGTCGGAGGAAGAGCTCCTGCTCATTGATGCAGCTCTACAGAACGCAACTGCCATCATATCTTCGTCTCCCCTGCACTCCGGTAACGCGGCGAGTTCTTCTCGCTGCCCAGACATTGAAGACTTGGGTTTGGCACAAGGGCAAGAGACTTCCAGCCTGGCAGATCATGCCGGGGAGGAGGAGATGTCGCCGTGGGATCTCATACGTTCATGGGGGAGATGCTCAGTATATGCGACACAAGTTTGCAGCCAAGAGTGGTGTGAGAAGCAGCTTGACTTCACGCTGAGGCTGAGGAGGGGAGAGGAGGAGGAGACGGCCGGTATGATGGCAGGGCGGGAGCATCACCTTGAAGCCGAGCTCGAGGTGCACGACATAGTGGACGTGGAAGTTGCGACGAGAGAGGACGTGCTGGGGCTGAAGATCCTGAACCTGAGGACGTCAGCATATCAGCTGTGTGAGGGAGCCGCATGCGCAAGGGAGATCCCAGTGTTCGGCATGCTCGGCAGCCTGTGGGTCACTGGCATCATCGACGAGCTCAAGTTGTCAAAGGACGGCAAGTTGACACTATCCGAGCTCAAGACGAGAGCCCGTCCTTCCCTGCCGTCCGAGGCCCAGAAGCGCTGCACCCACCTGCAGCTGATGATGTACAAGCACCTATGGGATCGGCTGGTCACCGGGGGGATTGATGCTACTCGGGTCGCAGAGTTCCACCGGGTCGACCTCGATGCGAAATTCTCTGACAGCTTCCAGAGAGCCGTCAGGGAGAGCAGATCGCGATCGTGCACCCTAAGAGAGCTCATTGCCGACACCTCTGATCTCCTTGCCTTCTGCCCCAACGCTGACTCAAACTTCCTCGTCACATACCGGCATCTTGGCCCTCCCGTGGTGGAGCTTGGACAAGTGCAGTTGAAGTTCGATCAGAAGCTCTTCCTCTCTGTCGTGTCAGAAAAAGAAAAGTACTGGCTCGGACAAAGAGCTGCAGAGCCTGTCCGCAGCAGTGAGAGCTGGAAGTGTAAGTTCTGCCCTTTCTCGCAAATCTGTCCCTCCTCCCCGCATTACGACCCACTTCCGAAGCAGCCAGAGCGGATGGAACTGTACGAGGTTGAGGCTGAGAGATTTTCCATCCGAGGGCTCCAAGAGGGGAGGTTTGACGAGGAGAAGATCAAAGAGATCCTTGCACAGTGGAGTGGGGATGGGAAGATCCTCCTCCCAGTCAGTCTGACCCGGCAGCAGCGGAGGAGGATGCATGAGATCTGCGATGAGATGGGGCTCGGGCACGAGACAGCCGAGACCTCCCAGGGCAGGCAGCTTGCCATCACCAGACCGAGCTGGGGAGCAGCTGGCTCGGATCCGCCCACGGGTTCGAAGAGATGCTCCAAAGGGACGAGCGCTGTCGCTGCTCCTCAAGACGTGGAAGACAAGGAGCAGCGAGGAACCCCCGAGAAGCTACGAAGGGTGTTCGTGCACGAGGACCCAGAGGCCGAGCCGTTGGACGAGGACACGGCTGCGCAAGAGAGAATGATGTTGGATGAGATCCAAGCCATGAGCGTGCAGGAGAACGGGCAGGCAGCTCAGAGATCGACTGTGCCGTTCTTGAGGGCCCAACAAGGCAACAAGAAAGCGTCCTCTTCTGCTCGCGGTCGATCCTCATTCCAACACCCTCCCTCTTCATCCTTCTGAGACTTCACTGGCCCCGGGGCTCCGGGACTTTAGAGATGACAGACCCTTGTATTGCTATTTCCGGTGTTCGATGCGAACAAATGTGTGTAAGCATATCTTGTGCGAGCTTTTAAACACGTTGAGGTTTTCTAGTTGATCCACGTGTAAGGTTTCCCTCCCTCCCTTGGGTTTCCGCATCTGTTCGACAAGTCAGCACTCACTCGCTCTCTCCCACGTCATCTCACGCTGTCGCAGGAGCATCTTGCTGTCCGCATGCACCGCACGCCATCCCTGGCCAGAACACCACCGGCCATGTCGGAAGGTCGAGACCGCACGCGCCGCACCCTTGACCAGCTCGACACTCGGTGTCCTTGTAGAAGTAGTTGCTCGGAGCTTGATTGAATGTCAGAGTGTGAATGGAGCGAGGAGCGTCAGTAATACCTTGAGAGCAAGGAGCACACTTGTATGGCAAAGGTGCTGGCGGGCCGGGCCATATCGCGAAACCTTCTAGTTTGGTATCTGCAACTCCTCCTGTACAAACTTTGCAAGAGCCAGGAGAGAGGACCTGCAGTCATGGTCATGCTCTGCAGCCATCAAGCCGGAATGGAGCACCTGACATGTGAGTGAATGGTTGCAAGCATACTGAGCGACATAGACGTTGAGATCGCAGTTGGTGCATGTCATATCAGTGCATTGCATCCTGGCCCTTTGACGGATAGTGTCATGGTATTCAAAGAAAGCAGAGCTGGCAGGGCCCTCGGGCATGAGATTGTTCTGAGAGGGCAAGCACGTCCTCGCAGCCCACACATGCCAAACATCTGGTAGGGAGCTCGCGATTGCGCGAGCCCTTGTGAGCTCCCAAGCACTGATATCCGCCTTGACGGAACCCGTGTAGGAGGAGGAGGAGGTTAGCCTCCATCCCTTTGATATGAGGAAGGAGCCAGACACAGACCTCTGATCGGTGAAGGAGAAGTTGGGGAAGGAGGAGTGACAGAGGGTCATGTGGAAGAAGGCAGCGTTGCTGCTGCTGTTTGCGGGATATGGCAAGCAATCCATGGTGAATGTCTTGACGATCAAAGCGCAGGTAACCTGCTGACAGATACATCGATCGGGCAGCGATCCATCGGCACAGGACGGGTAACCATCGGGACATTTGCACTCGATCCCACTGGAGCATAGTCCTGGTTGTCGCCAGTCAGTCGGAGAAGTCGGCGTCCTCCACTCTCTGTTGTTCAGCACGAGGGCTTTCACAATTCCTCCGGCACAGGATGAATTCGTGTACCAGGTCTGCACTGCTATGCCCTCGATCATGCAAGTACTGCTGCATCCGTCATGGCTGATTGTGTTTCCATCATCGCACTGCTCAGTTCCCTGTACAACTCCATCTCCACAGATCGCTGCATAGCTGAAGAGAAGATGTGTGCTCACAAGGCATAACAACAAGAAATCCTTGTTTGTGATCTTGTTTCCCCACATGTTCTGAGATGGTTTTGCCCTACACCTCTGATCGTCAGCGAGCTCTACCTGGCAAGTTGCTTTACGGCAAGATAGTGTCTCTGCAGCGACCTACACTTCAATCTGTGTGGTTTCACTTGTATTTGGCTGCGATCATCCTTGCAACACAGCTTCACCCGGGTTTCTCTTGGGGAGCAGATGGAATGCTAACTGCCGTGTCGTATCAGAATGCACATGGTAGTGAGACCGCTGGCTTCTCAGCGCATGCCATTGCTTCCTCGTACTGCCCGCGGCATCCACACGTCCATCAGCGTCATCGCCCGACCAGCTGCTCGCTTACGCTGGCATGTCCTCTTGCGCACTCAGGTGCATATCACCCATTCCAACCGCCGGAACTCCCAAGTTCCGGACAGGCCCGCCCCCCCCCCCCCCCAACTTTGAGTAAAGGGTAGGTAGTCAGAAATATAACTTAACTTTGAGTAAAAAGGTACTACAGCTGCTAGGCCTGGACCGTGACCGTCGGTGCCGGGCGGTCGGCGGCACTAAAAATTGGAGCCCCCCACTGAACTTTACTCAAAGTTAAGTTAAAATTCAGTACGAGCTGCTAATAATATCTTGAGCCTCGGCCCATAGTCAATAAGTTCGAACCTAATACTGACTAAAAGAATACAGTACTAAAGATGCCAGTACAGAAGCTAACAGAGTGACTGAAAGTAGTATGAGAAAAAATAAACCAGTCTTTTTAATATATTTTATGTTCCCTGGGGTCACTGAGTACATGCTTAAAGGCTGAGGGAGGAGGGTGGGGTAGGTTGACTTTACTCCCCAACTTCGTTCGATGGTGCTCGTCGGGCTCCCCGGAAACAGAATGGTGGGGAGGAGGATCGGCGCGATTCCTTGACGAGAGCCTCCTGCCAACATCTGAATCAGATCTCTGAATGATGGTTGCAAGCTGCTCGCACTGCTTTCTCAGCATCGCGTGCCTTTTCTTCTTCCATGGCGCGCAAGGGACACGTGAGCACAAAGATTGCTTTGCATGTGGATGTTCGGAATGCTCACTCTGTTTCACCAGCACTTCAGTGGGAGCATGTCGATCCCGTAGGGAGGAGCCCTACAACTCGCTACAGCCATGCAACCGTGAGCTTCCGAAACCTCCAAGGAACCATCATCATCTATGGCGGGTGAGGGATCCTATCGCGCGCATTCTTTACCCCCATGATCGTTGAATGTGAACTTGTAGGGCCACTGGTAGCAGCAGCACTGGTGTGACTGTGATGGATGATGTGTGGATGTACGACTCGTCCTCCAAGTCTTGGGATGAGATCACCTTCGTTCCCAACCTCAAGTTCACTTCCATGGACTGCAAGACAAGTACCCTCAACACGCGCATGCCAGGGTCTCGAGCGGGCCATCGCATGGTGGTCACCCAGTCCTTGGCGCTCATGTGTGGAGGATACTCTGCTATGATTTCTTCCGTGGCCTCCTTTGCAGGAGGAAGCCTGCTCGATTGCTGGTGGCTGGCTATCAAGCCTGTGCCAAGTTGGACCCCCCTCCTAACCACTCCTGCGGGGCCAAAGCACAGGTGGGGGCACAGCATGGTGTATGACGTGGAGACAGGAGTGATTGCGATCTTTGGGGGGATGATCATCGAAACGAAGAGCATCAGCAAGGATTGCTGGTACATAGTGACCAGCACCGACTCGATCTCCACATCCACGAGGTACGAGTGGAAGTCGTGCAACCCTGCTACAGGCTCTGTATCACCGCTCCCCCGGTACGGCCATGGGTCAGTGCTCTACTGGAGCACACAGACGTTGTACATACATGGAGGCTACGCCTTCGATGGGAGAGGGACAAGCGCTCAGAATGACTTGTGGGCCCTCCAGGACTTCACCAACACCACGACCAGCTCATGGAAGAAGGTCGCGCCCATTACAGACACCCCGACTGTCAGAGCATTTCATGCAATGTGGCTGGTTGGATACAAGGTCTACATCCATGGTGGTCAAGGACCAGGGGGAGCGGGATCCTCGTCGGTAAGTTCGAGCTAACAATGGGAGGAGGATATCTTGAACGCTTCAGCTGCTCGGCTGACTTGCATCCAGGCCTTATCAGATACCTGGGCGTATGACATTCTGACTTACTCATGGACACAATACAGTGCTTCTGATGCTGCTCCTGTAGCTTCACACATGTCCGTCGCTGCTGTTTCCGACACTCTAGCGTTGGCGTTCGGAGGTATCGACTCGGATGGGAGTGCTTCAGGTTACCTGGGAGCCTTCAAACCGCAGTCTGGATGGAGCAAAGGTAAGCTGAGTCCCACGAGTGATGGGAGCGTGTTGAGGGATGAGCATGTTTCTGACTTCCATGCAGCGCTTGCTTCAGGAAATCATCCGCAAGCGAGGAGCGGTCACTCGGCAGTATACGACAACGCCGCATATCAGATGGTCATTTCATTCGGCATCGGGGTCGGACCGACGCTACTGGGGGACTTGTGGGCGTTTGATCTGGATCAGTTCAGCTGGACGTGCTTGCAAGGGAGCCAGCCGGGATGCAAAGCCCCGGCGAGCATCGGAGGGCCGGGAGTTCGAGCGCATGCAGCGTCAGTGCGGGTGGGAATGCAGGCGTATTACTTCGGAGGGGTCAGAGGAACCGCTCAGGCCTGCCCAGACCTTCAAGGCAAGCGAGAGATCTTCTCAACCATCAACGACATGTGGCAACTTGACTTGATCTCTTACAAGTGGACGGCCGTTCAAAGTGCAACGGCGCCTGACAAGCGAGCCTTTGCCAGCATGGCGTACGCTGGTCACGTAGGAAGCCTTGTGGACGCCGTGGTGATGGTCGGAGGAGCTCAGGTAGACTGCAGGACAGAAAACCCCCCATGCGCTGTGCCGCAACCGATGAAGGACATCTGGTTCATCGACGTCGCAATGCAGGTATGGCGGGATGGGATGTCGAAAAGTAGAAATGAGCTGCATCACTGACATGAGCATGCGCATGAAGGAAACGGACCCGACAGATACTATGGCAGTCTTCGACGGCATAGACGATATCATCGCCGTCCAACTGCCGTCCTGGTAAGCGTCGTGAGTCAGCATCGGCATTGAGAGCCTGACGGGGGCGACTGACAGGACGTCGGATAAGATTGTTCTCTCGACCTTGTGGCTGGAGGCCTGGACGCTGCTGACAACACGGGTGGTGACGAAAACGATCCTCTTCGACATCTACTATCAGCAAACGCCGGTACTTCGCTGGTACCTGGAGAGTGTAGGGAGCGAGGTGTTCTGCGTGCTAGTTCTCAAGCCTGGCTCGGTACTGCAGCCTTGGTTGATTTGCTCCCCCTGAGAGCCTTTGTGACTTGGCAGGCTCAGAAGATGGTGAAGAAATGGGGCCCGATCCAGCAGCAGATCATCGGCCAGTGGCATCACGTGTGCTTCACGCTGAGATTCGGAAGGGTCTACTCCCCCTCCGACTATTACCCAGACGCTGTGATCGCGCAAGCGTTCATGTTCGTAGACGGGGATACAGTGCAAGAGTTCGGGGCTGACTTTTCCGGGATCAACATCAAGAACGACCTCAGGCTGACGACTGGAGTTACCAGCCTCTACGTAGGTGGGAGCAACCCGTCGATAGATGCGACTGGGTATCAGAACTTCAAGGGCAACATCGACAAGATCAGACTGTGGTGGCCCTCCTGCCCCCACCGAAGTGACCCAACCCGCTGTAATCCCTACGGCTTCCTCCACCCAAAGCTCAAAGACGGCAGCGCTTCGCCGACAGCCAAGGACCCCACGACGGACGCGACCCTCCAGGTGAGCAATGACTCCATTGCCTTCAAGCCTCTGACGAGCTGCCTGCGCTTGTGCAGGAGAAGGACGTTCGCATCTGGCACGTGGCTCAGCCGGTCTATTCTAACATGTTCTTGGGCTCAGTGCGGGCTGAAGACGCCAGAGACTTGCTGGTCAATCTCGAGCTCAACGAGAAGGAGATTTCTAGCGGGTCCATCGGAAATTCCGGAACAGGGGGACCTTTGCAGTGCGAGTGCATGTCAGGCAACGGGACGGTGTGCGAAGACTACGAGAGGCTGTCGGCTCTCAGTGCGACTTGCGATGGCTGCGAAGATGCAAGCTCGTGCTCTTTTGACCGATGCTCTCAGTTTGACATCGACTGCCTGGCGTCTGTTGACTGGACAGACATAAACCAACTGACTAATTATGCAACAAGTGGGACATGTCAGTGCCGCAATGCCGCTGACTGTCCGCTAGCGGTGGAGCAATGCGCATGTCCGACGGGGTTGTCAAAGACATGTAGCAAATGTTCAGTCAGCATGCACGTCATGTACACTGGCGATGCGTACACTTGTACCCCTGGCTCTGACTGCCTCGGTAATGCCCGGCCCGTAGCAGGGCCCTGGTGTCCAGAGGGTCTCTGTACCGAGTGGGAATGCTCCTGCTACAGCACCCAAGATCAAACCACAATCTACGGCGGCCTCGTACAAGACGATAAGTACACTGGGGTGGCGACCTGTCCACAAAGCTGCGCCAACAGCAACGAGGTTGTGGTTACCAACACTGACCACCAATGTGAGACAAAAGTCGCTTGCTGCACGGCATGGGAATGGAACAGCGACATGGGCGCGTACAAGTGTACAGGAAGCACAACTGACTGCAATATCGGGCAGTGCTGCATGCCCGGATCGGTCAGAAGTACAGAGGCGTCGGCGGGAGGAGCATCGAAAGATGCTCTCCTGAGGAGGCTGAAACCTCGCACACTGCCGTCAGATCAAGGAGCAGGGGAGGCACACACGGAGAACAGCAACTCTTCGTTGCACAGAACGAGCTCCAACGTCGCTCTTCGTGCCACCACCTCCTCCATCCCGAGCTCATTCATGTACTTGTCCGTCTCTGCGGCATCCAGGCAGCCTCCCCCTCCCATGTGCGATTACTCGAGTACGCCTGCTATGGACAGCTACTTCCAGGACCCCCTCGTGACCTACATACAGAGCAGTGATGATCCCACTACGAACCCGCCAGACCTGTTCTGGGACATTTTTGTTCAAGTCACTGACACGGCTGATTACAACAATGTCAAGGAACAGGTTGACGCTGCGGTGCAGAGCTTCAACTTTGACTGGGGTCAATGTTACGATGTGACGTCCGTCCAAGACTCTCTTCCTCATATTTGTGGGGATGGTCTCAAGGTCACGAGCTCCAACATACCAGCGACCTATGGCATGCGCACGAGCATCCTTGAGCAGTGCGACACAGGCAGTTCGAATGGGATGGGAGGATGTGAATTAGAGTGCAAGTGCTCTCCCAACTTCAACCCTTCCACTACAAGCACAGGCTGCGTCTGCTCCAACCAATTTGTCTACAATCTGAAAGGCACGGAAGCAAGTAAGGTAGTTGCAACTGCCAACACCATCCATCTGCGTATCAATGTGGAGCAGTACACTGTCAATCCACACATGGAAGCTCTTACGGCATCATCCGATAATCCTGTCGTCATCACCATCTCAGGACTTACTGGATCGCAGACTGGAAGCGGACGTCTCCCAGTGTCATGCACTGCTTCTCTTCCGAGCACGTGTTTTTGGGCAGCGACTGCAGACTTTGCAGGATGTCCTGCCATGGATTCTTGCAGTGCAATTGGAGTGCAGACTGATCTCTACACCCTTGAACCAGGGGTGGTCGATTGGGATCAGACAACAGGAACACTCAAGTTTTCTCTCACTAGCAGCATATACTACATCCCCGAGCTCGAGACTGCCGGCCCTTATCTTGACTTGTCCATCTCCCTTGAGAACGGTCAGATGACTCAGCTGCCTCCGACCGTCACAGCGACTGCCTGCGCCAAGAACGGCGCTCCTCCCACCATCGCCCTCTCGTCGACCGCAGGCTTCTTCACCTTCAGCCAGCGTCTCCTTGTGGAGGGTCAGGACACCACAGTCTCTTACAAGTCATCTACTGGATCCGAAATTGTCGTGGGTCAAGTCAGTGTGTCATCCATCATGCCCGCGGGTAGCGCCGGATCAGCCACTGCGGCTGCGGCTGATGCGACGAGGTTCGGTGGCGTCAGCACGGATGCGATGAGCAGATTGCCGCAGAGCGGGACCTTAGCTGGGAACGAAGGCACTTGCCTCAAGACCAGCAGCGACTCGTCTGTGACCAGCCTAGAGGGAAGCGTGAGCATCAACATCGACGACACGCTGCGGAGAAAGGCAGGCGGATGCTTCGAGACCAGCGACAAGACTCTTGACATCTGCCTGAGGGGCAAGACGGGCATGTACCTCTACGACTCCAAGTCTCGCTTTTGGACGCCTGACGCTGAGGTGAGCATGGCGTCGCTGGATGCTAGCGCTGTCTCGACGACCAAGCTGAGCCCCAACGCCTTGTACGCTGCCATCTCCACGCCCCAATGCTGCGTCCTCGACGGCACCGCCAAGCCTTGTGGAGAGCGCGTATGTCTAGGCAGCTCGCCGAGCAGCTCAAGCGTGACGGCGACGCTAGGAGGAGGCATCACCTCCCGCATGCCCTCCTTGTCTCTCACGACTCGCCCGTTGTACAAGTCCAAGGAGGCGTTGGATCAGTTCTTCGCCGCCGCCTCCAATCCCATGCCGACCCGCATGGGCTGGAAGCAGTACTGCCCGTCGGGATCCGCCTCGTGTTCGGGGCCTGTCACAACGTCCGGGTGGCTTCCAGCGAGGTTCGGACATGCCATGACGGTCACGAGCGGCAACACGGTGCTTGTGTTCGGAGGGCTAGGATGCGCAGCGACGACTACGATCAACGGCAAGACGATCTGCTCCAACCTGACGGATCCCTTGAACGACTTGTGGGAGCTCGACCTCGAGAAGGCTCTGCTGGGGTTGAACGCGATGCGTCTGATAGAGCTGAGCCCAGCTCTGAGCGGAATGGTCGGAATGTCCATGGTGACGCTGGGGACCGGGAGCTACAAGGTGCTAGTCGTCGGAGGATCAGAACAGAGCTACAACTCGCTGTACCTGATGGATCAGAAGCTTGCTCCTTACACTTCTGGCACGCTCATGATCAGTGAGGTTGAGTACAACGCAGGCACAACCATCCAGAGCTCAATCTCAACAGCCTACGAGATGACTGGCCACTCGGTGGTGGTGAACAGCTCAGCCGCCATCATCTGCGGGGGCTTCATCGCCAACTCCCTCTCCAGCGCCATCTTCGTGTACGACCTCAGTGCTGCTGACCCCTCCCTTGGGCTGTCAACCGTGTCCAACTACGGAGACAGCCCCTCTGCTCGAGGCTTCGAGGGCCTCGCCAAGCCAGACTCGAAGACGCTGCTCATGTATGGGGGGATGCAAATCAGGAAGCCCATAGGAGACCTCTGGAAGTTCGACCTCGCCACTCAGAGCTGGCAGCTGGTCCACACAACAAAAGCCAGCAGCAAGTCGCCTGATCCGTCCGCCTTCTCCGCCTTCACCTCCTTCACGGCGACGGGGGTCCAAGGCAAAATTATGGTGTCGCACGGGGGGATCCTGCAAGGCTACGCGAAAGGCACGACGTTCTTGCCGGGGAGCAGCAGCGACACGGTGAACCAGGTGCGATCAACAGGTAACATCTACTTCTCTCAAGACATCACGTCGACAGACCCAACTTCTTGGATCGGAGCCCGAGCTGCGATAGGGCAGAGCTTTCCAGGGCGATGCATGCACACCATTCTGAATGGAATCTTCTTGCCCGGCAAGGACTCGATCCTCTTTCATGGCGGCGTCGGCAGCACTGGACAAGGATTGTCTGACATGTGGCTGATGGATATCACATCTATCACCCCCGGTGTGAACATGAGGATCATCTTCGACGGCGTCACAGCGTCAGAGTTTACCTCAACTGTAGTTGATGACCTGAAGGTGTTGTTCAAGTACCCTGTGCTGATCTCTACAGACCCGATCTTATCAATGTTTTATTCCCCTGATGTCCTCACGGGCATCTACAGCAGCATATCAGTGATAGACAATCCAAATCGGAATCAGTCCATCATAGTCTCCTTCGCTTCAACACCGAACTCAGCATTTACTCTCATGTATTCTCTATTTTCATCCGTTGATCAGTGGAGCAGCACGCTATCATCTATGTTGGAGGCTGTCCAGTACGTGCCGAGTCAAGCAGCACTTGCATCCAAAGACATCTTGTCCAAGCTCGTGCTGTCCAACGACAACGGGCAGTTTAGTGATATCAACTATGAAGATTTCAAAGGATATCTGTTAAATGGTTTCAGGGACTACATGTTCAGTCTGTACAAGTTTGATGCAGCGAGCAGCTGTAAGAGCTCGAAGAACGCAGGTGCGTGTAATGCGTGTGATGTCGCTTGACGCGTTGTTGCTTCTGACATACGTTTACAGGATGCATGCGCGGAGTTTGTCAAGGGACAGTAGAGGACTTCAATCTCGGGGAGGTCGAGACATTCGACTACGGCGGCAGTAGGTACTGCTATGGCGATCAAACCAGCAGCGATCGATGCTCTGCCGACTACGCATGCTCCCTGCCAAACATCCGCCATGGTCATCGATCCGTCGCCTTCTCGTTCCGAGGGACCGTAAGTGCCTCTTCCAGATTCTCTGATCCCTCCGCCTACTTTCGCTCCTCACCATGCGAGCTTCATCCTCTCTGACTAGCTTGCAGAACCTCATCTACTTGACCTTCGGAGGAGAGACAACCGACCTAGTCAAGCAGACTAATGGAGGTCTGACAGCTGGGACTGGCAGCTTGAGCAACGAAGTTCACACTGCATACTTTACATCCGACGAGGCTTTCTTCGTCAAGCTCATGACCAGCTGCGACATCACCGGTGGTGCCTGTCCAACCAAACGAAGAGACGCGTCGATCGCCCTCATGGGCAACACCGGGAGCGTCAACGGCCGTCTGCTTGTGTTCGGTGGGATCACGTGCGCAGGAACAACCGGCTGCAGCCGCTCGGTCATCTTTGACTACCTCGATGGCGCTGGCAGTACCTCGGCGACTGCGCTGAACGACCTCTGGTCTCCTCGTCCTCCTTGCTGCCTCATGGCCTGACGAGGGTTGTAGGTACCTCGATCTCACCGACCTCGATCTTAACTGCCTGTCAACTGGGAGCTGCCTTACTACCTTGCCGTGGGCTGAGGTGACGTCAACAGCATCGGTCGTGTAAGCGCGACGGTCGCTGACGAGTCGATGCAGGTGGATGTGCCAGGCTCGCGTCCATCAGGTCGCTTCGGTGCTGGCATCGAGCTGGACCTGACGAACTACTACTTGTATATTATCGTGAGTCCTTGTGAGCTTGTACGTCGGCCAGGAAGTGAGTCAGCGCAGGGAGGCACCGGTTACACCAGTGGAGTTGGATTCGTAGACTACGGCGATCTCTACGTGTTCCAGCTAACCGACGCTTTCTACAAGCGATGCAGCGCGACAGGTCAAGCGCTTACATCCGCCATGGCAGGAGTGAATGCCATCTTCTACCTGCAGTGTCAGGTTAGCGAGGGAGGCGATTGGCGTGAAGCTGATGTGAGAACACTTGCAGGACAACTTCGGACAACCAGCGGACGGAGCAAAGTTCGCCGTCGAGATCTCAGGCACTAACCTTCCGAGCATTTCTCCTTCGGTTGTCAGCCTGGGCAACGGGCAGTATCGCTGCGCTTACACGCCCGTGGTGATCGGAACCTACAAGCTGAGCATCTTCGTGGGGAGAGGAGGCTCAACCTACCAGGACCTCATCTCCGGATACGATAAGGAGCCGACGAACTCGATCAATGAGTTCGAGCTGCTGGGCAACAGAGCTAATCCCAACCCCTTCACGCTCGCAGTTCTGCCGGGCTCGACCTCACCTGACACGTCGGTTGCTACTGGCGACTTCCTCTCCCTCACCACCTGTGGCGTCGTGTCGACCTTCATGATCACAGCACTTGACGCCTTTGGTAACCGCCGACCTGGTAGAGACAGTCTCAACGCCATCATGACCTTGTGGGACGTGGCCAAGGCTGCTCCGGTGGACTCTGGAGCTGATCCGCAAACTGCCGTCATCTTTGACAACACGGACGGCAGCTACGAGACTTCCTACAAGATCACCCGGTCGGGCAGCTACTCCCTCGAGATCAACTTTGCGGGGGTGGTGGGAGCAGGTACCCCTCTCATCCTAGAGGTGCAGTCAGCTCCAGCTGACCTGTCCAAGACGTACGTGTACGGGCAGCTGAGAAACATCGTGGCTGGGTCAGCATCCACCCTCTACGTGCAGACGCGCGACAAATACGGGAACAACATCCGGGCGAGTCCAGCTGACTACCCGCAGGGCACGGAGAGCATCGAGTTCGAGATCTGCAAGACGTTTGGGAACAACGCACAAGACCCTTGCGGAGGAGGACAGATCGAGAGCAGCGTCGGCATCACCATCGACTACTCCATCGGTCCGGACGGTCAGGCAACCTCCTCGTCCACGGGCCTGCCCTACTTCGGCCTGTATCAGATCACCTACTTCCCCTTCAATGACGGGGTTGTGTCCCCGCAGGTGCCGCACTCATGACTAGCCGTTGGCTCGACCGTTTTGATCCTCGCGGTGCAGGTGAAGCACAATGGAACCTACGTGCAGTGCTTCTTCGATACCACAGGGCTGGCAGGAGCAGCTCTGTCCCCAGACATCAACGTGGTGGACGCATGCATCGTCAAGGTAAGCGTCGGGCACAAGGAGGAGCAGGTGGAGCAGGTGGAGGAGGAGGTGTGGTGGTAATGGTGGTGGTGGAGGAGGAGGAGGAGACGCCTTTGTGAGGGAGAACCCGGTGCAGGTATCTGGCAGCTCAAGCTCGTCGGCTCGTGGGGCAGGACGGGAGGTGCTGTTGAGCAGGAGGGTGTCAAGCTTGACCAAGGACGACCTGTCGGTGTCGATCAAAGCAAGCTTCACTCCTCCAGGTGCCTGTCAGCAATTGCGAGGGAGGCCTGTCTGACGAGTCTGGCAGACACAACCAACCTCCAGCACTGGCTCAAGTTGGGGCCAATCCTTTGTGCTATTGTCGGAGTTGGGCTGCAGGTGATCTTCTTCATGATGAGCGTTTTCGGCCGGCGCAAGACCGGGGGAGGGAGCAAAGAGGAGCCGAAGATGCAGGAGGATGAAATCGTGGAGATGCCAGACCAGCATGCGAGACCTCCGGAGCCAGACACCCCAGAGATCGCTGCTCTCAGACAGATGCAGGTGAGTTTCTCGCTCCCTCCTCCAGCTCCTCTCTCTCGTCTAAACGCTAGCTGTGCAGAGCAAGGGGTTGATCAGTGAGGAGCAAATGAAGAGGGCGGTTGACATGATCCGAGACAAAAACGAGATGCTCCTCGGGGCTGTGGTAAGACACTCATACATTTGACAAGGGAGATTACTGAGATTGTTGATGCAGGATTCGATCATGAAGCAGGAGAAGAACGTCTCGCGTTTGCTACAGCAAATGCTCAACGCACACTGAGTTGCCCTCATACAATTTTTACCGTCGACGATATTCGTGCTGATCAAATGAATGTCGAGTGTTTGAATCGTTCCAACTCTCTTTGAACCTCCTTGAGATTTTCCATCTCTGCTCGTAAGTTGGAGAGCTCGGTCTGCCTCCCTCTCAGGTGCCTCTCGAACAACCCCAAAGTCTTGTTGCAGAGCTGGTCGAACCCACTCGGAACAGCACTGCTTGCCCCGTCTATTTCCGTAGAGCGTGTAGTTGTTCTGTTCTTGAGATGGAACGCGACTTGCTCGAGGCTGTGTAGAATCAAGTCGGCCGTCCCTTCAAATGCACAGAGCTCCGTCAAGATCTGCAGGCAGGTATCATAGCACCTAGCACCTCCCCCAGCGAGGTCAACAGATGCCAACTGAAGCTCTTCGCCGCATCCCTCTCTTGCTGGCCCTGAGGGATCGAGCAGCTGAGAAGAGGAGCAACTTTCAATGGCACTGAAGCACTTCCTCATCAGAGACTTCCTCTGGTTCCTCTTGATAACGGACTCACGGCTGTAGAATACCTTGCGTCTGGTGGCGTACTCGTTCCAGGTGAAGATAGATTGAGCAAGGGACCTCTTGGAGCTGCTTCTGAGCATCAAGATACGGTTCTGATTCCTCCTCCTTGGCTCCCAAACTGCAAACATCCGCCAGAGGTTGAAGGAGGAATGAAGTGACTTAACTTCTGACCCTCCAACACCTCCAGCCCCTCCGTCTTCCTGCTGTTCCCCCTCACAAGCTTCATCCGCGAGTTCCTGATGGAGGCTGTTTTCTGTCACAGTGTTTATGTGATCATATATCGATGCTGCCATGGCACAGCACTGCCTCCCCTTGATTCGCATGCTCACGAGCAATGCCGAGAGCTTTTCAGTCGCAGTGAGGGAAGGCAGCATTAACGCTGATAGGTTTCGAGAAACACAGGAAACCTCTCTTGACAGACTGTCTACCTCACGGTGTATCTGTTTCTCTGTGTCTGAGTCCGTCTCGAATTCTTCCTTGTCCTCTTCTGGTCGCAACTCTACTACCTCACTCCGCGCTCGAGAGTCCTGTCGTTCACTAATCAGTCGTTTCATGTCGTTGAGGTCCGATGCTTGAAAGATGGAGATGAGCCGATCTTTCAACTCTGTCACCTCCCCTCGCACAGCAGCTTGTCTGTCGCGCATGAGCCCCAAGGCTGCTCGTAGACTCCTAGACTGATCTCTCTCTGCATCGAGGAGAGCCTGGACTCGCTGAAGCTCTGCTTCCATTCCTTGGATCTTCTTGTGCTGTGCGACTAACAGATCCTCGTTGGAGCATCGATGAGCCTTCACCTCCTCTAGCGTTGACCTCACTGTCTCCATGAACTTCAGTCTCTCCTCTTCTTCAGAACCCATGCTGATCAGTAGTATCTCACGCCTTCCCGTGACTGCCTGCTAGGCTCCTCAAGGCGGACTTTACAAGCCTCAATGAATTTCAACGATAGAGCAGCAGCCCTCCGCCGAGCCTACTAGTCGTGAGCGGCGGCCCCGGCCCACTGGGCCAGATCCGGGACCCCGTGACGCCGTGACGGGCCGAGGCCGCCGCCGCGTCGGGTTCACCGGCGTACTCAACCGTTAGTTCAAAACTTATCATCCTGGCCTGACTGAGTACCGTAGCCCATCCGATGATCCGGGATCGAGTCAAGTCTCCGCCGGAGGCGGACAGTAACAGTGCACTGCACGGGAGTCGCACAGGCCACTGACCGTGCCGTACGGTACAGTGGCCGCGCCATCATGATCCGACAATGACTGTTCATTGATACGACCCGCGGTCGGAGAAGAGACTTGTGACTGTAGTTACTGTGCCAGACTGAGACTCTCGCCGCCAGGCAACCGTCGGAACCGCGGGCCGCCCGGCCCTCAGCCTGGCCGGGACTTCCGAGGCTGCCGGTTTCAAGGCGCGGTGAGTCCGCGGCCCCAGCAAACTTTGGAACTTTCAAAGTTTAACCGGCGCCGCTCAGCAGCACGGCGATATAAACGCTTATCTCAGTTAACTTGCCTCACTCAGTGCCGCCGCAGCGCGCGCACTGGACACCGCCGGGATCGGATCACACACGTCGCAAGACCGGGGGAGCCTTCAGCCCGGCCGGGGTCGGAGGAGTCCGTGGCACTCATCTGCGGATCCCGGAGTCCGCAGCCCGGCTGTCGGACCGTGCGAGTCAGACGCCGCATCATCTGAGTCCGATCCGGTACTTGTCCGACGCCGACGGTCAACTTGACGGCGGTCCGAGGCCGACGACCGATCGGACGGTGCCAGACCCCGGCGGCGCCGCCCAGTGCCAGCCGGAGGCTGCGGGGCCGCTCAGTGCCCGGCCACGTTTCAAGTTTGGTTGCGGCCGGGCCGCCGCGGCGCCGCCCGGCCCGGACACCGTGACCGTACGGTTCCCGGGAGCCTCGGAGAGCGGAGGCTCCGGGCCGACGGCGGGCCGCCGTCAGCCTCCGTGCAGTGCGGCCGCGGGCCGGCAGGCGGGCACCTCGCCTCCGAGTCCGATGATCATCGGATCATTCACTGCGGCGCGCCGGGGGGCCTTCGTACTGAACTTGACTCGGTGACCCCCCGTGGCACGGCACGGTTAAGTTCAAGATCGGGACTGTCACGCTGGACCCCGTGACAGTATCCTTTACTCAAGCTAAGTCAAAAATCTTTACTCAAAGTTAAGTTAAAAATCAGTACGAGGACAATCAGGAGAGTCGAGGAGGCTTGACCCTGACACTGTCGCACAGGCCAAACGGCGAGAAGAGAAAAGACAGCGAGAACCAAACCTAAACTTGAAACCGCTGTCCCCCAAACTTAACTGTCAAAAATCAGTACGAGGACAATCATCATTGCCTCCGTGTAGCTCGTATTGATATTTAACTTAACTTTGAGTAAAGCAGTCAGTAGTGTAACGGCGCTGTTGAGTTTTCTACTTGAGTTAATTAAAAGTTGATTTCAGCTATCTCGATAAAATTACTTATCAAAGTTGATCTTTTTTTTCTATACCAGATGTCCTTGGGGACAACGACCGGGGCGCCTGTCCTCGTACTGATCTTTAACTTAACTTTGAGTAAAGGGCGCCGTGCCGTTGACAGATGGGTGTGCGCCGTGACTGGTCGTTCCAAACCGTTACAGTTGCCGAAATGCCTCTCAATTCCTTGCCAGAATCGCACCCCCACCCCTCACTTTCCGGAGAATTTTAACCCCACCCTCTCCAACCCCCCGATTTCGTGATGTTCTTTTTTGAAGCAGGCTTCTGTGATGAACAACGGTCCGTGCAACGGAATCAGGCATCCCCATAAAATTCAGAAAAATTCTCTTTTTTTCGAAAGGTTGCGGTTTGAGTACCCCGTGACCCAGATATGTGCTGGTCGAAGGAGACAACACGCGTACCTATCATTGAGCTCCGCTACCTGACAACTGAGTGTATGAGCGTGCGCGGTACTGCGATCTGCTCTTCATGCGGCCCCGTTTCGACCTCACAAGGATCCTAGCTGGCAACACTGAATCTGTTTTCAACAACATGTTCAAAACGGTGATGATGATCAACAGCAAAGGGTCACGGTGAAAACAGAAGAGTGTGGTATTGGTCAGTCTTGGATGCATTGCATAATCCGAGACGAGAGACTCACACACAAGAGATGCCTTTTCAAGCTTGAAAGATCGCAATCAAGACACTTCACGCTCTGAGAGATTGCTTTTTGTTTGTGTTGACCTGCATTTGAGTGTGTTCTCAATTTTGCTCGGTGAGATAGGATGCCACCAATACAATCAATTTTATGACAGGTTGTGTTGTTTTTGGTATACCTTGGGCATTTTGCACTTTGACCCTGTAGTTTACGTCATTACGTCACTTATCCTAATAAATCCCAAATGGTTGTGAACAGTGTAAAGATGTAAGAGAGATCTTAGAGTGCTGATGAAACCATACAGCAGTATAGCATTGTGTACACCAACTGCCCAAACAATCTCAGTTCACCCTTTGCATGTGATTTAGCTTTTCTTGGTCTGACAACTCAACCAGCAAAACAATGAAGTGTTTCATGAATGTAATTATCGATCGTTCTCTACCAGCTCTAATGCCTCTAAGAAAAGCTGTGCAAATTGAGGATCACTCTGCAATCTCTTGCAGAACGGGAAAAGCTCCAAAACCTCTTCGTATGAAGATCGGAATTCTAATATCTTCATATCATTGTCTTGTGAATGCGTATGCGAGCATCTGTGATGGGAGTCTTCGTTGAAGGCTGGTGACGGACGACGCCTCGATGAATCGCTGTTCACCTCCACCAATCCTGGTATTTGGCAATTCGTTGTAGTCGATCCTGTGACTGCAGTTTTGTCATGTTCTGTCCTATTTTCTGTTGCTGATCCTGCTGGCAATGTGGGCCTTACATAGGGCCATTTCATTATCCCAACATGTCTGCATGCTGACTTGAGCGCAGTGAGGGAAATGCCCTAAGATGACGTTAGAGGCGTGCATCATGATATCAATTGGGGATCACTCAAATTATAAATACAAAACGACATCAAGAAGAAAAGAATTTCAGCCATAAAGCGTGAGGCTCTTCACACACAAAGAGAATGGGCATCGACATGTATGTGATGAGGTTTACCAGTTGTTGCGCTGCATCCGACTGCCGGAGATGAAAAAGCGCAGTCAGATCTTGATGCGACAAGGTGATTCCATTTCGTGTTCTCTCTACCTCGCCATTCTCTCCTCGTTTTCTCCGAGGAAACACGCGAGCGACACGAGGTTCCAGCATAGCGTCAGAGCGCGAGTGGGAGTAAAAGATGAGACGGGAGGAGACGTGGGTTATCTTTTATACTACTGCTTCTCCTCCTACTCCTACCGGTGATTGAACACCTATACAGGGGTAGTGCTCATCCTCCTAGGTTGCTATGTACAGCTGCCTCTCAAACAGCTGGGTACATCAACTAAGTTGGGGGGGTACGTAATTGACCCCTTGAGTTTCAGAGGGTGGGGTGATTCTAAAGAGGGTGCATGTGCCTTTGACAGAGGTTCTTTCGATGCAGGGCACGCTGATATGCGGTCTTAGGAAAGTGATAGTAAGATACGATCGCCTAACATAGGAGAGATCTAGGCCGTGGTAGTAAAAGGAGTGTAAAAAAAGGACCACCCCCAGGTGTAAGTAAGACTTGGGGGTGTGAGGGTGTAGTAGCGGGTAAAGTGATTTAATATGTGGGGGTAGGGGTACTTGATCTGATGACTTGTCTTCGATGAGGGGTAGGGTGATTATTTCATGAAAGGCTTTGGTATCTAATTTTTGAAAAGAGAAGTATTGAATAAGGTTTCTGCTAAAATAGTTGTAGTGAGATGGACACCCCCACCCACCTTTCTCTCAGCATTGGATACATGAGAGAGCCTGAGGAGTGTATTTCTTTTTAGGCTTCATCTCTGGGCGGTACTATTCATATTTCAAATAATATCAGAAAATTGATACCAGAATCTCAGAATTTCAAAGATTATAGCGAAATCATTAAAGTTACGACCCGCGTGGGGCTCGTGGAGGCGCCAGGATGAGTCATGGTCCGTTCATCTCACAACGTTTCCAGAGCTCCCGGCCTCCGTGACCGTCGAGCTTCGTGATCACGTCCCTCGGGCCCAACCTCCGAGTGAAAAAAAAAAGACGATGTTGCACCGGCAGACTAACTTTGAGTGAAACTTTACTTAATACCGACTATAAATTATTTATCACCACGGTCCAATCCGACTGAGCCGGCGGGCCGCTCGGAGATCGGGCTTCGCTGCCACATCTTTTACTTAAAGTTAAGTTAAAAATCAGTACGAGGACAATCAGGTACCACTACTGTTCCGAAGTTCCGCCCGGCCGCGCCCAGGAACTCAGGGCCGGACTCCCGGTCACAGAACTTCGGAACTTGGCGAGCCTCCAAAAGCGGGCCGGCCCTAATGAAGTTAAGTTAGCTTGACAGACTCCGAGTACGGTCCGAGTCAGGGCCCGCGGTTGGAGGCCGGGCCCACTGTCCGATACCGTACCGGCGTACGACGCCGGGCCCGGGGTCCGGGATCCGATGATCGAATCCGAGACTCGCGCCGGGACAGTCCGATCCGTCCGATCCCGTCGACCGACGGTGACGGTACGGTCCACCGGATGATCACTGAGACTCCGGTCTGGCGGCCCGGAGAGCCTCCGTCTGCGGTGACTCAGTTCAGGCTTTACTGACGGTAACTTGTAAGTTACTGCTGGGGCCCGGCCACTGAGCCAGGATTCTAGTACCATAACCGTATAATACTATGATCATACCTAAACCAGGTCCGGGCCGATCATCGGATGATCATGTGATCCGGGACACCTGTGACCGCTGAGGCCCCCGGCTGAGAATCCGATGATCGCCGCCGAGGACTCGGAGGCTTGCAAGTTGACCGTTCATTGAAGCCGGTTGAACGGTTGCCTCGGACCCACAGACACTCAGTCACACTGGCAGCCTCCGGGCCCTTGCCGCTACGAAGAGAAAAGACGGTGCTGAGCTTGGTGCTGTCGGTCCCCCAACTTAGTGGCTGATACTAGGGCCCTGTAAACTTGAAGCCTGTCCGAGGCTTGCACTGCGGCAGACAGCCTGGCAGTGAGAGTCTGAAGCGGCCGCGCACCGTTGAACTTTCCGCTGACTCGGCCGCTGCCAGCCTGACCAAACGATCGACGGTACGGCAACTTTGAGTAACTTGGCAACTTTTCTGAGTCGACTGTTACTATGATGATGATGATTACTCCGCTCGGACGGCAGATGCCCCACAGCCGGCGCCGGTACGGGCAGTACTGCCGCACATACAAACTACCCGGCGTACCCGGCGTTTCATAGTCACATGATACGGTTTCGAGCTCGGCGTGACCCTGCGGTGCCGAGTGTCAATCGAGGATGCCGGGTCCCTCGGATCAGATCCTCGCGTTCTTGGAGGAGCTCTGAGAGAAATTCAGACAAGAGCTATCACATGAAACACCATGATGACACACCTGGAAGGCATACGATCGGAACACGGCGAACAAGGGAGACAACAGTGGAAGGAAGATGTAGCGGAGGAAGTGAATGGAGACCGTGAAGCTTCAGGACCAAGTCAGTCAGAGCAGAGGAGCCCTTCAACGAGCACCTGAGCAAGCGAGGAGGGCGGTCGAACTCTTGGATGTAGTGGGCTGTATGCTGAAGAAGGCTCTGCAGTTGCCTGGCGTGATTGTTCCCGATATGCTGCGGGCTCGCAGCTCGCTGGTCCCATTGCCAGGACAAGGCTGATCCTGGGCCTCTTCCGTTCATACTTGGCCGGTCAGTGTCTAAGTCAAGGCGGTTGAAGGGCTGGGGGGGCTGGGGGGGCTGCATGGCACCGCCATAGAGGTTGTAAGGAGAGATGGGGTTGGTGTAGTCCGGCATGGGAGAGATAGACTTCCGCGTCTCGCCCTCCCTCCCGTATGGGTGGAAGGACTGCTGCACGTGCGAATCCTGCTCCCTGCGATAGACCTGCAAGCCAGGCATGCCTGCTGCCATGGGCGGGACCAGCAAGCCCTGGTTGGAACCCTCCTCCACCTCGTCCTCAAAGTATCTTCTCCTTGCAAAAGAGGCCTCAAACCGCTGCTGAGGAGGGTAGCCTCGACCTGGGCTCATCTCCCCGGAGCTTGTCATGTCGAATCCTTCTTCCACCGCCATGTCTGGCCGATGGTTCATGTACTCCCCTCCGCTCTCGTGGCACTCGCTGTCGTGCATGCTCGCGTAGTAGTACTCCTTGTGCAGGAGGTGGATATCGCTCTTCCTCAGATGATGAATGCTGGCAAAAGACAGTCAGGCTGATTGCCTTGCATGAGGAGCTGAAGAGTATGAGAGCAAACCTCAGCTTCAGGTTCACAATGGCGAGGAGGAGGATGGAGAACACAAACACGTCGAATCTCGCACGGAGATCGAACACGGACAGCTGACTTCCTCCGAAGTAGAGGAAGATGTAAGAGGCATACACCAGCACCGAGACGAGAAGGTATGACACGATGATGTCTCCCTGCTCACAGTCACGTCCAACCACACTGACCTCTTGCCCCTCACCTGCTTCGACTTGAAACCCGCGTACGATTCGGTAAGTAAGTGCCGGATGCGGCACCACAGCAGCAAGTCTGGCACCAGCAGGGGTGAGGGGGAGAGCAGGGAGGAGGAGGCGACTTGCCGTCCTTCTTCTGCAGGTTGAGGAACTGGAGGAACTCTCTCCTGCCGCGGTTGCGAAGCTCAGACTGCGCGCGGATCCACCTCGCCCTATAGCGGAGGAAGGGCTCTGCCTGGGTAGCCGCGCGGAAGAGAACGAGCTTGTAGTAGAAGTTCAAGTCGTTGTGAAACCCTTGAAGGAGGAGAGTTGTGAGATGAATCAAGGAGGGACGAGAGACTCAGAAGACAGCAGGGGAGGGGAAGGGAGGGGAGGGGAGGGGAGGGGAGGGGAGGGGAGGAAAACAGTAGACGAGAGAGGAGGGCGAGGAGAGGAGAGTGCATGGGAACTAAGAACCAAGACAGGAGAAACAAGGCAGGGGCGGGGACAAGGCCCGGGGGTTTACCAGAGAGAGTTGTGTAGAGGAGTCGATAGGTCAGGTATCCCGAGATCGCCATGGATGGGACGGAAACGAGAAAATGGACCCACTCCCTGCCTCCGCACACCCAGACGTAGAGCTTCTCATACCTAAAACCCCATCATTGCGATGCCAGCAACTCGCTCTCCTCCCATCTCCTCCCTCCTCTCCTTGCTCTGCTCCGTTCTACTCCCTCCCCGACTTTCTTCGCACCCTCGTCTTCCTCCTCTTCCTGCTGTCCAATTACCAGAGAAGTTCAATCTCCGCAATGCAGACGCCCGTAGCCTCGTTGGTGACCGTCCGTCTACAGGAAAGTGAGGAGGAGGAGGAGGAGGAGGAGGAGGAGGAGGAGGAGGAGGAGGAGGAGGAGGAGCGAGTACATGAAGATCCTGTGGAGGACGGGGATGATAGCGTGAAAGATGCCAGCCATGCCCGACACGACTGCACTGAACCAGCGGAAGCGAGAGGCAAAGAGGATGTCAGCAATAGCTCCGATCTGATCGACCGCGTGCCCTCGGGCGTGTGGGCCCGGAACGCAAAGACAGCCTGGAGCAGGAGGCGTCACAACTCCCGACTTGCTGAGGAGGAGGAGACCTGAAGCTCGTTGTGTTTGAGCTCAGAGGACATGGCAGGATTCAGCCTGAGGGGAAAGAGAGTCATCCCGTTGATCCCTCCAGACGTGCCCTTCCTACCTGCGTAGAACCAACTTGGGATGCTCGTAGCCTGAGATGGTGGCGATGTACATGCCGATGATGATATAGTTGCCGATGGGAGACAAGACTTCCATGACCGAGACGTCTTGCATGTGCGATTGAAACATGATGTAGATGACCAGAGAGAATATGCAGGGAACCCACTAAGACAAGGCAAGTCAAGCAAGCCAGAGACATCAATTTGTGAATTCAGCGTGAGGCATGACAAAGAGCCAGGACGAAGAGAAGCAAGAGCAAGAGCGGGAGCGGAAGCAGCTAACGGCCTGACCTGTGTCATGAGGTAGATCTGAAAAGAGTCGAAGGTCGTCTTCGGGGGAGGAAGCCACTGCACAAGGGGGTAAGGCAGAGTCAAGCCGAAGGTTAGAAACAGACCTGGGAATCTGTGAGGATATCGTACAAGGTTGCCTGCTCCTTCCTCTTGAGGCCCCCGATGCTTCCCCTCCTTGCTCGAGCCGTCCCGTGCTTCCATTCCACAAAGGATCTGACGGGCTCGTTATGAAACCTCGACCAGCCTCCTCCGCTCCCTACACTCCTTCTTACCGATGCTTGTCGAGCACCTTGCAAAGGGGGAAGGCGATGAAGGCGAAGGACGCAGAGAAGAAACTTAACCAGAACTTGGACCATTGGAAATGATTCTGAATCCGCTCCATCCCAAACAGTTTGCCGATGCGACGATACTCGTTTGCTCTGTCAGAAGGTGAGAGAGGATTGAGGAACGAGGGACGGAAGGGGACGAAGGGAGATGAGCGAAGAGAGGGAGGGTAAGAGAGAGCGCGAGGGTAAGGAGAGAGGGAGCGGGGGTATGGAGAGAGGGAGAGCGAGGGTAAGGAGAGAGGGAGTGAGGGTAAGGAAGGGGAGAGGGAGAAGGAGAACAGATAACAGCGGCTAAGAAGGGAGAAACGAGGTAGGGTCTTGAACCTTTTCTCTAGAACTTCCTCCATTCCATCTTCGGCTGAAATGCAGAGACAGCGAGCAAATGCGAGCATGAAGTCCTTGCAGCTGAGGGGTACCTGGACACTTGTCAGAGGGTTAGGTGGCTTGGCCCAAGGCATTTCAACTTCGTCGTCCTCCGCCACTTCCTGCAACGGATCTTCAGGCTCGAGCAGCGCAGAACGCGAGAAAGTCGTCATGGAATACGGAAAGACAGAGAGAAAAGGATCAACGTCGAATATGACAACTAGAGACTCGGGCTTACCTGCATGGCCTCGATCAACTTGTTGATGAAGTCGGTGCCACTGAGCGAGAGGGTCAGCAGATCGAAGAGGTCAAGACCCTCATGTCTCTTTGCTTCTCCACCTGTCATCAGACGCCCAAGACGCGATGTCTCTCAAGTCCGTAAGGGTGATAGCCTTGCATTTCACACTTCAGCCTCACTTAGAGAATCTCACAGGAGGGCACCTTGTCCCCGTCTGCATCAATCAGGCAGAAAGCGTCATGAACCGCGCGGATCTGATCGGAGGTTGTGGTGCAGGCAGCATTGGGTGTGTCGCAAACGGGACACGTGAAAGCGTAGAGTAGAGTTTGACGCTCGAAGTCATCGAACTCAAGGTCCTTGAAAGACGTGTCAGCTCATCGCATCGCAGACAGGAGCATCGTCTTCAGGTTCGGATGTTTGACAAGCATCACCAGAGCTCGCAGAAGTGAGTCAAGCTGCTCGAACGCAGAGTCGTTCTGCTTGTGCTGGAAGGGCCGGATGCCTGCAAGAGAGGAGGATGAGAAGGGAGGGGGAGAGGGGGGAGGGGGGGAAGGGCTGCAAAGATACATGGGATGATAGTGAGGACAGGAAGGAGTAGAGAGACGAGAAGCCGATGGCTACGGCGTGAAACCAGGGCAGAGGTAGGCGATTGCGAGAGCAAGAGAGCAAGGAGTATCGCGAGGTGAGAGACAGGGGAGAGAGCGATGAAGGAGACAGGCACCTGAGTCCATCATGGGGACGAGGGTTGGGGTCGGAGGCTGGAGGGAGCCCTGGGCACTTGTTGAGCGTTGAGGAGGGAGGCAAGGAGGAGCTCACGGTGCGAAAGGAAGCCTGCGAGTGCGAGAAGGTGCGATTGAACATCATGTTTGGGTCGTCGCCTGACATTGTGGGAGATGGTGACGGTCTGATGAAGCCGTTGGCATACCCCAGCTGGTTCACAGGGTCGCTCGACCTTCGCTCCCAACCTCCTGGGGTCGTCAGGCTGACAGGATGGCCAGGGGCAGCTTAGAAAACCTTCTGAGCCAAACGATTGCATCGATCGGTACATCCCAGCTGACTCGTATGCCGCGTACTCCCGCAGCCCGTGTGGTCTCTTGAGGTCCTCCTCCCCGTAGGGATCCCGAGGAGAGTTCTGCCGGGGACAACAAGTCATTTTGATTGCAGACCCTCTGAAGCAAAACCTCGTCCGAGTAAGCACGCCGAAAGCAATCTCTGACATACTCCGGGCTGAACTTTTGGTTTCCCCCGAACGATCCTGATCCTTGAGTCAGCCGGGGGTGATGAAAGTTGAATAGACCACCAGCTTGAGGAGAACGATGATCGTACCCCATGTACTCCGGACACCCTCGGTCGACTCCTTCCTCGCCGTCATCGTACACCCAGTCGTCCTCCATGTGGCGGTTGGGGATACTGCACCATCACGGGTCAGCCATGAACACGTCAAGCTTGCTTGAATCACTTGGACACATCCTCCTCGTTATATGACACACTGTGACACAGCACAGTTACAACACAAATCTTGTCGAGAGACGATCCTTTACCTCTCTTGCCATGCATTCTGCCACTGCACCGGGTCATATGAGTAGGTGTTACTGGGTGTCTCCTCCGCTAGAGCTCGTGCGTCGTGATGGTTCTCTTCAAACTCATCATCCGAGTGCCCAGTGCCTGAAGGTTTACAGCTCACATCGTATCGCAGAGCAAAAGACAAGCCCTCCACCATTCTCTCGTACGGCACTCTGCCTCAACTCTCGTCTCGGTGACTTCAGCGATCTGTTCCAGTCCAACTCTGATTCCGGGACAGTCTCGTTCGATTCTGCACGCACCAACCATGAGCCATGAGCACCACGAAACAAAGAGCTCGACAAGTGGGTGAGTCCAAGGAGAGGCAAGAGGGAGCAGGAGGTTGGAAAGGGAGCAAGAGGTAAGAGCAGCATGAGGGAGCAGGAGATTTGAGAGGGTGCAGGAAGAGGGAGCAGATGGTTGGAGAGGGCGAGGAGGTCGGGAGGTGGAAGAAGTGGGGAGAACCGGATGGCTTGCGATCACTTGGGAGGTCAGCTCGTGAGTCAGAGGGAACATCCGCAGGCTCTTCCACATCTCGCCCATTGGGCATGTGAGTCCTTGGCTCCTCTCCCCTCCTTGGCTCCTCTCCCCTCCTTGGCTCCTCTCCCCTCCTCGTCCCGTCCGCATCCTTCACGGCCTCTCGGATAGTCCCGAGATCTTGGAAGCCAGAGCTTCCTCGGGATCTAGCGAGCCGGTGAGAACCTTCTATAAGCAGCTCATTGTGACCTTTGCCGGGAGAGGAAGCGAGTAGGAGCCGGTGCGGGCTGCCCTTCCTCCTGCTGGGCGTCTTCAGCCTGCACATTCGGTTTCTGCGGGCAAGGTCAATATTTGGGGATAGGCAGAGCAAACAAGTCAAGGTCGCACGTTTGTCAGCCCATCGTCGCCATCAGCTTTCGAGGTAGAATATATCCCAATCTAGAAGGCTCAAAGTCAGAGTACAAGGCTGAACAGCTTCAGAGGACTGACCGGGGTTGAATCCGTCAGTGCTCTCGACTTGAACTGTTCTGAGAGCATCTGGTTCAACGATTGGATTTGTGAGCCTGTCTTCTCCACGAGAGCTCCTCGAGGATCAGGTGGTGCACTCATCTCTATCTCCTGCTCGTTTCTGGCCTCGTCATCAGGTCCTCGATCATGGAGCTCTTGTGCCTCAGCATCAAGCATAGTGTCGGCTTCGTCCATAGCTGTCAAAGAACTGCGCGTCCCAGGTTTGAATGCCCCTATCGCCTACTCGCTTTGCGAAAGCGTCATCTGTATCGAGCCAACGACTCTAGTTGATGATCTCTTCGGCTCCTGATTCATTATGGTCAAACAGCACAGATTCGTTCAAGGAAGCAAACAGAGCTCTCCAAGATAATCTACAACCCAAACAATAGTTATACAATTGCATACATCAACTACAATCTCTCTGAAAGAAACTGTACTCATCTACATTGTCACAATATCTTGACGTAGATTCTGAGAGGACAGGAGTTTATATCTTGTTTCTGTTTATGTCGTACACAGTGGCTTTTGTCTTTTTTTCATTCACCGTCCTCAACCTTTACCTTTACCTTTACCTGGGCATGCAGCAGTCTACTTTCACTTCATCAATGCTTCATCCTTCATATGATATCTATCTCCCTCTCCCTCCTCTCCCTCCTCTCCCTCCTCTCCCTCCTCTCCTCCTTCCACATTCCTGCCGCCCTGAAATCAGCAACCATCAATTCCCTCGCTAGTTGTACGGAACACCACCCCTCCTTAACAACAACACCTTACCGCCTCCTACCAAGTACCCTGTCATTAGATCTTGAATGACCGGGTGGACTGACATTTTCCTTCTGCACCCCCTTTGTCATATCGATCTACTACCCCCCAACTTATGCGGAATTAGGATCCGCTAGGTGGTAGGGGTAGTGCAGGTTTACTCATTCCCCGGGCCCGGGCCCGAGACAGCCGGGATAAGTCCGGGGAACTAGTGAAGTTCATTGTTGATGGTACTGAGGCGGGCTACTCCGGGTTGTCCTAGTACAGACGATGCCTCGCCTCTGGTCAGGTACCACCCCTACCCTTTTATTCAGTACTTTTTTCTATGAGACGACCCCACTGTTTCGATGATAGTTCCCTACCCTACCCCGCTTCAATTCTCCGACTCTTGAGGAGTCCCTCACAGTCGCATGGCCCAAAACAGCGATACCGCCCCTCCCCTTGAAACCTCCGCCATGCAGTCTTCACCTCCTCCCACCGACCCAGCCATGGCAATGGATCCTGGGCCTTTGTCAGAGGCTGCTGAACCGGCTCCTCCTCCTCCTCCTTCGGATCCATCAGGCCCTGCTGCTCCAGCTATGCCCTCTGAACAGTCCGGACAAACTGAGTTAGTTGCGAAGAACCTCCTCCCCCTACCCGACTTTCAGGATGTTCCAACTTCTTCACCAACATCCGACTCTCCTCCTGTGCCTGTGGAGTCTGAGTCTCTTCCAGAAGACAAGGAAGCTCCCATTGAAACGCAGGAACCCGTGACAGCAGCTGTTGCTCCTACGTCCTTGAACAGCTCCGAATCAGGTCACGACAACAAGCCCAAAGTCCCTCCTCTTCCTCTGCATGCTCCAACTCGAAGTGCAACCTCCCATCATCCTTTCCAGAACCTGGTCCCCAGCCCACCTCCTGTTCCTTCAGATTTGGGTACTGGTACCCTTTCGCAAGCTAGTGTACATTCTAGTACACTGCTGCAACCAGTAGCAGGCACGGCGAGCACGCTGAATCCCGAATCCGCACTTTCTCAGTATCTCCCTTCCGGCAATCTGGAACCAGGGCAGGATGCAAGCTCGAGCAAGGAGACTCGTCCTTTATTCTCAATGTTTCTGGAGGACTCAAGATCTGCTGAGAGGTTCTCATTGACTTGTTCACTGCCCTGCTTGACATCAATGGCGGCACTTGTGCAGATCTCAAGGAATTCCTCAGCTATACCAGCCAAAGGCTGCTCAGAATGCTGCGTATACTCAATCAACACGACTGTTAGTTACTTGTCACGCTGAATCGTTGTACCTGAAAAATACTACAGGTGTCAGGCCAACTTTGACTACAAAGGGAACAGGAAATGCCTGCAATGGCAAGGACCAAACGATGGAGAAGCTTTGCTCCGAACCGTGAGCGAATGTAAAGAGCTCCTGCTATCGTAACACGTCGCAGGTTGCTCGTGCATACGGGGTCGGTTTGCGGTCCCCATCCAACCCCCACGGGAAGCTGATTTACTTGACCTCCAGAGACACTCATGAGGTGAAAAGATCGAGCGTTTTGTGTGCGGTTCTTGTTTGCTGTTCTCATCAAGTATGCAGATCATCGACGTTGATACCACGTTTGTACATGACAACAGTGATTTGATCGTGCACATTGAGCCTGAGGAAAGCGAGAATGGTTTCTGCGGAGTTGTAAGCCTGCATGTGTTCCTTCTTGTATATTTTCTAAGAAAAGTGTTTCGTTTGCAGGGCAATGACGGTGGTCCCTTCAATGTGGTGATGACTCATCATCCGACTTCACCCCGCTGCCCCTTCCTGACTGCTGCCTCAGGTCCCTTGTATCGTTCGATTGTTCACTTGCGAGTATGCCGCTCCTTCGAGGCGCATCCTCGCGCAGAAGAACTCAGATGAATCGTTTGTGATGTGAGCCCTGCGGTCAATGGGCTTGGCTTTGTAAGTGGACGAAACTCAGTTAGCCGTCAACGAAGCTCTACAGAATCAGGAGCTTGCGATTGATACACCACAAGTTGTGCAAAATTTGGCCGGTTGCATATTCAAGCAACTGTCTACTCCCGTCGCGGAATACTATTCGCAACAACCATTTTTTTCTTTTCGTTTATACTAGACTACACTTGTATTTTCGCACTCGCTCCACTTTCGGAGGTTTTCAATTGTTGTCCCTGAAAGCAAGATAAGTCGCGGATGAGAGTTCAAAATTGACACAATAGCATGAAACCATCTCTCGAGGTGACATAAACCTTACTTGGAATTCTCATCGAGACCTCGCAGTTTGTCGCTCTCCATCCTCATCACGTGATCGAGCTCTTGGATGAGCTGTTGTGGCAAACAACGGTCGCAATCAGTCCGCATGATCAAGCACAATCAAACAAACTACCGCGCAGGATTGGCAGCAGCAGTGAACTGCTACATCCTGACAAGAGTTCAGCTGCATGCCGTATCTGCAAATTTTCACATCATCGACTGGAATGTAGATCCACAACCCACCTGACTCGTAACTTCGATCGCTGAGAAACCCCTAGTGCGCATGATGCTAAAGTACAGCACGCTGCTAAGAAACATACTGATTCTAAACAAAGATTTTTTTTTTGTTGGTATGCATTGACTGTCTTGGAATAGACATACGCGTTCACACAACAACAACAACCAAGTTGTAACGCCATGTAATGTGGGTAACGTTGGAATCCAGAAAACAATCCAGATGACCAACTAGAGCCTTGCTGCTCTTCTGTTGTCGGGCTGCTTTCACTGGGTCTCTGCGTGTTTGTGAGGGACGTGGATTCATCTTTAGGGTCGTGGACTGAGCCTTCGAAGTTGTCGAACTTAGTCGAGTCGAATGTAGACAGCTCGTTGTGTATTGGTGCTTCCATCTCCGAACAGAGTATCTTCTATCCTCGGGCAATCTCCATCGGCCTACGAGATAGACATGTGTCAGACCAAACCGCTCAAACAGTCAAGAGAGTTTATGTGTTGCTATCGGTTACTTGTCCTCGAGCCCCTAGTGACCTGCTCGCCTGACCACAATGAACTTGCTCAACGTCAACTGCCCTCGGTATGATTCTCTTCTCATTGTGGCTCTCATTCTCGCGTGCCATCATCCTTCTCGCCCCCGTCCCCGTCCCCACTCGCCCTAACGTTACCCACCCTCGTCAGTTGTCTCCCGCATACCACATGTAGCTAGTAAAGACACGAGTGGCATAGCAGACTATGAACAACTGACACGTCACGTCCTCTTACATGACCTGGCAGACTATGAACAACTGACACGTCACGTCCTCTTACATGACCTTGAGCATTCCGTCACTCCATCGCCTCGTATGCACACCGCTTCCCTCAACGTCAATTGACCAAATTTTCAGCCAACCCCACCCCACCCCACCTCACCGTTGGAGTAAGTTACTTGTAGTGAAAACTTTTGCAGGGAGGTGGTAGGGTAGTCAACAGGGGTGCACATTACTACCCTACCCCTTCAAATGAATTAAATATGGCATAAATGGACGGGTGTATGAACAGCCCTTCACCCTGCGTCTCCCGGGCCTTGCCAACGAATGGCGAGAGATGTTGGACGGAATGGAGGAGAACCGGGGGGGTGGAGGAGGCGACAATGCGAGGGGAGGCAAGGGGCAGGTAGCTTCACGACAGGTTGTTAGCATGCCTGCATCTGAAAATCGCCGAGATGAACATGGCTTGATGCCGTTTGCTGCATTCTTATGCAGAGCGTGCAAAAATCGTACGAATTCCTCTGGAGCTCACAGGAGCGAAGTTGAAGTTGAAGACTTTGATTTCGCTCGTGACATATATCCTTCACTTGGATACCTTCCGTCATTAGAACGTTCTGCTGGTAGTTGAAATGTTTTGTGATGAGCAATGTGAAAGAATGGAAGTGAAGACCTTCATGCGGATTCGAACGCAGCTGTATAGTGGCAAAACAATCCAAGAAGTTAGGTTATATCGTGGTCAAGGTGACGCAGATCAACGATGTTATGGATGTGAAAATGGTCCTTAAGATAGAGCTTCGTGATGAACAAGAAATTTTCGCGCGAGCCGAAATGAAGCGGGCCCTGACCATTTGAACGCAGGAGCTCTTTCAGCCGTGTGAAATTCTACTTAAGTCAAGAGAAGATGTCAGGAACAGTCTCTAACAATGAAGAGGTCTGATAGAATGAGAAACTCCAAGAGCAAATCCTCTGAACTTCTCTTTAATAGCCAGAATTCAAACCTTTCGGACTGCCAAAATTGTCCGAGTTCCCATGTAAGTGAAAACTGTTTCGAAGGACGAAGAAGGATTTACCATCGTTGGCAGCTGAAGCAAATGAGCGAGATGAGCACGTTGAAGAAGTTCTGAGGGTAATACCGCTGTGTATCTTCACTCGTAGAGGCTCACCGACCACGATAAGACTGTCAATACAGTGTTCAAGGCCTTCGCCGATTGGTAGGAGGCGAGGTGCATGCTTTCAGTGGGACTGAAGAGCTTCATGCTGCAGCGATCATGCTCTCTTCTCTAAGTTCGTGGACGACGAGTGTAGGTTCGTGCGGACCGGGGTTGCAGGTAGACTCCCTCCTAGAACACAATCGAAATGTTCACATGCCACGTGGCCGCAGAGACGGGGGAGCCGGATGTGACTGCGTTTCCCAAGGTTGCGCTCGTGATCGTCCTCTGTCTCTATGACTTATCATAGGCCTACTTCGTCAACACGCTTCAGAAGACGAAACCCGGAGTCCTGAGCGAAGAGCTCGAGCAGCCGTTCGTGCAGGTGACCCTGCAGGAGGAAAACTACCGCTGACTGCTGCCAACAAGATGCGAGATAACTTGCTGGCGCATGTGTGGTGCCGGTACACACTTGCAGTGGCTGGAACTGTCAAGTACAAAGGTATGAAATATTGTTTCAAAGGGAGCAAAGGTACAGCCAGCTGGCAGCTCCCTTGACCTTCACGTAGGAGTCAAGTCGATCCAACTCCGAAACACTTCTTTGGGTTGGAGAGTACGACAAAATGTGCTGAATTATGACGTCACCTGACATGCGACTACTGCAGATCGTCAGCGTTTGTGATACCATTGATTCGTAAGGGAGTGAAAGAAGAGCGGAGCTGCTTCCCCCCAGTAATGAATGCAAATAGTCATGATGTATTTTAGAACAACGCTCTAGAGCTTGATTCATGCATTGATGTATCAATGAAGACAAGTGATATCAGTTTGGGAGTCAAATTCACATTCGAAGCTGCAAATAGAGAAATTGAATCCAATTTCTTGAAACACAGAATCAACTTATCAACGCGCTGACATCTCAGTGAATCGAAAGCGAGCGTCAAGCTACAATAAATCGATGTAGGGAGCCTTCGCTTTAGGCTTCACCAGCGGCGAACTCCTTCAAGAGCTTGTTCTCCTGCTTCGCCTCGAGAATCGCCTCCTCAACCTTCACGAAGCAAAGTAAGACAATGAGGGCACCGGCGCATCAAAGTTCTACCTCAGTGATGGCCTTCTCTGTCTCCTCGGCCTCAGCGACCTCCTCGAACGCAGGGACGTAGTAATCCTCGCCAAGCACTTCCTTGAGGACTTCCTCTCCCTCGGTATCCTTCACGCCGTCGAAGGACTGCATCGACAGAAATGAGTGAACATTTCAGAATCACAGGCCGGTATTACTCCAAATGCAACAGCGTCCATGTTGGCAGCCTGATCCTCCTCGCCAGAGCCGAGCCCGTAAAGCATCTTTCCGGGGAAGACTGCAATGCGCCTGTTGAGGAAGGTGCCAGGAGCAACCGAGAAGTAAGTCGGCTGGAAGAGCTCATTGCGATTGCCTAAGATCAAAAGGTAAGTTGGCTTAGAACGAGTGCTGGCGAAACTGTTGTACCTCGAAGGTTCGATGAAGCAATCAGAAGAACACAAAAAGTAAGAGCTGTGCAGGCAATGCCGGCAACATAAAGGAGCTGAACATTTGATGTCAGCCAAAGTGTCAAAGTAAGAGGTGAAGCACTTGGCAGGACACTAGTGTACTTTCTTATTGGTTCCATTACAGCTTCTCAACTAGCTCATGCAATTGTTTGCTGATGAAACTCGAACTTTGCTTTGTGCTCCGTAGGGGATCTGTTGTAACTACTGCACTAGAATTTCAAAGTGAATACATCCACCTGCCAGCAGACTTTGCTCACTCAACATCTATGTGTATCGCTCAGGTCCTACTCTTCTTATTCATGCTTCCGCATTCAATATTCAATTTTCAGCTTGCCAGAATCGCGTGCCCAAAAAGAAAGTTTGATACAGAACCTCTATCGCGAGCCTTCTCTCAAACAATTGCTTCTTGTTCATGCTTTGCCAAGCTTCGAGTTTTTCTAAACATAGTCTGTTGATAAAACTTGCAACTGTCTAGGTGAAGAATACCACGTATTGAACTTTCTTACAACGGTTCAACATTCTTTGTTTAATTCTGTTGGAATCGCATGAAAGCAACCTCCCCAAAAGTTTCATCATCAAGGGGTTCCTGAACCTATTTGTAAATGCAAGCTTCGTTCTACTTCATTTATTGCTCACATGAAGCATCACCACTTCCGCTGGGATCCTCATAATCACCAAAACACTGAAGATCATCACACACATTGCGAGCATCATCATGGGTGTCATCAACGTCTCCAAGAGATGATGATCGACAATTTCATCAATCTTCAACGGACTTTGTCACGATCATCAACCACAGCAACATCATTTCTCACAACCCTCAGCCCTCCCCCTCACCCTCCCCCTCACAGTCCTCATCTCCTTCCTCACCCTCATCCTCATCGTTGTCAGTGTCTCTCAACCATTCGTCATCAGGTTCATCACTCTGCTTTCGCGCCTCACCTGTCTCTGCAGATTGCTGCGGGAACCGTGAGCCGCCATGAGACCTCAGCTACTACAGGTTGGAGTTGCCAGATTGGACTTTACGAAATGTCTAGTTGGCGTGAAAATGACGGTCAATTTCCGGTAAAAGCAAGCCAACTACTATGTGCCAACCACAATCATATAATATAATATAACTGGCGTTTTATATTGTTTGATACAATGAAATATTTTCTGTAATTTCAACTCTAGGGAATTTTTTTCAATATTTTTCAATGATTATATGACAAAATTTTCGCCAACCTAGGATGCTTCTTTGAGCATTTTCTTTTTTGGCAAGGCTCCGACGGTTCGCAGAGCAACCCGAAGAGTCACCGAACGGTTATTCTACGGTTACTACCAGCGGTCTCTCACTGTAGCAACCGGGGCGGACCGGGCGGGCCGCCGGTAGGTCCATCTGGGCTCCCATCATTCTACCGGCGTGACGGTCGGGTACGCAGCGCTTCAAGTTGGCTGCCGCGCCGACAGTCCGCAGCGCCAGGGCCGCGCGGGGGCCGCGCGCCCGGACTCCGAGTTGGGGGCCGCGCCGCAGGGCCGGCCGGGCGCACCCGCGCCCCCCCGCGCCGATCTCACTGAGTCAGGCTGCCACGCCGTGATCATCGCGGGGGGCGGCGGGGGGGCGCCGCCTTCAAGCTGCCTCACCCGGGCCCGGGGCCCGGGGTGGGGCGTGGCCAGTCACGGCCCGGGCCGGGCACTGACCGCCGCCGGCAAGGCTCAGGGCCCGGGGCCCGGGGTCGCGGCTGCTGACTCGGTGCGGCCGGGCCGGGGGCGCCCCCGGGCCGGCCCCCCGGCGGGCCCCCGGGCCGGCGCCCGCCGCGGTGACCGGGTGCTAACTGAGGCCCGGCCCTCGGGAGAGGGCCCTAACTGGCTGAGCCGTTGACCCCCCAGGCTGTGATGGACCCCTGGTCATGCTCCAGGACCCGGGAGGACGGGCTACCCCTTCATCTCCCATTGTTGATCGGAGGACAGACGGGGTTCCGGCCCGTACACCCCTCCACCCCTCAAAATTCACCCCTACCCCACTCAGCGTCCCCAAGTCCCCCGGTCTCAATTGACCATTGATCGTGATGCTGCCAACTGCCGCTGTCCGTCAACTCTACCCGATTCCCATCCTCCTCCCCTCGCTCCCGACCCCCTGCCTCCCCCCCCCCCCCCGCCCTTGTTGTGCTGTCTTCCTGCAGAGGCTCCTGAGATCTTTGTTGCATCGCAATCTTCTATGTTTGTGTAATGCTGTTGGAGGCTCTGGATTTGTAGATGGCAACGGTCATTGCCAAAGACGGCCATTGCTGCTCTATACCACCACCAACACTCCTGTGCACCACAGATGCGTTATTGGCTGATAGATGTGATCTGTTGGGAAGAGAGATCATGTAGCTGCTTTCCTCCTCCTCCAACATCCGCGGCCATGTTCACTTTGTCTGGACTCCCGATTTTCTAGTGCTGCCAAGTAGTAGTCAAGTCCAGTCTTGATTGCCGCTGGTCGATTGAATCTGATTACGCTGCAGAAAATCAATCGCTGAGAGAGGACTCTGCGAACATGGAGATAAAATTCAGGGAGCTAGTCTTTTTAATCCTTTCTCTGTCCCTATGCGTTGTTCAAGGCCAAGATCAATATTTGATGAAAGATGGATACTGTAAAGACTTTTCTTTGATTCCAAATCCAAGCCAGCCAAGTCAGTGCCAGTTTCTTTGCGACCGGTGATTTAGTAGATCACGCATTGTATCAGGTAGTAACGATCGCCTTTCAGGTTCAAAAGCGTATACAATGGTGGAAATGATTGTATACCCTCTCTAGCCCTCATGAAGGAGATCATTGATTCTGTCCTCCACCCATCTCTTTCAAATGCTTCTTCGACCTTGGTGCGCATCTGATGCATCTTTTGGAATGTTCAATATCGTGATTGAGATTGACTTCCAGGAGGCCAATGCAAAAACCATGTTCTCAGGGAATTTTCTAACAAAATCCTGCTATCTGAACATGTATCAAGATTGGCAAAACAGAGATTATGCTTGTTCTGATCTCACAAATGGCACGAGAGAGACATGCTCATTCAAAATCTAATTGTTACTTCAGCTGCTCAAGCAAAAGAGTCAGCTTTGCGAAGATTTATCATTCAGTTCCTGCCGAACAAATATCATGCAAGCGAAACGAGCGCAGATTTTTACTGCATTACAACTATGTCAGTACCTGCATGCATGCTGCTCCCTACCACTGAAAACTTTTGTTCTTCAGGTTTCGAATTCGAAATCTCATGGACAATCAATTATTCCCTTCAAGCTCTTGCACTCAAAACGTGTTTGCTTGTACTTTGCACGTGGGACTTGTCATGTTTCCTTTCAGGGCAAATCATTGACACCGCTGACCTATGATTTCTCCACGAGTTGTCCGTCGGCATGTTGGTAATATTTTCACCATCGCGCTGCTGGCAGAAGGTGATTCTGATCGTTTTGCTACAACAGGACTGCCACGTTGAAAAATTTGTTGTCCGCCACTGAAAACAAGGGTTACTGTTGTGCCTCGCTCTACTATCAGGAGATCATCAAGTTCTTGTAAGCTTGCATGCCTCGTGTTGTCTAATTCACATTATCTTGATCATGTTTTATCATAGATACGCTGAGACCTCTCCATCAGACATTAACAGTCAATGTGAGGACAAGTTATCTGTGGTTTGGCAGCTCAGATTTTGAAATCTTTACTTGTACAGGTTCCTCTATCCCGTGCACATCATATGATAGCGTATGTTTGCTGGAAGAATAATCTACAGCTGATGGCTCTGTTGCGTAACAGGCCCTCACCGCGTGCAACACTGCAAACCCCGGCAACACAGATTACAAGACAGATATGCTTACATCGTCAGGTTGGGAAAAACAGTGGAAAGATGAGGTTTGTTGATTTTTGGTGGCAGGTAAATGTGAGCATGCTGTCCATGTATGAGACCCCTCGACGAAGATCATTTTGCTGAAACCAAAGTTATGAATCTGGAAGATTGTGGGTCTAGATAGAAATGAAGGGAACTTGTGAAGAAAAAAAAACGATTGATATCTTCAATTCGGATGCAGCAGGTTTGTCTAATGTTGCGGTGTGTGTGCAACAATCGGAGTTAAGCAAGCAAATTACAAGCAATGCAAGTTGAGAGTCAAAGACCTTGTCAAAGTGGTCAGAATGAGTGCAAACTTAGATCACTTGAACTGCTTTATATGTCTAGCTTGACGTGTTTCGACAAACAGAGGGCGTCCTTGAATTCTGTTATTCTCTCGCTTGACGAAGTCTGCACAAGTATCACAGCAACCTCCGAGGTCAAGCTCTGCCACGCACCTCACTGTCAGGCTCATAGTCAGGGATATCATCCACGCTATCTGCAATTCAAACATCAGTCAGACAGACTCACTCGTATGGCATCTCTCACCCGAGGAGAAAGTTGACCTGTTCGCGTCCCCATGCAACTGCAGCTTTGACAAGGCATTGATCCATTCGTTCAAGTTTGAATAGTTTGACTTGATCGGGTCCAACGCTAGCGTCAGGTTACCCTTGACGCAAGTCACGACCGCGAAACTGTGTAATCAAGAGAAACATCGTTGCCTCACCAAGATTGTGTTGTTGGGGAACGATGTTGGGATAGGATACGGCTCTGGCCCATAGAGCTCCTCGGCCTTGGAGAAGTAAAAGTTGCCATGCGGCGCTGAAAACATGGTCAGAAGAGGAGAGACAGTCGGGAAGTTTACTCACTCCTCAGCTTTGGTATCGATTTGAGATGAGAAAACATTGAAGACTTGTTTAGGAGCACCGACTTCAAGGAATCTGGCATACATCTGCACTCTGTCGTATCACCCATCCTTGCAACTCGCACCACCTACTTGCCTTGGCGAGTTCAAGTCCCTATATGCCATCAGCCTCCTGTTGGCGTCTTCGGAAGTAAGTGAGACCCAATCCCCTTGCGTCGTCTGCTCAAACAATGAGAGCCCAGAGAGAAGAATGTCCTCGCACCTCCTTCAGCTTCGCTTCAACCGCCGCCTCATGCTCAGGCGGGTAGTTCATCTCATAAGGTTTCGAGCACACTGGGCGGACGTGCACTTGTTCTCCGCAGATGGAGAAGTCAAAGGGGGATGGGACACGTTTAAAGTACTGCAACGAATGTCAGCAAAACAAACACTCATTCAACTCTCGACTACCGCATCTCCACCTACATAACATTCTTCCAGATCATCCCACAAGCTGCTGCCATCCGAGTTACTCTCATTGGCAACCGCCGAGTCCTCCAGCGCTTCTAATGCTGCGAGCGCTTGCGATGCGTTGTAAACATTGTTGGTCTCCGACATCATGCACTTCTGTAAGAAACAAGGATGACAAGTCAGATACGAGAAGCACACGGTCAAGAAAAGGTCCACCCTAGCGATTGACACAAGGACAGGAAGAGAATGAATATACACAGAATTGCGGGAAGGAGAGTGGGGAAGAGGCAAACAGCACAAGGGTTACAGAGGAGGCAAATCAGGAGAAACAAGAGCACGACGGGCAGGAATGGAAGAAAGATTCAGACCTCCCAATGACGGTAGGCCGTGTCAATCCTCTCAGCATCCAGGATCTCGTTGTTCCACTGGCACGTGGGGCACTGGCAGCAGCAATAGTTTCTCGCGCTCTCTACCTTTCGTCTCAGGAGGTTCGCATGCACTTTAGGATGCGCATTGTAGTCCTCCAGACCCCCCGGCCTGTCCGGAAAACCAACTTCCTTCATATGCCGCGCGATCCGGATTGAGACGTTCCTCCACTCCATGTGCGTCGGCCTCCTCTCGTTCAACCACACAGTCCCCACATTGCCGTGTATGACGCAGTCCTCCACGATCCAGATCACATTCTTGGTCGAGCAGGCACAATGCAGCGATGCGAACCGGGACCCGACAAACTTACATCCACTCAGGAGGAGGCGGCCGGAGCCCTCGGCCGATATCGCGACGGAGTTGTGATAGAACTGACATGAGAGCATCTGTACCCTCGCAGTGTCACGTACAGACAGTCCCTGCCCGACAAGGATGCCGCACATCTCGATCCTCGACCTCTCCACTTGTACTGAGCTCTCCATCAGACATCTCAGCCCTTCAGACGCCCTCATGTACTGCGAGTTCATTCCTCCCAGGCTGCAGTCACGAAACAAACTCTTGCTCCTCAGCACAGTTCGCACGGCAACACCTCCAATGCACCTCACGTCCGTCTCGAAGAACAGCCATGGCCCTCCCATTATCTCGACGCATTCGTCGCATTGGGTATAGCTGTGCAGGCCTATCCTCATCCTCCTCACCTCGCCCGACGTCTGCTGGTAGAACGAGAAGTTTCCCCAGATCTCCGGCCTCTCTTCTACGCTTGACGACGAACTTTCGCTGGTCATGCACAACTTCACTCCCCAGTACGCTGAGACTTTTTCACGCATGATGTGCCTGCCCTGTTTGAAGACGAAGTTGCCATACGAGCCATATTCTAGCGAGGATATTTTATCCGGGAAGGAGGTATCGTTGGTATCTATCAAGGTTGCTCCATGAAAGAGCTCATGGGAAGAGACGGCAGGGCTGCTCCCTCCGCGCAGGTTCAGTGTACAAGGAAGACGAGCACATAGGCTGAAGCGAGGGACCAAAGAATAAGAGCCAAGGTGGGAGTCTAGCATTGTAAACATGCATGCGAGCATGGCAGTTGTCAACTTCATTGTTATCATCGCAACATTCTCATCTTCTTCACGCCATCGCCTCCTCGATCCTTCAATGCGCCTAAATGCATTGGATCCCGGTACCCCTCATCCCCACACTTATAGTAGGTAATGTAACGGTCAATATAACGGCGTGAGATCAACGGTTCGAGTGCGACGGTCACCGTTTCCCGGCCCTACGTCACTGGGCTGCCCTAAAGGCTTCTCCCTCCTCCCTCTCCTTCTCCCCTCCCCTCCCTCCCCCCCTCTCCCTCCTTGCCCGAGACCGTGCTAGTAGGCTCGCTCTCTCTCTCCCGGGTCCTGGCGGCGAGGGCCTCAGCCTGTCTTGCTAAGTTGCGGCAAGTCACAAAGTTGGTTCCGGGGGGTTTGCGATCTAAGTTCCTTGCCGTCGCTTTCGGAGATCTTGAGGCTCTGCCAGTGAACAAGCCGACTTGAAAAGCAGCTCAACCGTTGAGCAACACTGCGGCACATCACACCGAATGGCAGCTTGACGGTCAGCTGAACTTGAACTCGGAACCGGCCCATCTCACGAAATCTTCTTGTTCCTGCATTGACTGAGTTTCGCCATCGATTGAGCTGCTTGGGAATGTAAACTCTTCCTCATCATGTACTGGCGCATATTCCTTTTCCTCTGCGCATACTTGCAAGCATGTCACGCATCTCCATCCTACTTCCTCACGCTGGTTGCGACTACGTCCGACAACGCTGCCATCCAGCCCAATTCAGCAGCGTACACGAGCGATGGCAAGACGTTGCTATACGCTGAGGCAGGGATAGGGTTTGGGAGGATCATGGGCTTGGACGTGGCGACTAGCCGAGTGCAAGTGGTGGCCGGCTCGAGCAGCGGGGGCGAGAGCGATGGGATTGGCACTCAGGCTCAGTTCAACCAGCCAAGGACAGTGCGAGTCAACGGGACAGTAGCATACATCACAGACAGCATCTCCTGCTCCATCCGCCAGTTGGACTTGCTCACGCTACAGGTCACCACCCTCTACAGGTACCCCTACCCGCTCGTGTCGCAGCAGATCCAAGGCAAGTGCTACTGGGGTTTGGCAGTCGACTCGGCGAACAACAGACTGTACGTGTCTTGCGCGTACAACAGCACGATCATGCAGTTGGACCTGACGACCAGGACCATGTCTGTGCTGGCCGGGGATGGAAATGTTGGAAGCAAGAACGGAAGAGGTACAGCAGCTACATTCTACACACCACAAGGAATCGCGTACTCCTCAAAGCAGTCAGCAATTTATGTGAGTTGCGCGTTTACTGCACTTGATGATGTTCAGAAGAACTGAATGGTTTATGGTGAAGGTGTCAGATTATCAAAACTCTCTCATCAGGAAGATTGAAGTCAACACCAGGGTGATGAAAGACATTGACTTGATCATCCTTCGCTTCTGATGTGCTTTCACAGGAGGTGACGACAGCAGCGGGCAGTCTGAGCGTTGGCTGTGCGGATGGGCCAGCGACAAGCGCGCAGTTTCTGTATCCGAAGGGGCTAGTGATGGACCTGCAGGAATCAAAGATATACGTCGCTCAGGAGGGATCCAATGGTACGGTCAGACAACTTGACCTGCTCACTAACCAGGTCTCCACCATCGCCGGGTCTTGTGTTGGAGGTGTTTCCTACACGTCGTCAAACAGCTCCTTGTTTCTCAATGCGATTCTGAGCGCCAAGGTCAAGATACTCACAGCCGTGGACGTCGCTGTGGACCCGGCAGGGAACGCAGTCGTGGTGGTAGATCACAACTACCGGGCCCTGTACGCCACCACCCTCTGCAACTTTGTGGCCTGCGATCTCGGGTACTGGAGGACAAAATGCGACCTCAAGGCCGGTGGGGGCTGCAAGGCCTGCACCAAGGCAGAGTACAGCAGCATCACAAGGCAGGCAGAGCCGTTCGACACAGATACCTGTCTGTGGGCGTGCAACGTGGGCTACTGGCAGAGCGGACCTCTGACGTGCAGCAAGTGCAACAACTCGATCCCGCAGTTCTCCAGCTACTCGGGCACGAGCTCGTCCAACATCTGCCCCTATGCGTGCGACACCGGCTACGAGCTCTACGACTCTTGTGCCGGCACCTCAGTCTGCATCGAGCCGAGGATGCGGTGCCGGGTCATCCCCGACCGCTTCTGCTTCCTCTCCTCCCAGGTCGCAAGCCCCAAGTGCGCGCAGACTCCCTTCCAGATCCGGGGCTGCGCCAAGGACGTGAAAACGTTGGACGCGGCTGCTGGGGCTCTGTCCAAGGTGTTCGACGAGTTCATGAGCTCGAGCTCAGACCTCAACGACTTCTTCACCCGCGGGGCCTCGACTCTCAAGAGCCGGCTCGTGCAGGCGGCCTCGACGGTGAGCGGGTACGTGTACCAGACAGGTCTCTCCAACCCCTTCGACAACACGGGCCCTTGCGGCCTCATCGACGCGAAGTCTGCGGCGAGTTCGGGGGTGAGCAGGAGGGGAGCTGGAGAGGGTCTGACGTGAGTTGACAGTCGCTTGAGAACTACTTCTGCACCATGCGCTCGTTGCTGACGGAGCAGCTGCTGGGGACCTGTCAGTCCGAGTCTCAGTGTCCCAGCGGGGCCCCGAGCCCTGTGCTTCCCTGCTGCTACCTCTTTCAGAAGCTGCTCAAGGACTCTTGCCATAATTTCAACTACACCTTGTACTACAAGTACACACAGCCGGTGAGGAGGATGAGGGTCTTTCTTGGTGTGATGGTTGGGTAGGTGGAAGGGATCTGCAACTTTGCAAACAACTGTTACATCGGCAGCAGTTGGCGACTAGATGCACGGGGCGGAACTTGTGTTGCCCTCGCTCTGGTGCTGGTCGTTGTGACAGGGCGGATGTTTGCTGTTTGACAACACAGTCAAGTGAAGGAGGAGGAGGAGGAGGAGGAGGAGGAGGTGGTGGTGGTGGTGGTGGAGGAGGAGGGGGAAGAGGAAGAGGAGGAGGAGGAGGAGGAGGAGGAGGAGGAGGAGGAGGAGCATTGATAGACAATGAATGCGCCAATACATCAACGAGGTGCACACAGAAAGGCTCTGCTGTTGGATATTTACAAACACTCAATCGACACATATACAGCCTCATGCTTCCTCCCATGGTCCCATGGTACAACCTCCGTTACGTTAAGAGCTTCTTTGAGATGGCAAAATCAACAAAAGGAGCGAACAGCTGCTGAATCTTTGCAGTCAGCTGCTGAGTATGTTGCAACCCCTGCCAACCAGCAATTGTCAAGTCGCGTCCTCCCAGCTCCTCCAAGTTCCTCTCGATGATCTCTCCTCCTCTCTGCTCTACCTGTACGCTCTCATTCAGCGTCATGAAGCTCTGGGTGAAGAGCGAGTCATAGTTGGCTGTCTCAAGGAGCTCCTCTCCTCCTCGAGCGTCGCCGATGGCATCCATGAGCGGCCGGCAGGTCTCGGGCTCGTTTCTGTGGGGAAGAAGATAAGGATTGAAAGAGGAGAATGCGGACTTGTTGAGGATCATAACGAGTGAGAAGGAGGAGGAGGGCGAGGAGGAGGAGGAGGAGGACGATGAGAAGGAAGGGGAGAGTAGGAGATTGAGGATGAAACGGGCAGGTTGGCAGGCTGGGAAAGTGGAGAAGGAGAATGACAAGATGAGGAGATGAGGGAAACAGGAGCTTACATGCATGCCAAGTCGTACTCCTCGGGGGTAAGTCGCTGCAAGACGTGCATGGCACGAGTGACCCTGCTCAGCCGTTATTCCAACATCCCTTCGATACCTTCCGACACTCCTCCTCACCCCTCCCCTCTACTGTTTCCTCTGCATCCCCCCGTTCCCTTCCTCTTTCTCCTGCTCCTTCTTGTCTTGCTCCCGTCTTACTTCTTCTGCATCTCCTCCTGTTCCTCTCTTCTTCTCTTACCGTCCATATGCGTCCCGTTCCTTCATCGAGGTGAGCCGGACGAGGAAGGGGTCGATCAGTTTTCCACTCTAGAGCAAAAGTCGTCATTATCTCCCTTCATCGCGCCTGCTCCTTACCCGCGGACATCTCCTAAGAATGCGGAGGTTGCGAACGATCCTCGAGTCCAGCAGCTTCACGGTCTCATCTGCATCGCAATCCTCGTCATCGACCTGCTCCCTTCCCCCTCTCCTCTCTCCTCTCCCTCCTCCCCCGCGACTTCTGACTGACATGCCATGCTGCCGAAAAACTCGAGCTCGGAGTGAGGCAGCCAGTTGTCGCAGTTGCCGAGGCGCGCGAGCATCTCGTCCGGGTGCATGTTGAGGAAGGTGGCAATGCCTGAGCTGATCTGGAGGAGGAAGAAGCAAGGAACAGCAGCGACAGAAAGGGTACACAAGGAAGGGAAGGATAGGAGGAAAGAAAGGAGGATGAGTGCAGGGTAGCAGATGCTCAACAAGGATTGTCAACCTCTAATTTGGTCCGAACCATCGTATTCGGATCTATCTCCATGATCCAGTACCTGATGGGATGATATCAATATCTTCGATATCCAATGGTCATGTTGTGTTGAAGTTCGAAAGGGTCGGCCATTTTCTCTCATCTTATCCAAAGCATCATCATCATCATCATTACAGCAATCTTTTTGTTTTGCCACCGCAATCGATGGTGAAATTTCATCATCACAACCCCGGCAGAAACAAACTTCAACAAAGTCAACAACTTTGGTATCATCTACATCCACATATCATCATCATCAATTCGTCGTGATCAACATCGACCCACAAACAAGAGAAAAGCTTTTCACCCTAAGTTTGCTTGCGATGACACCGACTCTCTCAGGTCGTCAATGTTAAATATGCTGTGACCTGAAACACGTACAAGTTCACAAACGAGTTGCCAGCACAAGCTTGTCCTCACCGTTTGCGGCCGATTGTTGGCATCTCATCGCTGCAAACTCTCCCATATTTGCGCTACAACAAGACAATCGGCATCCACCACCTCTACTCCATTCTAGCCATTCTGTACCTGGTTGCTATCCGTTCTATCGCATGCAAACCATTGAAGAAGGCTGTTCGTACGGGTGAAGGCATATCGTGGAACATCTTTACCATCCTGTCGACATCTAGTCATTTGCTATGGGATGCAAGGGGGGCTGTTACAGAGTCTTGTTGTACCCAGCCTGCCAAAACGCTTTCACCAGCAGCTGAGGGAGCTGCAGCCGTTCAACACGTTCATCAACATTCTTCAGGAACCCGTTAGTGCGTCATAACAACCAAGTGATCGCAAGAGCACACTTGTCCTGATATCGGATCTCGGAGGTACAAGTGCATGGCCGTCTGCAGGGGTCTCAGCACGTAGAGCTGCTCGGAAGAATGTGCTGCAAAGGATTCGAAGCTTTCGCTGGCACTGCAAGACAAGTTCACAACACTCATCTAGGTACTTGAGGTCGATCACGGGAGATCGTAGAAAGTTTCCGAGGTGTCCGGCGTCCTTCGTTTCTGGGGCAGCACAATCTGCAGGACACAGAAGAAAACATCAGCAATACGCGCCCCTGACTGCAGCCATGAGGCTTCACCTCTCCATCTTGCTCTTCAGAGATGTCAACGAGCTCGTCCTCTGCTACAAACACTTGAGACCACAGCACAACAAGCGCAGAGGGCCCTCACGTTGCAGATCTGTCAGATCTGATCCCATGCACTCCAAGTGACGCCCGCTTGACACACATCTCGAGCCTACGATGGAGCATAAGGAGGATGAGAAGGAAGAAAGTCTCCTCGCACATGGCCGCATTTTGTCGCACTTCACTTTCCGCCTTCTGCAGAACGAGCATGATTCCTGTCAACCCGTGCTGGTCAAGCTGCCTTCGAGGGGACATGCATCTCTAACAACACCTTCTGCTCCGTCTTCGTGCACGCATGGGCTTGTCCTGTTCAACCTCACAGTGAATGCGAGGAGTTCAAACACTTTGAACACACCTCTGATTTGGCAGTTTAGACAGGGGGTCATCCCATCGCATTTCTTCTTCTGTTGTCGAAGTGAGGAGATGTACTTCTATATTCTCTCTTCCTGCTATTCCTCTTCGTCTAGTGCCTCTTCCCAGGCTCTCTTCTCTTTCCCCGAGCCCATCTGCCTACAGTTTTCTGAGGGTTTAAGATGCAGTTGTCCTCCGCTCGACCATCACCGATCAAAATTCTAGTCATGGGCTAGCTTGCCGTGCTTGCCCTTTCTCCGTCTTCGCCTCCTCCTCCACTTCCGCTCCGTCCCTCTCCCATCCACCCCTCCTCCTGTTTTCCTCCTCCCCGAGTTCCTCCCCCTCTTCGTCCTTGCCATTCACCTCGTCCTCTGTTTCTTTCCCTCCCCCCTTCTCTCTCCTCTTCCTCTCCTCTATCATGACCGTGCATGCCCCTGCCTCGTTTCGTCTTCTCTCGTCGTTCTTACCAGTTTCCGGCATGGGAGACAAGCTTGCCCTCGCATTTCGTTTCGACGTCTAGTAGTGTACCCTCCTTCTATCGGGATGTACATCAAAAAACTTGTGTTGTGGGGTAGTCTCAGAGAAGGACTCAAAACCAGGGGTACGCCAGTAAGTCGACCATTACCCCAGGGGTCATTTTCCTCAATTATTGGCTATCAATAGTGGGTAGGGTTATCCAACGCACGGGTGGACGAAAGCTGCTGCTGGTTGAAGGAGTACCGGTAGTGATTTCCATTGGGAAACGAGGGGTGGCTGAGACCAATTCTTTTTCTTTACTGAGATATGAACACAGGGGAATGCAGGGGGGAAGGGTCCTGTGCGAAGTTAAGTGAAGATATCAGTTAAGTTCGGGAGGCAGCAGTCGGCAGGATGAGGGTTGGTTCTCAATGTCTTTCTCTTCTGACGGTCCGCACTGGCCAGGTCAAAACTGAAAGCCGCTCCCGGGCCGGAGTCTCGGACGGGCGGCCAGTGTCCCTCCGGGAGACCGGCGAGTCGGACGGTCCCGGTCCGAGTCCGAGCAAATTCTTCCGTCGGGGCGCCGGGCCGGGCCCGGGCCGCCGGGCACGGTTTCGTTGAACGGTTAGTGAGCGCCTCCGTCACAGTGTCCGATCCCGGACGGCCCTTTCAAGTCTGAGGCTCTGGCCCGGGCAGCCGGGCTGAGTCAGTTTACTACCGGCGTAGTACTGCCAAGTTACGGTTACATTCCGTTCCAATTCCCTTCTGGAATTTTTCACGTATCGAAAGGGGTTCTTATTCTCAAATATTTTGATTTCACGGTTCTCAAATTTTGTACTGCGATTGAAAAAGGTTCTGAAATATTATTGTCTAACAAAAAGAATCCTTTTCGCACAATTTTGGGCCATCTCCCCGCTCAGGCCCACCGTAATTCCCCGGCGCGCGCCGTGCCTGTGAAAATTTTTGCAATGGTCATGCTTCAGAGAAGCACGAATGAGGGTTCCATCTCTTACAAACAACATGTTTCTAAGCCATGGTTGCTTTTCAGAGAATGGTTTTGATCAAGGTTAGCTTATTCCAAATCAGTATTTGATGCATGGTGTAGGTTTGTCTATGAAATCGGTGTATACAGAAGTGATTTGATGTTGGTTGTTCAATTTTGCCACTTATTGCTCCTTGCGATGATGGGGCAAAATCGTTATTATTGTAGCGTCATTACTCATGCACAATTATGGAGTGTGTTGGATGTGAATGTATTTGAGTCGAGCCAGTGACTTGTCAACCTGTTCTCATGTCCACCAACAACTTGTAAATCAACAAGATGTAAATCCTCGGTGAGCTTTGATTGCTGCAAGATTTCAAAGACTCGAATACATTCCTAGCACAGTATTTCAGCTTTAGAGTTTTTCTTCAGAGCAGGCTGTCTGATGCACTATGTAGAAGGGAGAAAACTTTTCGCAGTGATTAACAGCAAAGAATTCAAGCCAGATGCGTTTTCAATTAGGAGAGCAGTGCTGATGCATTGCTCTGAGGCTGTCAAATTTGTTACGGTGCAGATGAATTCCTTGTAAACTTTCAATTGCCGAAATTTTCAGATGAAGATGTTCCGTGAGTAGAGTTGAGATCATGTATGAAGTCTCGATGAAATGAATATGAGTTTTGACAAAATCAGGCTTTTCGAACATGTGTTAAAATTTCCAGGGCCTCAGTGTTGGCAAGGCTTTGACATGATGCCAAACATTCATATGTCTTGGGACACACATGTGCGGCATATGCGTGCTTGTACTAAAAGACTTGCATGTTTCTGTTGAAAGTCGATCAACAGAGGAGAAACCTTGTCACCGCGCATGCTAGTTCGAATCTTTTATTGAAAATAGACATGTTCATTACTGGACTGCATCTACACGATCAATAAGCCCATCCTTCCTTGTGCATTTGAACTCCGATGTTCAAGTATGTGATCATTGCCACCTGGGTGACACCGCAAAAAATACAAGAAGTTTTCTTGCTTCTTGGATATCAGTCTTGGATTGCTTCAAAATAGGGCGGAAGGGACGGGCAGTAGATAATTGAATGACCTCAAACTCATCTTTTGTTGCTACATTGTGTACATGCATGCCTGTTAACAAACAGACGAGGCGAATGCTCACTTGCAGCTTCGCGATTCGACAAATAAGGGCATCAGTGCATGGGCCAGGATATCCACAATGACACGGCAACAATCCAAGAACTTTTGGATTGACAAACATTCCAGACATGTAGTCATGCATTAGAATCAGTAACTTGCCTAACACAGCTTGTTGATGCAACTGCTTTCTTTCTGATAATAACATTGATGGCTGTCATTCAAGTCTAAAGTTGATGGGCCATATCCCCCAGTTCCTCTGACAGCAGTTGACTTAGATATTGGCTGAGATGAATCAAGATCTCGCTAACGATCAACATGTTCCCTGACTTCGAAAAGCGTTGACATACATCGAAGTTTGAATCCATTGCACTTGGTTCATCACCACAACAGAGCTGCATTCATGCAAGGTAGGTTCTTTTCAAGACCCTTCTTGTATATATGCAACAATACAACATGATTCGAAGCATACACGCATGAAAATTCGATTGCAACACGTCCTCATGGTATCATGGCCATCGCTCCTTGTCGTGGCTCAAGCAGAAGGCGTGTGGGGTTGAGGAATTGACCCACCCCTACCTTCCGATTTCCATCTACTCAGGCTTTTTCAAAGGTAGGGGGTACTAGCTTTGGTCAAAGTAATTTGATTCAAATTTCCCTTGCGAGAGGGTCATTGAGCTATGGACCACAGGGGTGGGTGCTGTTTGACCACTTACCGGTAATCGAACATGATACTTTTCGACGCCAATTCCAGTACGGAGAGCCCATACTTTTAAGATTTCATCCTTCCTCCCTTGAATCCGATCCACCCCACCCTGACTCTGACGGAGGGAAACGTACGGGTTCTCTAAACTATCTGAAACCACCCATGCGAACCTCACAGAAAATGAGGGACTTTTGTGGTACAACCTCATGTATGGGGAGCCCTGAGGACCTCCGTACAAATACCACAACGCTTTGGAACAAGTATTTTAAAGGCAGTACAAACAAAACGCCCTGGTACTAAAGATTCCAGAAGGGGATTGGAACGGAATGGGCACACCCGGAGCAGATGCCATGATGGCCGGGCAGCGGCACCCGGCCGTCCCGGCACACCCGGGCCGGTCAGGGTTGAACCATCCTTGTTTGGGCCCGGTGATTAAGGGTTCGGGGGCGCTACGGCATCCCAGGCCTGCACTCTGAGCTCGTCTTGGCGGTACACACGCTTGTCGACCGCCGTCCCTGCCGCGCCCTGGCGTCAGGAGTAGAACATCATTCGTGGTCTGTTGCTCACCGACAGTAACGTAGCCGTTGATGTCAAGCTTGCCGTCTACTCCCGTGAACACTTCTAGCAGACAAGAAGTGAAAGGGGCTGTCAGGAGCCGAGACTGAACCTCACCCTCCTTGCGGTTGCCAGTAAGCAAAACGTCACCCACGAGCCACACCACAGAGCCTGGTGGGGGTCAGCTGAGGATTCGCAACCCTCAGCCTTCTTACCTTGGTCCATCACTGTGACTCCGATGCTGCAACGAAGAAGGTTGTCATCAGATCACGTGAGCATGCTCTACAGCTGGAGAGAATTCGGGCCAAAACGGAGTGGTACTCACTCGTTTTGCTGAAACTTGCCGCCATGCACATTAGCAAGAGCTCTTCACAAGTGACGAAATCATGATTCCGAGGGCATAGCAAGGAAATAAACAAACCTGTCCGCTACAAACAGGCCATGCTCTCCATTGTTGCAAACCACATTCTCCCTTAGCTTCCCCCAGGAATGCTTATTTGCCTTGCAATGGATGAGCACAGCCCCGGCAGCAATTCAACTCTGAAATCTTACCAAGCTGATACCACACTTCTTGAATCCCCTCACTTCATTTCCCTTTTTCACCATTTTCATTGTCATCCAAACTCATCCTCTGCTTTCACCTCAGCAACCAGTTTTCCTCCAAGTGTAACGCAGATGCCAGCGCTTGATCCTGTTGCAAAATGAGTATGTGTCTGTTTTTTGTTGGGTTTAAAACTCACCTTCACCACCTTCCACTTCATTATTCTCAAGTTCACACAGTGTTCTATTCCCAACCACAACAAAGGCAGACTGAAGAACGTCAAGGACAGGCACAGTCTTTGTAACAGGGAATACCATAGATATGTTGCTGAGCGAGGATCCATCGCAGCATAACCATGCTCCTGAGCTGCAGATGATGCCTGCACAATATAAATCAACTCCAGCAACTGTTTATGAGAAAGACCTGTAAACTTACCCATCTTGCAATCTTGCAGAACACATCGACTAATGATGCCTCTCGAGTCTTCTCCACTTATCCCCACGCAACTTCCATTGATCGCCTGTATGCTGCAACAAAAGACTGAGTGTCAAACCGCCCACATGCACGCTTGCTCTCCACCTGCAGCTCTCTAGTTGAAGAGTTCCTCCTTCAACTCCGATGCAGCAACAGTCTCCATTATCGTCCGACACATTCACGCCAGCAATTTGTTGTGTGCCATTGCCCGATTGACCTTCAAAGCCTGTTTGCTGCGTAAGAGAGCAATAGCAGAGCATCCTTTCCATCTTCAAATTACCACCCACAAAGTAGACACCCCCAGGATGATAGAATCGGATTCCTCGAGACAAAAATGTCTCGTTCTGCCGTGCGCAACATTAAAACCGCTTCAGTCTCTCTCCCTCCTGCCTTCGTTCTCCCTTCACCCCCTCTGTCCCTCCATCCCTCCTCCATGTCATTCTTTCCTGTACTTGTCTCGTCATCACACGGCTAAAACTTGAGCTACATTGTCCCCTACTCTGAGCATGTTACCTTTGCCATCTCGACTTCCACTAAGGAGGCATGTGACGGGTTGGCACGTAGCATGGGTGCATCCTGTGACAATCTTCATCGTCTCGCTCAAAGAAAGTGTCCACATACCTCATCCAAACTCAAAGGCCGCGACGAGTTCTCATCGTCCTGGACGATTCTGACAGATTTTCTCAGCAACAGGGAAGCATTGCCGATCTCCGTGCGAAGGCCCAAGGATATGCTACTGTCTGATAAAGACAACCATCATGAGGTCGACATACTGTCTCATATCCTTACGATCCACAACCACCCTGCGCAGCAACTCAATCCCGACCTCCTCCTTTACACGTTGGATCTCCTCCTTGTCAAGAAGGTAAGGGAAAAGCGTAGGCGGGAGAAAATCCTTCTTACAAGAGTCGCACGGTCAAGATGTATCTGATTGTTGACTGGAGCCAACACCGATCCATTTGATGATCTCATCACGCACAGGAGCAGCAGGGTAAGGGTGAGAGCCAAAGGTCTCCTGCATCCCGCCATTGCAGGATCTGACGTCCCTGCACCTTCCTTGAATGCCATATCTTCACCTGACCTGTCTAGCTGCTCTACACTCGGGATTGAGCTGAGAGCAGCAGCATCAGAGCAAGCAGGCGCAAGCTGTGTTTTCTGCTCCAAAGTTCCTCCTCCCTTCAGCCATATTAGTATGGCACCAGCCACACCGGGCCATGGACAAGCCGCATCTAGGTTTCAAAGAATTTTCAATCTAGGTTGAAACACGGTACAGATTTGAACAATGTTGAGCACTGACATTTGAAATTCTCACACAAGTTTCGTCTTTGTAATACTTTTTTCCGAGTCTTGTTATTTCAGCGAGCTGCCGGGCCTGCCCGGGCCGCCGGAGACCTGTATGACCGTCGCTCGGTCTAAGCACTGAGGGGGTGGGGGTAGTCACAGTCAGATGTGTCTGCCGACGACTCGCGCGACTCAAATAGATGTACCTTTTCACAAAACGTTTTAAATGACGGTCGAGTCTGTTTTTAAACAATGCTGAAATTATTCTAAATTATTCTCTAATATTTCAAACATACGAGATAGTATTCATCTGTAGGTCCTAAAATCTCGATATGAGATCTGCTGCTACCCAGAGATTTCATTCCGAAAAGGTATCTTTTCAGTTCCCTAGGGACTCTCATTTCCGTTAACCGATAGCCCCTAGATTTTCTCCCCTATGCTGACGATCTCACATAAAGGCTGCGGGACTAAAATAAGGCTTCCCACAGGGGGTCGGGTGATAGATCCGGCATGACTGTGATCACCCCATGAATCAATAATAATTTGCAGCGAAGATATATGGTGGGGTCATAGGGGTCGTACGAGCAATTGGCCTGGGGGTACAAGGGGCGTTTAAGTGCTTGGCTCATAAAAGATGTTGGGGTGTATCTGAGATGTTACCATGGAAGGGGTGGGTGAAATGCTATTTGATGTAGTCCACCCGTGATACACACGTGAAGATGACGGGTGGGCTATAGGGTGATTGAATTTGTGGGGTCCAAATGCTTGGAAGAAGGGGGGTTGACTGAAGCAGTCAGGAACACCTACAGGGGGGTGGTAGGGGCGAAAAACAAAAGTTCTAGAATCTGCTAGAAGATTGAGCGGAGGGGGTAGGGAACAGGATTGCGTGTGAGATGGAGGGACTGCCTCGTCCTCTTGCTTATCGATGCCAGACTCGATAAAAGGATGACCATGGGGTGGGAGAAGATCGAGTTGAGCCCGCACAGTGTACACAGATTTCAGCAGGGTAGGGTGGGGTAGCTGTTTGAGATTTCTAAAAATAAGTTTTAGATGGTCATAAAGAGAACCGCCCAACCATTAAAATACATATAAGTTTAATATACTTTTGATTTTTACATATATATTAAAGACACTGATTTCGTTTTAGGAAGTGTACAAGTTATTTAAAACCTACCCCCCGAGATGGATCTAGAGTGTTTGATGTTATCACATTGCATAGGGGTAGGTACTTCCGAAGTACCCCTGGGTACACCTTTGCCTTGGTTTTGTTTCAAAGTACTGTGAGAATCCCTAGACATGACTTTGTTTTTTAATAGCTAACTTCTTATGAAAGTTTATGTAGTCGCTGACCCTAACACTCCCCTCTAGATGTGGGTACAGACTACAGATTAAAGTTCTTATATGGTAGGGTACTATACCCTACCCTATGTGGCATGAAGACATCCCGTGGGCCCCCCATGCGGGATTGAAATCTCCTCCGAAAATAATTGTATAAAGTGAAACCCTGTGATTTGGATCTTGTCTTACCTAGACCAGTACCCCTCAGGGCAAAACATGACCCCTATAGGGCGGGGTGAAAATTGAATCTCGATTGCTGTAATGGGGGTACTGCTAGGACACAAACCGGTCTTTTAGATGTCAAAATGAGGGGTAAAAAACCTGAATTATCTGGAATGAATACAGGTGGGTACTTTCTGAGGGGTAGGGGTATGTTCAATGAGGGGTAGGGGTGAGCAGGGGTGTTGAGGTCCCCACCGCGCTAATGGGAGGTTGCGAAACAGCGTGGAGAGAGGTAGGAGAGGAAGAAGGAGGAGAAGTCAGGGATGAAGGAGGTGGAATAATGAGATATCATGGCATTGGCACAGGGTTTGACCTTGCTTTAAGATGTGCAGATAGAATTTACTGGTGTTGAGAAAGATCCGCTGTCCAGCGAACAAAGTTTTCGTAGAGACATTTTCTTTTTGGAATGTTTTGACTGAACGAACCTTCAGTATCAAGCGCTTGGAAGCATATGATGGAGATGGTTTTGCATGATTGAAAAAATATGTTTGAACTCTTTACTCTCACCGAATTGAGTGGATCGCATTGTAATTGGATCTAATATCACATGATACGGATTGGCTTCGAATTCGCCCCTCTCTGATGATAATTACAAACAGGCCACTGTTGCGATCTTTTTTTATATTCTGCAAATACCTTTCAAAACTTTGAAATCCATTCTTGTTTCTTTTCATATCATTTATTCGGTAGAAAGATGGTAGACATGCGTAACTCGTGAAAATTGTGCAACCCGCCTGCTCACGCAAAGACTTGTACCGTATCAGCTTCTTCTCTGATCCTTGCCCCGCAGAATTCTACCGTCATCATATGAAAAGATCAACATCCATCCTTGTATAAGAAATATGCAGAGGGACAGTGGAGGGAAGACGGCTCCCGTTTTACCAAAACTGAAAAGCCCGCAAATGTACCAAGCGAGCAAATCATCATCGTCAACAACTGGGCACAGTGGAACAGAAAGCGAAAGTTCTGGTAAGTTGACCTGTTGAAGTGCAACCCGACATCTGACGCTGGGTTTGTTCAGTCCTTGGAAAGCGCAACAGCTCGGAGTTGGACATTGACAGCATAGAGCCTGATGAGCTGAAACGGCAGATCTACCGCCTGGCGCAAGACAACAGCAATCTGAAACAAGCTCTGACCAAGTCTCAAGAGGAAGTGAAGAAGCTCAAAGCCGTGATTGAGCTTCATGAAAGCCAAAAGAAGTCCAAGGAGGACAAATCTCAGTCCAGGTGCCGTGCAGATGAACGAGATCGAGCAGTGGTGCTGACTATGGTCTATGTGCAGGTATTGGACTGAAGCCGAGCATCAGAGATTCCTCGATGCTCTTCAAACTGTGGGACCGAAAGATGTTAAGGCTATCGCACAGTTTGTAGGGACCCGTTCAGCGACGCAAGTACGAACTCATGCGCAGAAGTACTTCATCAAGCTTGTGAGACCAAGAGCAGTCGATGCGCCTCTTTGTGTTTAATTGTCTCTTGACTAGGCGAGGATGAAGAAATCAGCAGAGGAGGCAGCTAAGACTGGAGGCCCCGACGCTGCGCAGGCATGGTGGTTGAAGGTACTTGAGAGGAGCAATCCTATGACAGCGAGGTCACGCTATGTGTTAGGCCATGCAAAGCAAATCATCCTCGTCATCCTCATCCTCCTCCTCAAGTTCAGAGAGAGAGAAGTCTGATCGGTGAGTGGTAAGAAGCGTTGGTCACATGACACTGATAAGGTTGTGTAGCAAATCTAAGAAGGATGCGAAGAAGCACGGCAGCCGACACCTGGACATCAACGAGATGGACTCGAGCAGCATTCAGGTCCAGCTGTCCTCCAAGAGAGGATAGGCTTTCTCTGACGTGAATGCAGGCGCTTGCTGAGATGGTCTGCGCGTCGGCATCCGCCCTTGAAGCCTCGTCCACTGGCACGAAGAACTCACCGGAGAAGAAATCAGAGAAGAGGTAAAAACCTGATTCCCTGCTCCTTCACACTCCTCCATCCCTCCTTGCCTTCGCTTCTTCTCTCTTCTTGGCTGTTTCTCCACCATCTGCCCCACTTTCCGTTTCTATGCTCCTCTCTTTTCTGGCGCTCGTGAAATCATTGCACCATTTTCCTTGGTCTGCTGTTTTCCCTTCTCCGCAGTCCTTTTTCCTCACTCCTTACCCCTCTTCCTGTAGGTCAAGACATGCGGAGGCAGGGACCACAGACGAGCCCTCGTCCTCGAGGAGAACGTCTAATGCCACGTCTACGAAGAGCAAGGCCTCAACCCTCGAGCTCGGGGGACTGCAGGCGACTCGGACGGGCAAAGGAAACAACCTAACGTCTTCCTCCAATGAGGTACGCGGCGGCGGCGGCGGCAGTGGCAGGAGGAGGAGGAGGAGGAGGAGTATCTCTTTGCGTGCTTGGCTGACATGACGAGTAGGAGTCGGGGGCGACGGACGGGAGCTCTACCCATGGGAACGGTACCTCGAATGGCAGCTGGAACGAGTCGGGATCAAACAACAGCATGAGCCTCAACTCGGAGGGGTCGTCAAATAATGCAAGTTCGCACAACTCCGATGGTAAGAATGATGAAGATGAGACGAGATGGATGATGTGGTTGTCTGGAGCGGTTGCAGCCAGGGCCTTTGTTCCTGTCCCTTGCTCTCTGTTGCGTTGTGATCTGCCGACAAGACCTGCATGTTCCTGCGTCGCTGATGATGAGGTGCAGGGGGTTCGAACAACTCCAATAACGACAGCGGAGGAGTCTCGGACGGTGGAGGATCGGACGGAGAGCCGAGCACGAGATGGTACGTGCCACGTGGCGGTTTTTTGTAAGCTAAGATGGTTGTGCATGGGGGGAACAGAGACACGCGAGCATGCGGGGAAGGAAGTCGTCACTCGGCCCAGCTCTTTCCCAGCAGCAGTGGGGGAGGGGGGGAGGAGTGACGTCATGGTTGGTTGTGCTCGCGTGTCCGATGGTGTTTTTTTTGTCTATCAGTGTACATAGAGATGAAGAGATTAAAAAAGGATCTTGTCCCGTCAGTGGCACTGCAGCACCGACCGGCGCCGCACACGCAGGGCGTGTTTGAGTGAGAGTCACTAACACGGTAGACTCAGTGCAGCCGCTGAGTACTGATCAAGCACTTCCAGTGCATGATGGTGGTGATAACTTGCGGGCCAAGCCTGGCCGACTCGCCATATCGCCGCGGTGGCCAAACGTTGAACAAGCCTGGCGGTCCGATCACGGTGCCTGGCTTCTGAAGCCACGGTTGAATCGACGGTCAACCGTGACCGTACCGTCATCGGGGGGGGCGTCGCCGCTGAGCCAGCCGGGCCAGTGCCACTGTGACGCGCAGCCGAGGGCTTGTGACGCGCAGCCGAGGGCTTGCCACTGTGACGCGCAGCCGAGGGCTTGCCACCGCCGGACGCACTGGCACCGCGCCGCGGCACGGCACTGCAGGGCGCGGCTCCGGGTCGTGTACGGTACCCCGCGAGGACGGGCCTCCGAGTCGGGGGGGACCCGGTACCCGCGGCCGCCTACCGGCGGATCGGACTCGTGACCGCCGCGACGCCGGGCGGGGCCCGTGGGCGGCGGCGGGTCACTAGTACGGTAGTACCATCGTGCCGTGGCCTTGGCGTCCGACAGGCTCGGTGACTAGGCTAGCCGGTGAGTGGCAGCCTAGTACTTCACTTTGAGTAAACTCGGAGTACTGTACGGGGTCACGGTGGCGGCCGTGTCCGTCCGATCACTGAGGCCGCGGCTCAGTTCCTGGCCCGGCCCGGGCCTGGCCCGGCCCGGCCGGAACTTCCGAGGCCTGCCATAGTCGGAAAAACCAGGGAAAGAAACATGGGGAGAGAAAGAAGAGAGGGAGGAAAGTGAAGAGGAGGAAAGAGAAGAGGAGGAGGGTAAGAGATTAGTAGAGGAAAGACAAGTTTCAGCAAGGTTGCCGCTTTTTTGAGTCAGCTCGATGCGATGATGAATGTTGCTGTTTTCCTTCCGGCTATCTTCCTGTTTGTGATCAGTCCATCCTTGGGTTTCCGATTGTGCGGTACCCGCCCATGGCTCGCGCCGAAACGAACGAGCGCCATGCTCGAGCTGCGATCGCACGGACTCATCTGCGTCTTGAGGGAGAGCAGGAGGAGCAGATGTGTCTTCACTTGTTCGCACAAGGAGCAAGGAGCACAAAACGGGGGACAACAAATTCCTTCCTTGACAGAGGCGGAAGAGCAGGATGACGCTGAGAACAAGCTTCCATCGCTACATCGGTTTCATGACATGGAGGATATCTCTGCTTCCCTTCGCTCTGTCTTGCTCAGGCGCCAGCAGGGACACCTGGACGATTCTTCCCTGCCGTCGTGCTCTTCGTGGGAGGAACTCGTTTCTCTTTTGCAGCCATGGGAGGCGTGCATCGTGATGAATCAGATAGCAAGAGTCTGTCCGAAGAGAGGAGGAGGAGGAGGAGGAGGAGGAGGAGGAGGAGGAGGAGGAGGAGGAGGAGGAGGAGGAGGAGGAGGAGGAGGAGGAAGCTTCGTTTGGTGGAAGCAGAACGACTGATGACATGCTTGTCGGCGCGTCTTGCTCCAAGCATGCACGGGCTCTCGTCTAAGAATGTCGCGTGGGCTCTGAATGCAGCGAAGAAAGTTCCTCACTCTGACGGCTCCTCTCTCTTCCTCGCAGCCGCCACCTACCTCCCTCAGACCCTTCCCGCCGACTTTGGAGCTCAGAACCTTGCGCTCGTAGCTAACGCCATGGCATGGATGAGCCAGAGGATGGAGGAGGCAGAGGAGGAGGGCGGGGAAGGAAACTTGAAAGAGAGGATGAAGGATTCCGGGTGTGCTGGGTTCCTGCAAGAGGCAGCAAGGAACATCTCAGTGGAGGAGTGGAAGAAGAGGCCGCGGGCTCTGTCCATGTTCGTGCAGGCGGCGGGGAAGCTTGAGATGAGGGGGGAAGAGTTCAGCAAGCACATGATGAGAGTCCTGCAAGACAAGGAGATGCTTCATGGTGAGAAAGAGACGGGGGAAGACAAGGGGGAGGAGGGATGGGAGGGATGGGAGGGATGGGAGGGATGGGAGGGATGGGAGGGATGGGAGGGATGGGGAAAGGAAATGAGAGAGTACAGGAGGGAGAGGAAAGGGCACATGAATTAGGGGAAAGGAGGGGAGAGGAAGTGAGAGGATGAGGTGAGGCGACAGTTCAGGGGGAAGGAGAGATGGGATGGAGGTTGGATCAAATGGCTCGGAGGTGGAGGTGCGGGATGACTAACACGGCATGCAGGGCTGGTGGCCGGAGGAGGAGGACAGTCTGTCGCGCTGGTGGTGCATGCGGTGGACATGATGGAGCTAGAGGAGAGCGAGAAAGAAGAGCTCAAGCAAAGCTTGGAGGAGGCTGTACTGCTGGTGCAGGAGGAAGGAGGGACGGGGAGGGAGGGAGGGAGGGAGGGAGGGATGGATGGAGGGAGGGAAGGGTGCGGAATATGAAGGAGGCAGGGCGTTCACTTTGCTGGCAGGTTCCTCCCTCCAAGTTTGGCTCGCAGGAGACAAGCATGATACTGCGAGGGCTGCTGACGTCAAGAGACTGCAAAGCAGAAGTCGTAGATCATCTGCAGGAGGCAGCCTTGCTAATCCCTTCTAAGCTGTGGTCCCCTCAGGTTTCTTGCTCCTCCTCCTCCTCCTTCTCCGCCTCCTCCTCCTTCTCCGCCTCCTCCTCCTCCTCCTCCTCCTCCTCCTCCTCCTCCTCCTCCTGCACTAAAAACAGTCCCCTCCCTCTTCCCTTTTTCTTTTCTCTTTCTCATCCTCGTGCTGCTCGTGCTCCTCTAGATCCCTCTCTTGCTCTTCTTTCAGCTCCTCTTGCCGCAGCCTCTACCGCGCACATCTCCTGACCTCTTGTTCCTGCTTCTTAACTCCTGTACCTTCTCCATCTCCCGTCTCTCTCCTCTCTCTCTGACTATATCCAGGCTGTAGCCCACACTCTCAACGCGCTTGCCACCTCCTTCTCCTCTTCCTCCTCCTCCTCATCATCATCATCTGAGCGCGTCTTTCGCCACCTGCTCAGCGTCATCAGCAGCTGGGACCTCCTGCGCGCAGATTTTCTTCCTCAGCATCTCGCTCTCATCCTTGCTGCTTGCGCTCGAGCGAGGGTAAGTTCTCCAACCCCTGCCCCTTCCCCTCCTCCCACTGTACTGTACCTTCTCTCCCTTCTCTCTCTGTATCTTCTCCCCCTCTTAATCCTTTGCTCTTCTTTTACTTCCCTTGCAGCTTGCAATCCTGCTTTCTCTGCTTCATGTGTTGTGTGTTTCTTTACCCTCACTGTTCCCTCCCTTCCTTCAAATGTTCCCTTCCTTTCTTTCCCCTCTGCTTCTACTCCCCTCGCCATGTTCTCCTCCTCTCTCCTCACTCCTCTCCTGTCTCGTCCCATCGCATCTCAACCTCCTCTGGCTCTTCTTCCCTGACTAGCATCAGTTCAACAGCAGATTTCTTTTACAGCTCGTCCATGACACGCTCGAGAAGAGGAAAGACTGGATGCCTATCGAACAAGGCCAGGACCTCTCTCGCTTCCCTCCTCCCGGCAAGGGGGAAGGAAGGGGGAGAGGAGGAAGGAGGACGAGGACGAGGTCAAGCGCGTTCAAGGACGTGGAGCTTGCAGCCATTGCCAACGCGTGCACCAAGATCTACTCTGATCTCAAGGAGCCGCACGGGGAGCTGGACGCGTCCTCCAGCTCTCGAGGCTTTCCCTCAGAAGTCTGGAGAATCTTCGAGCAGCTCTGTGTCCTCTCCACCTCCTCTCTCTCCTCTCCCTACCCTCCTTCCTCCTCCAACTCCTCGGCCATAAGTCCAGCTGCTAGCCTGGTCGCCTCATTTGCACGAGCTGAATTTCGGTGCCTCCCCTTCCTCCGGACCATGACGACCAACCTGCTGGCTGCAGATGATCTCCCGCTTGACTCCATCGCTCAGGTCTTGCATGCCTTCGCCGTCCTCGGCTGGGAGGAGGAGAGAGTAGTTCAGCACCTTCTTTCCCTCCTCCTCCTCCATCCTCCGGCAGACTTCAACGCCATGACACTGGGCAAGCTCTCCTGGGCATGCGCCGTCCTCAATGTTCGGGACGAACGGGTTGTTTCTCTCCTCCTGCAAGCCATAGATCGTCTCTTCTACGAGCTCCTTGAAGGCAGAGAAGCGGAAGTGACCTCGAGAAGGGCAGGAGGAGGAACAGGAACAGGAGCAGGAGAAGGAACAGGAGCAGGAGCAGGAGCAGGAGATGGAAGGACTGTCATGATGAAGTATCAAGATCTGCGAGAGGTTCGTCAGGTCCATCAGTTCCTTCTCAACTGCAGGCTGGAGAAGGTCATGGAGACTTGGAAAGAGGAGGAAGAAGAAGTTTGGAGGGTTCGTGAAAACATCTCCAAGAAGATCTTTGAAGCAAGATCCCGTGAGCTACTTCTCCTTTCCTTCCGATGCTAAACCTGTCCTCGCTCTTCCTCCTTGCTCCTAGTTGCCCTCTCCTGTCTCATCGTCTTTCCATCCCAGGCAACCGAGCTATGCTCTCCTCGCTACAGGCAGAAATCCAGAGGAAATTGAAAGAGATGAGCTACAAAATCAAAACTGAGGTCATCGACGAAAAATCTGGATACAGGTCATTCTCCTCCTCTTTCCTCCACTCTCTTTCTCCCGTCTTCGCTCTCTTTCTGTTCCCTTTTCCCTGCCTCCCGCTTCTCTCCTTCCATCAGATTCTCGTTCCCCTCCCTCCCTCCCTCTCCATCCTTCAAGATCTCTTAGTAACAGACTTGAAGTGACTCCCGTTGTCGCAGCATCGACATTGTCATCCGGTCTGGCGAAGGTTCCTCCTCCTCCTCCACCACCACCACCACCACCACCTCCTCCTCCTCCTCCTCCTCCTCCTCCGCCTCCTCTCACTCGCCCCTCCCTCACTCTTCGATTCCCTCCAATCTGCCAGATACCTGCTTTCCCCTTTCCTCTCTCTCTCCCCTCCTCCCCTTCCTCTTCTTCTGCTCCGCCTCCTCCTCCCCTTTCTCCTCATCCTGTCAGTGATCTCTTCCCATCCTCCTACAGGAGTCGACGAAGAGCATCCGATTGCCGTGGAGGTTGATGGGCCCGGTGCTGCCTCCCTTCGCCTGTGCTGGAAGTGACTGGCAGCAGGTCACTACATGCGACCAGGCCTACGAGAGCTGGTTGGGGGAACTAAGATGAAGACAAGGCACTTGTGCCGGCTCGGATGGAAGGTGAGGATGAGACAGAAGCATGAAGGATGCTGTGTAGGAGCAGAAGGGTGGGGAGGAGTGGAGGGAGAGGGGAGAAGGACGAGAAACGGCCGAAGGAACAGATGCGGGAGAAGAGGAGCAAGGGGCGGTGGAGTGGAGGACGGGGAGGAGCTCCATGGGGGGTTCACCTTCATTGCATAACGCAGGTGGTTGCGATACCCTACTGGGAGTGGAACGAGGCGAGAGATGCGGGGGAGGAGGAGCGATACCTTTCCCAGAGGATCGCAGCGGCAGCATCGTCACCATGACAACAAGCGTATCCACTACAATTTTAAACACAAACTACAAGAATCTCCCTGGTCGCCTACTGCTCCGCCTTCTCCAACTTGGTCACCGTCCACGATGGCTTCATGAACTCTCCCCTGTGGTCCTTGCCGATCGTCTCGAACGTGTCGACCTGGATGATTTTCTCCCTCAGCTCCTCAGCCGCGTTGATGAGCTTCTGCTCCTCCTCCGTCGGCTCGCGCTTCTCCTTGCGGCACGCGCTCAAGACCTTGTCCGCATCGAACGCCAGCGTCACGGCCCTGGCGATCTGGTTGACCCTGTCGCTCTCCTTCTTGGACACAAACACGTTGTCAGTGAGCAGAGCGCGAACTTCAGTTGGGCAGGTGATCAGGTTCGACACGTCCCTCCTCAACGAGTCCTTGGCCGGGAAGTACTCACGGCCCCGGGGGAACGTCAGCACCCGCATCATCGGCCCGAGGCCAGGGATGGGGAAGTTAGAGAAGATCCCAAAGAAAGCCTCCTGGATCTTGTGGCAGCAATCCGCCATCGCGATGTCCAGAACCTTGCTGAGCCCCTTGACGTTCTTGTTGTTCTGATAGTACCACAGGCAGGCATACCCAATGTAGAGGTTGCTGAGAATGTCAGCATATCGCCCGGAGATGTACTCTGCTGTCTTCAGGCCTCCTCCCATCGTCATTCCAACATCTGAGCAGAAGGCGAAGTTTGCCGCGAGCCTGCTCATCTGAGCTTCGTAGTACCCGGCGACATCATTTCCCTTGGGCTGGAACTGGACGGCAAGTCCACGAGAGATGCTGCTGCCCAAGTTGCTCATGGCGTGAACAATGATGTTCTTGAGCTCCTGGTTGAAACCGATGATGTCATCGCCCTTCTGGATGGACTCAATCAGCTTGAGGAGGTGGGGATGGGAGCGGTTCAGGCCCTGGCCGAAGATGATCAGAGATCGAGTCAAAGCATTGGCTCCCTCCACAGTGATAGCAATCGGCATAGCGCAGTAGGCAGTGGCCAAGTAGTTGGATGGTCCCTTGATGATTCCGGCGCCCCCAATAACGTCCATGGCCTCGTTGACAGCCTCTCGACCTCGCTCAGTGCAGTAAGCCTTCATGATGGCAGACAGCACGGGGGGCTTGTCTCCTTCAGCAAGGATCGCATCGAACAAGTGCTGGCCAGCAACGCACTGATACGTGTTCCTAGCGATGACTGCAAGCTTCTCCTGGACGCCTTCCATATTGGCGATTGGCACCTTGAATTGCTTTCGGACTCGCGCGTATCCACCGACCTGACAGCGAAGTCATTCTCCTCCTTAGACCACAGTCATCAAGAGGTACCGCAAGGCATGACAAACGGCCGCTAGAAACTGCCATGGCAGGCAGAGAAATACCACGTCCCTCTCCGAGGCATTCCACGAGCATGTTCCATCCATAACCTACCAAACTTGTCAAATCGCCTGATTTTAAAGGCTCAGCTTGCACGCTCACCAGTCTTGGCTTCTCCTCCAATGACGCAGGACATCGGGATGAAGACGTTGTCGCCCTGGACGGTGCCGTTCATGAAAGCAGCGTTGAGCGGGTTGTGGCGAGCTCCAACTCTCAACCCCTTGATCCCTTCAGGAGCAAACTGGTTGGGCTCAGTGGGAAGAAGCGCGACTGTGATTCCCTCCTTGCCCTTCGTGAGGAGCTTGTTGGGATCCCTCAACTTGAACGCGAGTCCAACCACTGTAGCGACAGGTGCCAAGGTAATGTAGCGTTTGCTGAAGCTTACACGCATTCCGAGCACACCGTTCTCCTGCACAACAACGCCTTCATCCTGCATAGAGCCAGCTGCATCAGATCCGTTGGGTGCTCCAGTAAGACCAAAGCATGGGATGTCAATGCCATGCGCAAGTCGGGGAAGGTAAAAATTCTGCTGCTCGGGAGTACCATAATGGTACAAAAGTTCACCAGGACCGAGGGAGTTTGGCACCATGACAGTGACAGCAGCAGCTCCATTCCTTCCAGCAATCTTCTCAACAACGCGAGCATGGCCGTGACCGCTGAAACCCAAACCACCGTATTTCTTTGGGATGATCATACCCATGAACTTGTTCTCCCTGATGTAATTCCACACCTCCGGGGGAAGATTCTGGTCCTTGTCAATCTGGTGGCTATCCAGCATTTCACACAGGGCCTCGGTCTCGTTTTCAATGAAGGCTTGCTCCTCCGGGCTGATCTTGATCTTGTACTTCTCCATGAGCTTCTTGGTCGAAGGGTTTCCTTCAAAAAGCTCGCGGTCGAAGCAAACACTGCCGGAGTTCAACGCTGCTGCCTCCGTCTCTGAGATCTTTGGCATGACACTCTTTGCCAGAGTGTATGCAGGACCAATAAATCCTCTCTTCTGGAGTTTAGCAATGGCGTTGGCATAGAACACTTTCGCTCCCTGGAGCCAGAGTATTAGGCATAGGCAAAACAACCACAAACACCTATAATCACACATAGGCAAAACAACCACAAACACCTATAATCACAATGGATTGATCTTCTTACCATTGGAGAGAATCACAAGATATATCAAGACAACTTCTTTCCATCATATTTCCATGTTCATTTCACCGCCATAACGTCACATTGCTCTTCTCCTCTCACAGCAGAGCAGCAGGCGTGCGGGCACGCAGGTTTGACCAGCAACGTAGAGCAGCAAGACAAGAAAACACGGGCATTCACAGCATCGCATCAGAGGAGCAGGAAGCTAGCCGACAGAAACATGGACAGCGCTGTCGCTCATTCTCACCCGCGCTGATAGGGCGGCCGCGCCCTTCCTCGGTCCCTGCAGCATTCCCTCTCTTGCGCCCCGCCCCAACTCCTCCTCTCAAATAGGCGCACAGTATCCCTCCCAAAAGTTCTCATATTCATTAAAAGTTCATGATGTTCACCTGCAGCCGTAGACGATAGAGGAGGCATACCTCGATTCATTTATTCCTTTACTTATGAGATATCCCATCTATGAGGTAGAACCACCCAAGGGGTTCCATCCGGCCCTCGGAAAGTTCCTTGAGATTTATAGCTGAGGGGTTTTTTTTAAACCTGTTGGCCCCGGCCTTGTTAAAAACAAATCACTACGAGCATCCCTCTTCAACCTCTAAAGGCTCCTGCAAAAAAGTGTCCAAGCTGTATGTTGTTCTTTTTTTAATCTAAAAGTAGTTTATTAGTTACGTTGGGTGGCCGACAAACCTGGTACTGCCCCCCCGGTTCTTGTGCTTAAAATATAATTTTCTGTCCCTACCAGCAGGCGTATAAAACAGATAAATTGTTTTATAAAGTATTTATAGAAATTATAAAAATCTAAAAATCATGTTATAACACATGTAGATGTCCAACTACGGCAGGGAGTGGGGCCCAACGACCCCTCATAGCTATCCAGGGCTGGAGGCTGAAGTATTTCAAAACGTTTCATTAAATTTCCCATATGCAAGGTAATTTTTGAAAATATCTCGTGCAAATCTGAACTGGAAGTGAACCCATAATGCCACACAGCCCGCCCCAGGTGGGTTTCTTCCAGGGGTAGTTCCTCTTTGACTTTGGGGGGTATGGAAGTCGGGTGGGTCAAAATTTTGGTTTGGCGTGGTAGAGCACCATGGCAGGAGGAGAGTTGATCATCGTGTCGATGCGACAGATGAAGGGAACATGATGGTTACGACAGAAGTCTTTCAGCTTGTATGGCCACAAGATTGCAGATTGTAGATATTCTTTGTTGATCCTATTCCATTTTGAATCGCTGCCTGTCATAGCCAATCAGTGGGCCCACATTTATTTTTAAAATCACATATAGCATAGTACCGGTATTTTTGTGTGATATCTTCGGGGTACCTTTTCAGGAGGGGGTGGGTGAGTTTGCAGGAAATCGCAGTGGCAGCAAGGCGGCGACCAGGTTTAAGGATGATTAACTCAGCCTGTGCAATGATGACAATCGTGAAACCACCATAGCCTATCAGGAAATTGTAAAATCTATATCATGGTATCAATCATTTGAATGTCATCGTAGCAGTGTTTAATATTTTCTACAATACGTATTCTCTTTTTTCTGCTTGCAGCCAGCAATGCTACGCAATCCCCGGAACCGTTGCATATTACCTGTTAATCCTTCATCCCATTGCCCTGCTTTAGCATATACTCGCTTTCGATTGTTCTTCTGCGTACTACTGTCTGGCTCCACATCATTATCAGATCCATCCCGTGCATTGAAAGCTTCACTGGCGTGCGGTTTGCTCAGGACAATTCGCTTCTTCGAGTGCTCGTATACAGAAGGCAGGTGTGGATCCACCTTTTTAGATAATTCCATGCATGCCTGATTGAATTTTCTCAGAAAATCCTTCTTGTTCAGATGGCCGATCAAGGACCACAGATTCTCTACACTATCTGTGCACAGAGTTCGTGAATTGAAGTCAAACCCTAAACCCTCTCCGAGGGTAGCCAAGCCGCCTGGATCGTACGGTCTCTCAGCCCTTGTCATAATTGTGCACCCTGAAGCTGCAAGCTCTGAGAACTGATGGTGAGAGGCATCCGACATCCTTGCTATGAGACTGAGAGGACGAGGGAGAAGGAGAAGGAGAAAGGGAGGGAGGGAGGGAGAGGGAGGGAGAGGGAGAGAGAGAGGTGGGGCTTGGGGGGAGGCGGGGTGGCGGGGGCTATCAACGGCACAGTGGCAGGACGATCTTGTGCTTGACTGCGGCTCGACTACGGCTGCCACACCGAGAACTTGTCAACGTACACTACAAGACGTTGGAACAGCGGGCTGTCTGCTGTATGTACAACTCAACGAACATCCAGATCGAGACCACGACGAGAGCAGATGAAAGGGATCAAGGGCAAACCTGTCACACGGCTTGCTGGTGGTATTAAGGTTACAACAAGGGGGATGCATCAAGCTTCAAGTTGTCCTGGTTCTTCCCTGATTCGAGGTACCAGGGCGTTGAGGTCGTTGTCTTACCTCTCTGAGCGTTATTCTGCTTTCGACTTCACAACTCCCTCCTTGTGACAGCTCCGGCGGCTAAGCACCCTTTCCTCCTCCCTTTCTCCCCCTCCCGGCCGTCCTCGCTCTCACCAACCGCCTTGCTTCAGAGTCTATCGTGGCAAGAGCGTGTTCGCTTCCTGGCCCATTCTCAGGCTGCGGCAAGCAGTAGACTTCTCACCCTGCTATGGTCCAGGCTTTCGAGCTTCATTATGAGACGAGACCAGCACAAACCAAGCTCTCAAGTCCTCATAATCGTTTCGTCATCGACCCAACGTTTCTCCTTCTCTCACCGGGATCTGCTTCTCCTCTAACGAGTCTAGCATCCCTCAGTTGCCTGCGTCTCTCAGCGATGATCTCCCGGTTGCTTCATGGGTCCTCGTCACCCATATCGTCTTGCTGCATCGACGGTTCACTAAAAGGTTTTGTTGCCAGCCCGACCTCCATAAGTATCAGTATCCTGTGTCTTCGGCACTCCTTCTCTCCGCCTGACACCACAGTGTGCCATCCTGAGTATTTCACTAGGTCCATCGTCCAATGCAGAACCAACCACCTGTCACCTGCACGTTTCGGTAGGATATCCTCGGCATTGTACTCTGCCAGCGCCGGAGCCATGAACAACAGGAGGTCGTGCCCGCCGATGGCTAGTTTGTTCACAAACTTCTTCAGCCGCGATTGACCAACTGCCTGTCTCCAGTTCTTAAACTCCGCTGCACCCCTCATGCTTCTCTGGCCTTCAGGACCGTGGACGGGGCCCGCAAACTGTCCGTCCCGTCTCCGCTTATCCATACATCGAATGTAGTACCCGAAAGCTTGATGGTTAGGTATCTCACCTTCACTGTCGCGTAAGGGGATCAGATTACAGAAGCACTGAGTCAAGACTTTACGGAACTCCTCCGCCGATGTTTCGTCCTTCACGGAACCAAGCACTTCCTTCACTTTGCTTCCCACTTCCCTTCCGCAATGATGGCTGAGGGTCGAAAGTATGTCCTCGGGTTCGGCCCAGCTCGCCAACATCACGACGACTGCTCCAAACGACTCCAGCAGGTTCCCGTCTTGCCGCAGCGCATCCACTGCTGTCGGATCATCCATGGGCTTGAGAGCGTCTCGGTGAATTCTCCTCAACACCTCAAGGCTCGAGATTCTTCCGAAAGGCCTCCCACCGCCAGCACAGATCGCGACAGTGATAGGATCTACCCAGCCTGGCGGGAACTTGCTGGTCAAATCGTTCAGTTCGATCCCATTCATCTCAATCTTGTCCTCGATCCGATGAAGTCGAATGATTGACTCAGAGCTGCCGCGTGCAGGTACTTGGCTCCTCGGCCAAGCATTGAGAAGACCAAAACCCTGCAAGATGTGCGCCTGACACATGCTTTCGTGCGTTGCTATCTGAAACATACAGTACAACGATGCGTCCTTCAGATTTTTCTTGTCAGCTCGTACCATGGCCAACACTGGATTCGCTAGATCTCGAAACAAGGTCGCGCTGTCTTTTCCTTGTCCACCACACCCATACTTGAAGAATAGATGGCAAAGCAATGGGTTGACATTGTCGAGCAGCCCCCCAATCATCTCTTCCCCAAACACCTGCTTCAGGATATCACGCTGCTCATCAGACTGAAGGATCATCGGAGGAAGAGCTCGGTGGGTGATGCACTTGATAGTCTCTTGGTTCTTCCCTCGGCTATTTGTCGTCTGCTGCAAAGCATTGTTGAAATTCATCACCAGAGTGTTGGTACCCAACATGATACAATGAAAGCCTGCATTACGAAGAATCCTCTTGAGGAACAACAACCTCCATATGGCGTTGGCCCGGCAGGGAATACCTTGATACCTCGGGATTGCTTCATCGACAAACACCCACAGGTCCCCCTTCTGGGTCCACAGCTTTGCTTCCCCCACGCTCACCTTTCCTGGACCTTTCGTCTTGCCAAACAGGTATCCCAGAACCCCAAGGACATTCCAGCTCGGGGCCAGCACGTCGATCGTCAAGACTTGCTGCTCACATTTTGTTGGGTCAAGGAAATCGATCCTGCGATCACACGCCTGGAGATCGAGATCGATGGCTACATTCAAAAGATGCGAGATGCCTTGTACATTCAGATATAAGTCCTGTTCCTGGACGTATCCGAACAAGCAATAAAGTGAAGTCTTTGGATTTCGTACAAAGTAGTCTGCAGCACACAGCGACTTCCCGCTCCCCGAGCATGCCTCGATCATACAAGTAACAATCCCGGCTTCTTGTGTCGCGTTTGCTACTACTTTGTCGATGGGGTTCCTTTCGCTGAATGTACCAGTTCTTGATCCCAGCACTTGGTCTAAGTATTTCTTCAGGCTGTCAACCACTCCTTCCAGCGCAAAGCTATACTTGAGAGAGATCGCATCCAACACTGCAAAACACCCTTCAGAGCTTTGCCTTTTCAAACCACCTCAACGCTCAGCACGGCAGCACACAATCTCAGCAAGTACAGGTTACCTGCCGTATCCGACCGCCAAGGCAAAGATGCACGAAACTCTGCAAGCTTGGATTCATTGACGCACACCGAGCGCTGCAAATCATCTATCAAATGGGTCTGATTCTGGGTTTGCGCATGATGCAGCTTCGCCTTCGCGACCTCTACCTCCCCCCTCAGCTTCGCCTCCACGACCTCTACCTCCCCCTCATGCTTCGCCTCCGCGACCTCGACCTCCGCCGCCGCGATCCCCTCCCCAGCCTTTTTTGCTGCTGCAAGCTTCGCCTTCGCGACCCCTACTGCCCCCTTCTTCTTCGCCTCAGCCAGGTCTATCTCCCCATTCTTCATCTTCTCCGCAACCTCGACCTCCGCCGCCGCGATCCCCCATGCGTCCCCAGCCTTGTTCGCTGCTGCAAGCTTCGCCTTCGCGACCTCTACTCCCGCTGTCTTCTTCGCCTCCGCGACCTTTACTCCCCCCTCCTGCTTCGCCTCAGCCAGCTCGACCTCCGCCTCCGCTATCAACATCACGTCCCCAGCCTTGTTCGCTGCTGCAAGCTTCGCCTTCGCGACCTCTACTCCCGCTGTCTTCTTCGCCTCCGCGACCTTTACTCCCCCCTCCTGCTTCGCCTCAGCCAGCTCGACCTCCGCCTCCGCTATCAACATCACGTCCCCAGCCTTGTTCGCTGCTGCAAGCTTCGCCTTCGCGACCTCTACCCCCCGGTTCTGCTTCGCCTCCGCCAGCTTTACCTCCGCCGCTGCTATCACCCTCTGGTTCCCAGCCTCATTCGCCGCCTTCAGCTTAGCCTCTGCAACATCAATTTCTGCATACGCTATCTGCACGCTGTTTCCGCTTTTGCGCGCTTCTTCTAGTCTCGCCTTCGCCAGGTCTTCCTCTGACGCGGGGAGGTCCCTCCGGTTCCCACGAGCATTCAACGGGTTCAGCTCCGCCGTCAGCTCCGCTTCTTCTTGTTCAGCTGGGCTTTCAAACCCTTCCAAGCAACTTCCCTCAGCTTCCGAAATGATTTCAAGTTTCTTACAAAAGTTGGTTCAAGGGTCCCGCTCTTTTGGGCAATTAAAGATTAGAGTAAGGTGGGTCCGGTATACTGTTTTAACAGTTAGGGCTCTGGTACAAATTTCATGTTAACAGTTAACCGTTTTTCAACGGTTTTCGTCTTCCTGTTAAAATCAGTTTTAATGGTTAAGTCTTTTAAACTTCAAATCCGATCAAATTTTTAAAAGCACCGCGATTGTTTCATCGCGGTTAGTTAAATTTAAAAGTCAGATTTTTAAACTCCCCTGGTGAGCCCCCCCCCGACCCGCCTTGGCTCCATGCTGCCCCTCCCGCACTGCGGCGGCACAAGTCGCCCCCAACGCGCTGATCATCAAGAGCAATGCTCCTCTTACTGGGTTATGCTATGATACACATCGATAGCATCCAATCCACCGTAAAGTGCACTTTCTCAATGCATCACGTTGAAAGATTTCACGTCAAGAGCCGATGTATTGCTGCTGTCAATCGACTTGGATCATAGCTATCCAAGTTTATTCAGAAGCTAGCACTGATGATTCCAGGGATAGCAACAGGTCTCTCAGACGCGATGTCCTTCCGAGTTCGGAAATGTCGGCTCAAGGTGAACACCATTTTGCAGATGTGAAGCTGATGATGTCGCAAATTCTAATTTCCCAGTCGGTGTATTCAAACTTGGTATGTTTGTCTGACTTTACATCGTCAACGATGTGCATTGGTCATGGTTTTGAAAGCTATAGTTTGTCTGTAATAAAGTCATTCTTACCGAGCTCTTATCATCGTTTAAACCCATGCCAGCTCACTTGTTTCAACTTAGAGATCTGTTCTGGTTGCCCTTGTGTTCGACATTGGCATCGGAAGCACCTTGATCTGCGTTCGGACTGCTATTTAAACTTGGAGCTTTCAATTCATACAAGCTGAAATTCCACACAAAATCGAGTTGTTCATGCTCATTCGCTGTAAACATCCGACTGAAGCATTCGAGTGAGCGATTGATGATTGTTTGGGCATTTTTGTTTCCGCTGAGCTCGACGCAGATTCAAAAAGTTGCGGTGCAGATTGATAGAATTAGCTATGCCTACTGCATCAGAGCATGGTTCTTTTGATGACGAGTCATCACCTACACTGTGCAAGTCTTGCTTGACGAAAAGGTAGGATGTCGTGTTAAGATGTAGAGGAGGATGAGATGAAGATTGAGACTTGTCTCGACAAACTCTGATGCTTCTGAAGCCATTTCGAGTAAAGTACCGTTGAACTGTGCATTGTTTCGCACGCTTGCTCTTTGGTTTCTTGACGGGATCACTTTGTGTGACAACACTGGATCGAGAGATACTTGTAGGAAGTTTCCTAACAAAGGTGTGGGACCACACAGGCAGTTTCGAGGTCACGGTAGGAAGAGCACGAAACTTGTTCGTGGGAACGAATTTTGCTGGTGGGGGCCAGTTGTGTCCGACATTTTGCATGTTCAGATCGGTAAGACTGAGATGCAGTGCGGTGCCAGTGACGCCTGGCACGTCGGATGAACTCGGTGACCGTGACGGTTTGGGCCCACTGCCGCTGGCAGGACGAGGTGCAGTGCATCTGATGACTTGAATCTTCAAGGCTTCGACCAGGCGTACAGTGTAGTACCGCAGGCTTCCTGGCGGCCTGGGCCTGGACTTGGGACTGGGAATCATAGCGGCCTTCAACTACTTACCGTGTACTTCTGGCACTGCCGCAGTTTGATCGGCGCGGCCCGGGCGGCCACGGCCGCACTGCCGGCTGCTGGCGTCACTGACTCGTGTCTCTGTGATCTGACTCAGTGACTCCATCCGATCATGACTCACTCAGCCGGCACGCCGGCGGCGCCGGGCAGTCACTAGTATGACCCGCCGGGGAGCCGGGAGCCTCGGTCAGTTCGGTCACGGTTCCGATCGGATCATCTGATCATCATGTGACTGGCGGGCCAGGCTGGCAAGCTGCCAGCCGGGCTGCCCTCAGAGGCCCCGGCGGGGCCCGGGGCCCGGGGGGGTCACCCGGCACGGTTCCGAACCGTTCAGGCTGCCGGCGGCCAACGGCGGCGGGGCCCAGGCAAGCGTGGCCTCGCCGCCGGGGCCGCCGCGGCGTCCGAGCCGGTGCCTCCGAGCCTACGGTCACCGGGCCGGGTCTTGCTCGCCGGGATCGGACTCGGGACTCGGACTACCGTGTGACTGGGCTCGGAGTCGGGGCGGTCGGGCCCGCGCGATTGGACTGTGACTGAACATAGAAAAGTTGACAGCACTGCCGGGTTCCAGGTCCGCCTCGTGTGTCTCTTCGCAACTGCGGCTCTCCATGCAGAGGATGCCGCGCGCCCTGGCAGGCGCCATGGTGGCGTCAGTGCTTCTCGCAGGAGCGACTCTGCTGATCATTGTTCCTTCCTCCTTTGCTCCTGAGCAGGATGAGACAGAGCTGCTGCTGAAGGTTGACCTCGAAGCACACGAACCCTACTCTCCTCCCCCGAACATGTACCTGTGGTGGGGGCCCTCCACCAACCACAGGTTTGTGGGCAGCGGAGAGCACATTAGGCATCTTCTGCACATGGGCCAGGTTGAAGGAGGAGAATGGAGGGACCCCATGTTCCTGGGCAACAACGGAGTGGCTACTTTCCGCTCGCAGCGTTTCCGTAAGATCAGCGAGACCTGCTGCAGTACCATTGTTGTCCCGCCCATGGAGTGGGACTTTCCGGTCTACAACACGCACAAGATGATTGGGCAGAGGATCAGGAACTTCGTTGCCAACGGCAACATGCTTGTCCTCACGGGTGGCATCCTGGCTGTTGAGTTCATCAACTCCTACTTCTTCTACAACATCGAACTCGCGGACGGCAACTACAGCCCTGGTCCTTATCGCAGGCTCAAGGACATCCCAGAGTGCATGATGCAAGGGCCGGAAGTTCTCCCGCAGAAGGGCATCTCAGTGACCGCTGTGAAGAAGGACTCCTTGCCTTCGGGGACTGAGGTGCTGTGGGGAACCCCCCGGTCAAGCCCTGTCTTCATGATCAAGTTCTGTGAAGCGCAGAGCCCCGACGAGGGCATGCCGCCCACCAAGGTGCTCCCTCGTGACTGCCCACTGGCGGAGAAAGACGGCAGGCCATGCTCTTGCGGTTACATCATGTACATCGGGTACAACTACCAGGAGCAGTACCCCACTCGATGGGACCGAGTCCTCAGGGGAGCCGTTGAGATCATGAGCCCTTCATACAGAACCCCCGCAGGAGGATACAAGGCGAACAAGGAGGTGGTGATCCCGGGGACCCCTCCCTGCCTGCAGAAGGGCAACAAGAAGTTCGACTGGCCCAACACCGGTGCCTACAGCAGCAGCAAGGTGTCCCAGGAGAACCTGGCTTCCAAGGCCGAGGAGAAGAAGGGCTCGCGCGGAAGGTGCGGCCGCTGCGACTTGTGTGAGAGGAGCTGAGTTGTCTTGCAGAGTTTCGAAGGCTCTGGTGCAGGCCGATCAGAAGATCGATGCCCAACAGCAGGAGATTGACGCTCTTGAAAATCAGGTGCTACACCATGTTGTGGATGCATACTTGTTTTTTTGAGGGGTGGAGGGATCATGGACTGTGCAGTGGTTGTCTCAATTTCTCCTCTATTTCGATGCGATTACTTGTCTTTTGTGAGCGAGCGGTTTCTGACTTTTCTCCCGTCAGGTTCGAACTTTGTCTCAGCAGCGGGACGAGGCTGCCATGCGACGCAGTGGGAGGGCTTCGAGTGAGAGTCTGCATCAGCTCAAGAGCCAGGCTCATCAGCTCCTTCATGAAGTCCATGAGCGAGAGGCCAGACGCAGCCGCAAGGACAACACTGAAGCCTCCTTGGTCAAGGCAGTGTCAACCCTTTCAGAGGTGAGAAGTGAAAGCAGTGACCCGATTGGCTGACGGTAAGCAGGACGTGAAGAGCATTGATACCAAGATGAATCATCTCACTAAGATCGTTTCTTCCCGACACAAGAAGGTTGTTGACAAGTATGGGATCCCCAATGGGAACGCATAGACTGCTGGAGGGAGAGGCAAGAACCGAGTTCGACGTGCAGCATCTTGTACAGTACAAAGAATGATGCGGCGGGCGAATGGGCAGTTTGTCACATTTTTTTACCATTCAATTTCATTAATTAACTTGCATCCGAGGACCTGCTAGTAAACTCTTACGCCATGGAAGCTACCGTGCTCTTCATTTTTCAAGTGGCCAAGTCATCACGATCTACATCCTTGAAGCCTGCCAGAGGCCTCAGCCGTCTCGCATTTCGCTCGTACGGTCGGGCTCACTGGATGAGCATAGTTGAAACATTGCGGATACCATTTCTATGTATCTACGATCACCACATCGTCCTCAGAGCCATTGTCATCTTGGTTCTCTCTTCCGTCCACCCCCGCCTGTTTGTCCTGCAGCATCTTCAGCACTGACTTCTTCCGCGGCTCATCTTTGCAGCCTGCCGAAGGGCAGCATGCCCTGACAGGACAAACGTCGCAGCTCGGGCGGAGGGGAGTACACACAGTCTGCCCGAAGCTGATGAGAACAAGAGTGAAGTCCACCCGCTCGCTCTCAGGCACCCATTCTTCCAGCATCCTTCTGCTGTCCTCCGCCTTCCCCCCGTCTGCGCTCTTCACCGCCCACCCCAGCCTGCCCGCCACCCTGTGAACGTGGGTGTCCACTACTAGCCCAGCTGACTCGTCGCCGAGGCCCACGGAGAGCACAAGGTTTGCGATCTTGGGCCCGACCCCCTCCAGCTGGACAAGGGAGGAAAAGGAGGCAGGGACTCTGCCGCCATGCCTCTTCTTCAGGCTGACAGCACAGGCATGGATGCTCTTGGCCTTGGTCTTATAGTAGTTGCATGACTTGATGTACGGCTCTAGCTCCGCGGCCGTCATCGAGCTCACCCGATCGACCGTCAGCTGCCCTCCGAGCCCCTCACGGAGACTCTCGAAGGCCTTGAGAGCAACTGAGTCCAGGCACTGGACGCTGAGCAGCGCAGCGACAAGGCAGAGGAAGCCTCCTCCCTCCTCGCTCCTGATCCTCATGAGGCAGCGGTGAAAATCCCTGACGGACCCGTTGGGCCGCGACTCAGAGATGAGACGGAGCACATGCCGCCGATGGCGAACGACAGCATCGCACTCCTCGATGTCCTCAACTTCCTTCCTCTCCTCCTTTATGTCCCTCGATGTCCCCACCTGCCGCCCGGAGGGTCGTAGCATCTCGACAGCACCGTCTCTGCTCCTTCGGTGAGCAGGAGGTCCTAGAGGCGCCTGAGAGGAGCTGTGCTCTAGAGCCTCCGACTCACGCCCTACATGAGGCTCAACAACGCGAGAGTGAAGCAGGCGGCAACAACCAGCAGCAGCTCCTGGGTCCCGAGCTGCCTTGGCGAGCTTGCAAGGCCTGTACGTCATGATGGTGAGTGCCCGCTGTTGATATGCTGGCGCAGTGCTGGCTCTCCCACCTGTGATCTGCAGACTCTGATCGCAAGCTTGCCTTGACTGCATCACCTGGTGGAAGTCAGAGCAAGAGTGAGGAATCAAGAGCCGACTTGTCTTTGGGAGGGGCACGGAGGGTCGCCTGGCTGCCGGAGCTCTCAGGTCTTTCTTCGGCTGAGCAAAGTGCAAGTCAGAGGGCAGATAGTTCTCAGCATGACTGCAGCAGCTACCTGATACCGGAAAGAGTCCAGATCTAGCAAGACCTTCTGCATATCAGATCAATCCCCTCGCTCCCTCCAGCAACCCCCCCCCCCCCCACAACTCTCGTGGGGGGGGAGCCGCCTTCCCCTTCAGCGCCTCCTTCGCTGCTGCTGATGTGCCATAGATCCACTTTTCGAACAAGGTAGTGTTGCTCTCCTTGCCAGCCTCGTCGATGGGCTGCGATCCGGCGCTTCGCAGGACCTCCCCTGCCACCTGCGCAGGAGCGGATCAGTCATGAATGTGTTGGAGGGAGCAGGGGCAAACCTTCTCTGCTATGTGATCCTCCTTCGACCCACCGATACCTTTGGCGAAAGACTCTCAGATGCTCCTCCTCCT